TCGGTGTCGCAGCGATGGTGCAGGAGTCCAGTCTACTATTGGACAAGTGGATCTGCAAGTGACTCTTTGGCAGACAACTGATACCTGGAACTTGGCAAAGGTGCAAGGAACCTCTATTCGCAACATTGTATCTGACTTTGTTTCCCAGCACAATGATGGTCAACCTAGAACAGAGAGCAGTGACCAAACCTTGCTCGTGTTTGCAGATGAATGCAAGGGTCCAAACTGTGCCTCCATTGTGGGGCATCCTAATGAGTGCCAAGCACTCTTTGAGCTTGAAGAATCATTTAAACCAGTTCCCCTGGGCTTCAAGATTGCCTGGTATGTTGTCATTGCACTGATCATTGCCACATCAGCTGCACGACTGCCACTGCAAGCAATGTGTACAACAAATGGATCAAAGGGGACCAAGGAGGCGAAGGAAACAAACCAAGCAGAGATGGATGAGGGCAATGCTGCCCAGAAAATTATTCCTGTTCGCACCAAGATTTGCTCTGTGAAGAACCTGTCTGTAGTCACTGCGGAAAAGGGATTCAAAGTTCTCCAGGACGTCCACCTACAGATCAACTCAAGTTCTGTCATTGGGTTACTTGGTAGATCAGGATCAGGAAAGTCCACGCTCCTGTCTGCTTTGAGTCGACAGAAACTTCATAGTCTGCGAGTTTCAGGGGGGCAAATTGAAATGCAATGCCCTGATGGTGATGTTGCCTTTCTTCGCCAATCAGATTCTGTCCAGATGGAGAACATGACGGCCTCGTCATTCCTGGAAACCACTGCCTCAATCTATGGGGCAGACAACAAACGGGTAGATGACTGTGCAGAAATGGTAAAGAAGCTCTATTGCAGAGTGGAGCAATCAGGCCTGAATCCATTTACTGATACCAAGATTAAGAACCTTAGTGGTGGCCAGAGGCGGATTCTTGCCATTGCCACCACTCTACTTTTGACACCGCAATTGGTTCTTCTTGATGAACCACTCAGTGGTCTGGATGATGCCTCTTCACTTCAGGTTATGGAGTTTGTGCAGTTCCTTTCGAATAAGTACAGTTGTGCTGTCATCCTTTCTCTGCACAACCCATCAGAGGAAGTTCTGCAATACCTTGACAGAGTTGTTGTGATGGACAATGGTTATGTCAGGATGCAGAGAGACTGTATGGCTAACAGAGCCTTTGCAACAGACTTTCGTCGTGAGCTGGGCTCCATGATGTCTGGGTTTCTGGAACATTCCAACAGAAGCAATACTTCAGAAAACAAGCTAAGAATTGTAAGCATGACAGGGAAAGGCTCAATGATTGAACAGTCCGGGCCAAGATCGGCCATTGATTTAGACACCACCTTTGATTTGGATGCTGTTGATGAGACAGAGAGAGAACAACAAGAGATTTCAGTGTCTACAGCATGGGAGGAGAACTCTGTTCCATGCTTCTCAAAAACGCCACCTGCAGTATCAACTGAAGAGGAAGGAACAAAAAAGAAGCCAAAGGCGAGTGGCTGGAACAATTTCCTTGGCTTTTTCAGCAAGACAGCATTCCTATGCCGGCGTCTCCATGCGAACTATGGGTCGGACCCTGCAGATCTACTGACACTCCCAATAATTCTGATGCTCTTTGCCATGGTGTTGCGTTTTGACGGAGGATCACCCATTCAAGAGGTCTTGGTATCAACCTTCTATATTGGGATTCCTGTTAACCTGTTCCGGCACAAGATCCACCTCTCTTGCAAGATGTGGTCAGCTCATAAGGTGGAAATGGATGATCAAAGAATTTCTTTGCTTTCCTACCAGCTTGCCACCCAGACATTTTCTTTTGCAGCACCGCTCATCTCTCTTATTGTGGCCCATATTCTTGGCTATGCTGTCCTTGGCTGGTCCTTCGAGTCACTTGCTGTGCAAATACTCTTCTCGGCAGTTCATCTCTTGGTGGCCTTGCAGCTTGGCCGGACTATCTGTGTATTCTTCCGTGGAGACTACCGCAAGTTCAGCAAGTTCTACTCTGTGTTTATCTTTCTCTGCTTTCTGTTTGGTGGTCTGTTGGTTCCATCCAGGCAGCTTCCACCATGGCTCTCTTGGATGTACGTGTTTTCCTTCACATTCTGGGCCATTTCAGGAGGAGCACTCAACATTCTTCAGTACCATGGCTCAGAAGAGTACTGTGGTGATGCTCTGTCCTGCATTGCCACGGATGGATCATTCATTGCTCGGTACACAGGATTTGCCCCTGTCTCAACAGAGCACCTGGCTTTGCAGGTCTTGACGATATGGTTTGTGGTTCTGGCTGTTGTGGAATATCTACTCTTATGCCATCGCTGCAGCGCCTCTGCCAGTTCCGGGACCAGTGAAGGAACCAACACAAAGCCATTTACTTCAAGGATCAAGTCAAGGTGAAAGAGGCTAGCACTTCTATGTCTACGATTTTAGCATGATGCCTCGACCAGAGACGAGCACATCCAAGTGGCCTGGACCGATCACAACATGATGACGTCTGGCTCTTGCGGCCACCATCCTTGATGAGGTCTTGAGGTTTTACAACAGGCAAAGTGATGGCTAAGAAGAAAACCCAGCAAAGAGTCTCCCATTCCTCCTGCGTCCAACTGAAAGAAGGATCTTAAATAGAATTAACCGTTACATTGAAAGCCTTCAATATCACTCTTGCTTTCTCTACACAATGCATAAATACCTTCTCCTACAAAGACAACCAAAAGTGGTCCTACTGGCTTTGTCTGCAATTTTTGTGGGAGAGTTTCTCGTTGGCCGATCCTTCTCAGTGGAGAGTACTGGGAACTCTTCTTCCAGCTGAAGCACGCCATCTCCACGAGCAACTCTTGGTCTCATAGCCTGGACTAGCTAGACGCCTGCTTGCAGGTGACACGATAGACTGGATGCATGCATGCCGATGATTAGACTACTGTATGATGCCCTCAAGCTAGCTATAGATAGACATCCAGCAAGAAGTATCACCTCCAAGCAGCGGGGTGGGCAAGCGAGGCATACACGGCACTGGCATACACGACGACAATACTTTCGTACGAGGGCATGGGCGACAGCTGGCAACAACAGCCAACGGGGGGCCTAGATAGCTAACGGCAGACCTGCCACACCAGTTTGGACTCCCAAAGTCACTTTAGCTGCCTTTGCTTGGTACGGTGCCAAGCAACAGATTGGATCGGATATCTCTCGATTGTACCAGTAGTATTTATTTGCTCAAATGGCTTCCACCACACCATTTGCTCGCTTGCATGATCTTGTACGGTGCCTCCTCTTGATGTTGTGAGCTGTCTCTCTTGCACCAGCTTCCAGCTACCGTCGTGGGTCAGGGATGTGATACGTGAAACTATCGTCCTGTGGCATCAACTGCAACAACCAGTTTCCTTACCACCACCACTACAACTACAACAACAACACTCTGCACGTGTACAGTAGCTAGCTAGTGGACGATACCCGCTCGACGGATCATCCAATCAGCGTGCTAGCTAGAGGTCGTGCTGGAGAGAGTATACTGTATAGAAAAGGCGTGTTCGTGGCCTTCAGACAACAAGCTCTGTAATCTAGTCGGTTGAATGATCGCTCTCCTCCAATCAATGGCAGCCTCGTTGACTAGTAGGCACAACACGAGGTGAATGGAACGTACGTCGCTCGCAACCTGGTGGTGAACTTCACGGATCATCTCTCGAGTGATCTGCCGATTTGTCTACGTTGACTATATTGCAAATACAGCCTTGAACCTTGAAACTACCGGTATACCGGTACCGGTAGCAGCCAGGCATTACGTTTGCACTAAACAGAAGAATCTTCAATCGAATTGATGAAATTTGTCTCCTCGCTCGTTCAAACACTTTCTCTCGTCGTTTTCTTCCTCTTACTTACGACCCTTTGACCTCGTTCCTGTTGGAGGTCACGGACTATGCATACATGTACCGCGAAACTTGCGAAAACAATGGGAGTCCAACTTCAACCACGGGAGTCCAACTTCAACCACGGGAGTCCTTTCTTCAACCGCGGGAGTTCTACTTCAACCGCGGGAGTCCTCCAATTTTTTTCTGTTTGTCGAGAGAGAAGAGAGCCTTTTGAAAACACTCACTTTTTAAAATATAATCCTCTTTCTAATAACCTAGACACTACGAATTTCTCTGTAACCATGCCGAAACACGACGACGAATATGACGTTGAGTCAACTGGTAATTACCACGCAGCATGGTGGCCGCGCCTTGGGGTTGTCTTCCTTGCGGTCGCTTTGCTTGGCACCGTGGCCCTTGTCAGCTTTGGCACATCTTTGGCTGCCGTCCAAAAGGCTCCACCAAATGTGATTTCTACCGTTGGTACTGCCTTTGAATTCCCAGTCCTCGCTCCCAACTCGGATGATGGATTTGCTTTCTCTTGTGTCGACACCGAGGCAGCCATCAATCTCTTTCGAAGCGCAAAGCATGGCGCTGCTACGAATGTCATCTTGAAGACACTTACCGCGGAATTTGGTCTAACCCTCACGTTTCAGGGCGCTGTCCGCAACTCTACCCATGCCTGTCTCATGTCAATGGACACTTTGAGGACGAACAAACAGAAACTCTGCATTGAGCTGAGCAGTAAACGCTGCGAACAAGGATCCTCACTATCTCAAGACCTCTTTCTTGCTGGAAACGATGAGAGTGCAATCTTTGGCGCTGGCCATGATTCCCGTCACTTGATGTTCGATGAAGACAATCGCAACTTTGAAAACGGTTGCAAGGACTACGGCGGATTTGGCGTTATCTGTGCTGACAAGCTCCCTATCATCTACTTCCTGTCGGCTTGAGAATCTGGATGCTGCATGTAGCTGATCTGGAGGCAAAGACGACTTCTAAAGCGGCTATTGTTGCCGAGCAGCAAGTTCGTTCGTTAACATAGTATTATAGAAACGCGTTGTTTTTTAAACAGTACAGCTTAGATTCTTGCTACGCAGACGATGGTGACTACCAATGGAGATTTATTCAGTGCCGGGTGCAAGATATTCTTGCTATGATCCCAGGAGCAAGAAGCAAGTTTCCTCGCATCCGGCGATTCTTCGGGTATCTGCGTGCCTACCGTACGGCCCCGCCAGAGGAATGATTGTCACAAGGCAAGGATCCTTCGCTTCCCCTTCACTTCCTTATTGCTCGAAGCAAATCGAGGATTGTTTCTTTCCGGTAGTCGAGCCGACTCATCAGCTTGACTGTACTTTTGAGAGAATGTTACTGCTGCTTGAATGGATCTGGAGCCGATACTGTGCATTGCTTCAGCTATTTGTCTAGCTAGCAGCAAGAACATTCTCGCCTTGGACATGAAGGAGGAGCATTCCAGCGCTTGTCATTCTATTGGTCGGATTCAGCCATGGTGGCAGATTTGTTTCTGACTGTAGTTGCAGTAATTCTAGGTAGCCATAGAAGTAGTCTGTGCCGCTAGGAACGCAGCTTCCGTATTGGCCGAACTTTTTGCTCTCAAGCCATCATCCAGTAAGATGAAACTGGAGAACTACCTAAAAGCAAAGGCATGCCCACAACCGGCAACCGCCTATACTTGCTTGACACTAATACCAGTGTGACTGGCTGGTCACAGCAGAAAGTTGATCCTGCTTTCAGAAGACTAGCCAAGCCATTGTGGAGACAACCGCCCGTTGTCATCTTTTTGGAAACCATAGGAATAGAGAGCGAAGGCTTCTAACACATTGAAGTCCTGCCGACTAAGATAGCTACTAAGATGATTTCTTTGCACTCTCAGACAGCCTTTTAGCAGCTGGTAGAGGGCAAAGGGGCAAGGGGCTTTCAGGGCTACCGGTATGGAGAGTTGGCTTCAAGGGGAAGGAAACCTGCAAGCAAAAGCTTTTTGAACCACATTGAAGTACGAACCCCAGAATGCATCCAGTGTGAGGTTCTTGTTTGACCGGTACCACATACATCAACCAGCTCCTCGAGCCTCGAGCACCAATGCTGCATGGACTTCCAAAGAACATCGTGGTCTGTGTTGGCAAGCTGGAAGGAACCGCTGCCGATAAGGAAATAGGTGGCGATCGTGCTCCAGCTGTGGGAAGTCCTGCTGTGGAAGCCACCTGAAAACTGACCTTGACGATGCTTCTCTGTTGACGTTCGGCACTCAACCATCCGAAATAATATCCCGGATGTGGTCGTTCGTACTGTACAGTTCTTTGCGCTGTGCGGTCGTACCTGGTACCAATGCTGTACTCCGAGTATGTTATGTCATAGATATAGTGCAGTTCAATGACGGTAGCACTAGTAGTAGTAGTACTATGCTTCCAGTTTGCTTGCATGCCAACTTCCAACAACAGTTACTCAGTACTACTCACTGTGTTTGCAGGGCAGTATGGCTGCATTTGAATCCGAACGCCAACACACCCAGCATCCATTCTTCAGCGTTCGCATTAATGGAAACCCCTCGAGACCCGACTTAACAAACAGACATAGTTTACGAACAGACGAACTCCTAGACTTAACATCAGAGTTCTCAGACATTGTCCTTGTCAATGAAAAGAAGGCATAGAATGACCTGCTCCTCTGGCAATTTCGACCGACAACATTGCGGTTTGCATCATGGCAGCATGCAGCTTGGCAACACTCCACACACACTTACCACTACTTGAGAGCTCTTGCCTTAGCCATTAATGCAATATCTCAATGCAGCGTTCGCTTGTTTTCTTCCCCTTTTGTTCTTTGTCAACAACAAATAAATCAAAATTAATCTTCGCCCTGAATCATTTATTCATGCCTGTCTGGTTTCATTCATAAAACGGTACAGCACCACAACCAAACCACAAACTTCTTTGAACGGTTTCCTCCGCATTGATCACATTTTCTGCAGTTTTGATTTTCTTTCCTTTTTGCTGTCCACAATGATTTCCTCGCGCTCCGCCAGTTCTTCTTCTTCTCGATTGACCTTGTCTCTCTCTTCCGTGTCCGACTTGGAGTCCGCCAAGACACAGCTCCAAGAGTTTCGATCTACTGACAGTACTGGTGCCAGTACTAGTAGTGGTAAGACACTAGTAGTGGGTGTATTGATTTCGGATCCACGGTTGATTCGAAATCATGCGGCCGAACTTCAGAGCTTCTTGCGGGTTCTCAACAGCAACGACAACAACAAGAGCAAGAGTAGTGACCTGCACGAACTCCGCTTGGCCATTCGTGGCGTGGGCAAACCATTGGGTCGTCAACCACAAGCAGCCGAGACGGACGACTCCAATGCTCTCTCGGCCGACGCCGTGGCCGATCTTCTCTCGAGTCTTTCCGCGTCCACAACTACCATCAAGAAGCTGTCGTTGGAATTGAGTGTCTCCAAGTTGCAAGGATCACTGCGTCGCTTGTGCCAGACTCTGCTGGACGCCAAGTCTCTCTATCGAGTGGTCCTTCACGAATGTCACACAGAACAAGACGAACGTCATCAAGGCATGCTGCCCTTGTTGGAAACCCTGGCGCAATGCGACAGGTTGGATACGTTGACACTCGAAGCCGTCGATTTTCCCGTGGGCGACATTACCGCTCGTGTCCTGGCACGGCTCGTTCAGAATAATACCGCATTGACCAAGTTGGAGTTTCAAAATTGCGTCAATTTGGGAGACGAAGAACTCTTGCCTCTGTTGCGACAGTTGCCTGGGTCTGCGCTGCAACACTTGAAGCTCAGCACGGGCTTGTCCATGCAACAGCCTCATCCCGGTCTTCAATGGGGCAATCCAGTGGTGACAGCCGTCGCGCAAGCACTACGAGATCCTGCCTGTGCGCTCCAATCCTTGCACATGACACACACCAATTCTACTTCAGCAACAACGCAACAGCATCATACAGCACCCGCGCTGGTTTCGTTGCTGCCCATTGTTCAGGCTCTGCAAGTCAATACCAGCTTGATCCGATTGCATCTCTACCAACACCACAGCAACACGTTGGCATCGGAACTGGTCCGCATCTTGAGCGCCAACGAAAACATGTCCTTGCGGCATTGCAACTCGTTGGGGGGATCTCGTGACGAATTTGCCGCACTGGCATTTTACACGCGTCTCAACCAACTCCAGCGATCGAAACTCTTGCATGGATTCGAATCCAACGACAACGACAACAACGACCAACTAGTCATGTCCACGCTCCTGGAACAATCCAGAGATCATCGAATTGTACATTACCTACTCTCCAACGCTCCTTCTCTTATCGTGACGCGACTTGCTGCATGAGCGTCCGGCATTTTACCGTAGTAGTCGACTTACATTACATAAAGGTTTACATTCATTCATTACTAAAAGCAAGGTTACATACATACATGCAAAAAGTCTGTACAGATCAGTACGGCCAAGCAAGACAACGTCCTCTGTGCGGTGCAGTACAGTATGGTACCGCCTCACCTACCGAACAATGGCACTGGGGGAGCTGGGCTTCCTGTCAGACATATCAAGACAAGACAAGAGAGTCAATTATGAAATTGCTTCCAGCAACAATCGTCTAGAGAAGTAGTGTTCCAGGGGCGCGGCATACCGTTTGCGTTCGCTGTACCGTGCGTAGGGCGGAGCTGATGGCCAAGGGAAAAGTCCATCTGTTGGGTCAGCGGCAGGTTCAAGCGTTGGGTTGAGCTACGGTACGGTACTAGCTAGCTAGCTAGCTAGTAGGTCGCAAGGTCCATGTGTGTTTCAAATGGCCGGAAGGTGTTGGGCCAGCTGTGGAGCACATCATGTGGCCATACGTACCGTACGACCAACATACGGTAGAGTTGAGAGGTCAGTCCAACACGGGAGTTGGCGTTGGTTCTTGTGCAGCCAGCAAAATGTCGCTCCTCCAGGAGTTGCTTGCTTGGACCTGCTGTAGCTGGCTTCGCGTGTCGGGGGAGCTGGGAGCTGCAAGGGTTGGAGCAGTCTACGTGTTTTTCTCTAGAACTTCTACTAGTACAAGTCGCTTGCTTCTTTACACATTCTCATTGCTTTTAGTGTAAGGATAGAAGAGGGCTGTTTGAATTCTTTGCTCAACCTTGCAGTGGCTGTACTACCGGAAGTCGTGGAAGGTCCGTGTCTCGGGTTTTGGGGAGCTGAGAGTGGCGTGGAAAGTTTGTTTTGGAGGGAGCGGAACAGGAGCGGATGACGCACCAGCGGCTCATGTAAATAATGGAACATGGATACTGGTATACCGGTACTACTCAGGAGTACTTATCTTCGGGACTGTACAATTAGAACCACTATTACTATTAAAATAGAGCCTATTCGACAGCGTTTTTTAAAAGTTGCTGTTAAGTGGAACTTTCACCATAGATTTTCCAGGAACCACCATGACAATCTTCATGCATCTGCACATCTGCACGGTTCTATCGGACCTGCGCATCTATCTGTGCCTTCGCAGCCATGCCACGTGGAATTGATCGATCGCCTTCTCTACGTTGCTTCAATTCGAAAGGTGCAGGAGACATTGTGACAATAGCATGCAGAACTCACTTTTGTAGTTCCACCCCAGCAGTTGATTTCTGAAATACCCCCCAAGAAACCTCTCACATCTCCCCTATTTCAGGGCTGTGCATGGGCTATTGTATTGACATGATCGCTTTATGCTTTACCGAGTCTCAACTGTACATTGATTTGGACACTATGTTCACAGCATGTTCACTGATGGGTTCTTCGAAGATCTTTGTCCGCATGGGACATAGCAACGAACAATAACGCTAATGCTGGCTGCATACCGTACGGTATACCGGTACAGCTCCCGCTCTCCCGTTTTACGTGATAGCACCGCGATAGTCCCATTCTGCGCTGGAGGCTGGAGCCTCCATGGAGGCATGGAGGCTGCGCAGCTCGAGATCCTGCTTCTTTTACATGCTTATCATAATCGAAGGCTCCTATCATACACATACCCAATACTACGTACTTGCTAGCTACTACACAAGTTTTGTGTAGTCGCTAGCTAGATACACTTGTGGCCAACTCCTTCTCAGATACCCACCATGGAGAGCAGAGAGATCGATGAAGGTGCTGAGGGCTCGGAGGCGCCAGACAGAGGCTTTAGTGGCCTCGGCAACGCCGAGCCACCGATTGAGGTCGGATCCGTAGCCAACCCGGAAGCTGGTACCAGCACGAAATCATCAGGCCCAGAAATCACCGGCAGCTACCCAGCCTCTTCAGTTCAGGGATTCTCTACTGGCCAAGATGGCCTTGTAGCCGCCCCAGTGGACACGCACGAGAGTGCGGGAAGGGCAGAGGAGAATGCTGAAGCTGGAAGCGAAGCGATCGACAGCGAGAACGAGATCGAGGCTGAAACCAAGACAAGCGTCCAAGATGAGGGCCAGAACAGCTCCTTAGATCCGCTGCCTCCTGAACCGACTGTTCCTTCCGCCACCGAGGAGGGTGGAGATCAAGTCAGCAAGGACAAAGCTGGCAGCCGAGGACGCTCTGGAGGGAATGTGTACAATATTGCTAACATCAACCCGGAGGAGACTTTGGCGAGGCGCAAGACCGCTGCTGCTTCAGCTCTCGGGTCGTCTCCATCCACGACAGGGGCGGCCGGTGCTCCTACCACTACGGAGGGAAGGCGGTCGAAGCAAAGTGAGTCTGAGGAGGACCCTAATCCTCCTTCGGTTCCATTCTGGAGAGACAAGTCTTCTCAGAGAACGACAGCCCCCAATGCTTCTCGCAGCGGCGGTGCGGACCCGCTGCCACCTCCGAGGCTCCTTCCGTTGTCGATGATGAGCTCTCAGAACTACCAGCTCTTCTATGGGACCGCGTCGTCACAAAATGATCCCTCACCACCACAGCAAGCCCAAAGAACTGGAGACAATACGAGAGTTGAAAGCACAGAAGAAGACCCCAACGAAGACCCCAACATTGGTATGGTTGTGGAAACCAGACCGGTCGGGTCACTTTGGAAAGAGATTCTTGCCTGTTTGCAGACTCGCAGAGGCTTGTTGATCCTTCTTGTCGGGATCATACTGATTGTTGTTGTTGCCTTCTCGCTGGGATTTGGACTTTCTGCAAGAAGATGTGAGAGCAATGAAAGGGAGGGACCCATTATTTTGGACGAACCCAGTCAATCACCATCTCCGGCCGTACTATTGGACCAGCCGTACGGAACTACCCGTCGATAGTATGAGTAAAACACCCTTGGATCCGTCGTCTCCACAATGCATGGCTATGGAACGGCTGTTTGAGTGCCCCCCAGATGAATTTCTTGCCGATAGAACGGCAACTACAACGGTATGCTATGGCCGATCTCTTCCATTCGACGGGAGGAGAAACTTTGTGGATCAATTCCACATCCTGGTTATGGTCATCCTACATCACCACGGAGTAGACTGGCACTACTACTACAACAGCTGCCGGCAATGAGGAGAGCCTGTGCTCCAAGGACAATCAATTCATCCATCTAGTGCTAGCACTGCTTGCGGGAAATGGTCTGAATGGCACACTACCTCCTGCCTGGAACGTTTTCTTATGGTCATGCAATGGACGTCTGCCCGTCCTATCCATTGTATAGCTCAGTTTCCTGCTTTCATATCAATCCAACAGAAGTTACCCTGTTGACGGGGCTTCAAACCAGTGGATTAATCACTTGTCTGGGAACCCTGGTCTAACAGCCAGCCATTGACCAACGCCAGTATTGCGCTGGATCTGAGCTTTGACAAACCTAACGCGAAGGCAATGCCAACTAGAAGGTGACCTTGCGGTCGAATGGAGAGAGTTGTCGCGGTCGATTCTTTTGGAGTTTGCGGGTCGGTTTCAAAGCTACGCTATGGACTCATCGTCGCTGTGAATGTGTCACATCTTTTTGTCTTGCCGCCATAGCCTGCAGTACTTGGATCTTGGCGGCAACAACCAGTTGAACGGAACGCTACCGAAGGAGCTCGCGTCTCACTTCCATGGAGAACACGAATGTCTCTCACAATGAGGTTTTGGGTCGACAACCTCTCGGAATGATTGGTCAAATTCAACAATTCACAGTGCTGGATTGGGTCTAGATGATGAGGAAGAAGGTATCGTTGCGCCGAAAAGCAGCAATTTTGCGTAATGGGTCGAGATGCATTGTCCTGAACCTTGATAGTTTCTCTTGGTTCAGATGGTAGAGCACCATGAGTTTCTGGTTGAGCTCTTGAAGCCCACTAGAGTCTGATCACAGCGATTGCGTACCGGCACAGTGCGGTGGTTTGTATCTGAGGCCTGAGGCCAGGAGGGGCGAAGACAAAGGATCGGCAATTGGGTCGAGATGTGGAGATGCAGTGTAAGAGTGAGCATAGTTCAGCGTGGATGAAAGCGTTGACATGCACGTGACAAACGCAAGACAGTCACTTTCCTGCATGGCTGGCACCACACTGCGGCAAGCCGTGCTGCCCTTTGCATTTTGAGCTGCCTGGTCGGTTCCTTCACCCCAGCTGGGTTGGGCTTGGTTCAGCACAAACGGTGTAGCCACCAGCAATGCCGGTAGCATGCTAGCTAGCTAGGTTTTCTAAAGGTACTCGTGTTTGGCCAGTGCCCTTTCAGCCATCTTGGAGGGAACCTACCGGTATATGTCATACTCTTTTTACTTTTCAAGAGTGTTCCTATCTGAGATCCTGCTCTCATGCACAGTCAACGTGGTAGTTGACCGCCTTCGGTTTATCAAGAAACTGTGTCATCACTGCTGACCAAAGGCGATCCTACAGGCCCAGAGGACTCGACTCGTCATTCCTTAGCCTACGTAGCTATGCATCTGGACCAAGAGTGTGCAGTCTGAGAAATCCTGAAGGACGAGGACACTAACGGGCAGGTTATCACGCGATCACTGCGCAGCATCTACGGTATGGCATTGAGGGAGAGACTGTGCGAATCTTTCTTTGGTTGGTTGCCTATGTAGCTATGTATACCAAGTAACAGAAAACACACTGGTGGCTGTCTTGAATTGAAGCCACATCATCTCGTCTGCTGATTGAGCAGTAGCATAATGGAGAGATACTGGGACTAAGTGCCGGTATCCTGGATGGTTGCCTCTTCACCAGAGAGTAGACTCTCAAGCTGGCTTCGTTTGCTATCTCTGATACTACCAGTAGACTAGCTAGCTAGAGTGGGCCAAAGGCGGGCAGCTACTTCGTAGTTAGCCTGGAGTGTGTTTTGGTGGCCGTCTTTGGCCAAGAGGTGATAAAGGATTGTCGGCTCACGCTTCTGTCCCATCAAGCAAGCCATCTCTAATTACTCAATATTTGAGAAGCCGTCCTACCACATGAAACCCGAAGCAACAAAATGAACGAAGGTCCAATGAAGTCGTTGGTGCAATTGAGCAATCAAGGCGTGACTCTCCACTTGGTCACTACCAAAGTAAGACTTGCTGAGCCAGCTCTAGCTAGCTAGATAGAGCTATCAGAACTTACAGCGGGACTGCAGTGCCAGAGGGCGCAGTGTCACCAATAGACCGAGAGGACTGATCATCACTGCATCGGATTTGGTTTAGTGTTGTGATTGTCTGTTGGCAACTTTGGACTTGTCAGTGTGTGTGACACATTGCAATAAGATGAGTGATTCGCTTCAAGACTATTTTTCGAATCTGATTGGATGCGGTGGTATGAGCATTGTATCGGACAATGCTCGTTCGAGCTTTACGAACAATAACAACGGCAGTGGTCAGTTTGATTGGTTTCAAGATTGTTGTTCGATGGATACCACCAGCAGCTTCACTTTGGACACGACCACGCCCTATTTTGGATTTTCTAGATGGGAGAGTGAGCCTCAGGATGTTGTCAAACGAGATTCCGCCGTCAAACGACCCCGACGAAGACCACTAGGAGAAGGCAGCGACAATCCAGGAGACGAAAATGCTCAAGAAGACTACACTGCCATTTTTCTACCCACCGAATATGCCTTGGATGGAGCAGACTTTGATCGTAATAATAAGCATCGCTTGCCCATGCGGGAAACCACCAACAGCACCAACAATGTAACCACGACAAATCAGACCACCTCAGCCGCAATGAGTCCCAATCAGCAATATGGGCAGTAGTACATGTACCGTAGTAGGTTGCGACCAGGAGATCGAGATTCTTACTTGGCCAAGCCTGTCCCATAATCAACCTTTCTTGGTACAGTAGACACCCATGCAATCAACATAAAGCTAGCAGAGATTCTCTGATTGTTGTTTGACTTTTACCTGGTAGCTAGTGACGCGTGATCTCTTGGCATCCTTCCTAAAGTACCGGCACCGTACCATCATCAGTCGATGCAACAACAAAGCCAGTAGTGGCATTCTTCCACGCAACAAGTTGTTTTCTAAAGAGTAGGGAGGTTATCTACGGAAGCCAGCGAGGGCCAAGCCCAGGCAAAGAAGAGTTGCAATTCAGGACTAGGTTCCATGGGACCAGGGGAGATATCTTAACTGAGGACCAACACGTGGGCCAAAGGGCTTGGCTTTCCGGGATCGGAACACAAATGCAACTAAAATCTGCGCGGGTTTGTCAGTCTCAAAAGCAGGTGGCTGTTGCAGCCACACTTCCAAAATTGATTGGATTCAAATCTCATAGCCTAAAGAGTTTTCAAAATCACAACCGCGCAGTCCCAGTCTCTCGAAGTCGAAGAGTACAAGGTGAATGATTCTACACTTGTTCGTGAATTGCCTGTTTCGTTAAGTTTTTAAGTTTAATGTAGCCAATTGTTGTGTTATATTTTCTCTTGTTGTTTGTTTGATTTATTGATTGATTGATTGATCAGGAAGCTTCCTCTTTGCCATTGTTGTCCTGCTTGTTCTTTTCTTGTTTAGCTTCCAAGAACTTCTTCATCATTTGATCGGCCCAGTAGCGAGCGATGAGCAATCGAATGATTCGTCGATCGGATCGAAAACTAGGTCCCGATGCCGGTTCATCTTCGTCGGGATCAGCTTGTTGTTTGAGTCCTCCGGCATCGGCATCCCCATCTTCGTCATCTTCTTCTTCCTCGTCACTGCTATCGGCCACAACCTTCTTCTTGGGTGGAGCTCGTTCCAATAGTTTGGGACCTCCCAATGACTTCATGCGGTACAACCAAATCTGCAAGACATCTGTATTGAGTGATCCGTCCTTTTGTTTCAATTTGAGTGTGAATCCACCTCGTCGATCAAAGACCAAGGCTTGTTCAAAATTGGTTTCGGATTCCCCACGAGCATCCGTAGGAAGTTGCGTGGCGGGGAAATTGGCCACTTGCTCCACGACGGTACACAACACAACGGCAAACGCCGAATGAATCCCATAGTCGTTTTTCACACGTTCAGTGACTTCAGCACGAGGCATTTGAAAGATTTTCTTCAGCGTCATGACATCTGCACCACTGCGACACCATTCTTCCAATTCCACGGCGTGTTCCTTCCAAAATGTGGCATACTTGGGCATTTCCTTCTTCATCAAGTGCCGCAATTTCAGACGATCTCCCCACACAGCATCCCGCATATTTGCGGGCCATGGAGATGCCTGCAAGGCATTTACTTCGGCGTTGGCCGCATCCGTTTCCAAATCCGACATGGCATGAATCATGTCCTTTGTCCCGCCGGGAAGAAAATGATTAAACCCACAACACGCACAGCTACCCCCATTCACATACTCAAACAGAGTGCGATCCACCACCCATCGATCACCAAAACGGGGCATAGTGACGGTTGGTTTCTTCTTCCTGTTGTTGTCGTTGTTACTACCGTGCTCGTAGCTACTATCCACATCAGGACTGAGAATGTGAATGGTTGGGTGAATGGTTGGGTGCTGCGGTTGGAGGGTCGTCGGCACACAACACAGCTAAGCTGCGCAAAACCAAACGACGATGCCAGCTAGAGCCAGCATTGTTCGGCACTGAGCATCTCCAACTTCCAGCCATTCCTTGGACCCCACAACTCCAGCTCTAGCTAGCCAACTGCAGAGGATACAGTTTTAAAAAAAAAGCCAGGCACCTAGAATTGCAAGTGGGCAGTGTCGTGGATGGCTCCAACTTCAGTGGCTTTTGGAAACGCCATCAAGCACCAGAACCAGCAATTTTGGTAGTGAAAACTATACTAGCTAGTTACCGTCAATAGTGAAGCTCCTGGCTAGCTAGGGCCCACTCTTTCCATTTGAACCAATGCAAAGCTATTTATTAGTTCTTCTCCCACATGATCCACAAGAGCTGCATGGGTGAGTCTTCTAACTTGTCAGGATTGAACTGATCCATCCAAGCTTCCTGGTTCATCCACAAGAAACGGGGAAGCCAGTTGGGATCCAAAAACACAACAAGAAACAACACCACAGCACGGTAAATTGTCATGGAGTGTTTGTGCCGGCCAAAATGAGAGGGAGACAGGACAGACGTCATGTAGTAATCCTCTGTCAAGTTCTGTTCAAACAGTTGCCGGAATTGTGCTCGCTCGGCATTTTGATTCAACTGTCGCCTCTCATAATTGGGGTAGCATCCAGAATGGAATTTGTCCAACAAATAGTCATTGTAGCGACGCAACAAAGTCTTCTTGCTGGTACCATAGTGAAGACAGGATGTCCAAGCTCGACCAACTTTGGTGTCAGGGCGAAGACACTTTTGGATGAGTTGAAAGAGCTTTGTGTAAATGACATCTTTCATGGGCTCACTTTTGGCATACTTGGCAGGAACATAGTGCTCAATCTAGAGACAATTAAATTCATCAATGTATGGCGAGGGAGGAGAATGAGCACAAGAATATTGCCCGCTGCAAAGCAAGCACTGTTAGTACATACCGTATCCCAGCAAGTGACGGCATCTGCCATTCCAAAAAGCAGTTTCTCAAATTCTGCATTTCCCTCAATCTTCTTCCAATCAGTAAGTAGAACTGTGAGTCCGCGTTCACGGCAAACCTTGACTTGAGTTGGTGTAATATTGACACCAATGCCATTCACACCACGGGTACGCAGGTAGTTGAGCCAGTCACCACAGCCACAACCAATGTCAATCACAGTCATGCCTGGTTCAAGACCAAGGTTCTCAAAGCAACAGTCAAATTTGTCCTTTTGTGCTTGGTGGCGGTCCTTTTTGAAGTTGCCATTGTAGTAGTTGAAACCATAGTCCAAACCACCTCCAGTGGCACTTCCAGCATCATCAATCAGATAGGACAAGTTGTAGCCTTGGCGAAGGGTCGCATTCTCATCAATGACAGAAATACTGAAGCCATAGTACAGGACATCATAAGTGCATAGGAACAAGAAGTAAACGGGTACCATAATGGCAGCAATCCCAGTCAACGCCATTGCCAAGTACAATGACAATCCCATTGTCAACAGATTCAAACAACTGTTCCATGGCTGCCAAAGAAAGACCAGCTCGGACCAGTTATGCTTCTTTTCGGTTGCGCCCATTGTTGCCTGTAGCTCGTGCTGCTGCGGAGTATGATAGTTGTTATTTCGGAAAACACGATGGAAGTAGTAGTCTACGCGAGATTGCTGATGAGCACTCGAGATAGTTTTTATGACGGAAATAGATCGAGGAGAAGAAAGAAGAGAAATCCGGAGATTGCACGATGAACTTCCAACCATGCATGGAGAGGTCGCGCTACCAAAGCGGACGGTGGGTACGGTACGGGATCTGTGTGAACCTAACGCTGCCACAACACCAATGGATCCTGCAAGACATCGTACCGCCGGACCGCCGGTACTAGTACAGGTGCAGTAGGTACATGTATGATACCAGGTAAGGTTGTAAGTCGAGTCGTCCAATGAGTTCCGTACCTTTACTGGATCTCTTAATTACTGCAACGCGTGCCTTGCTTTCCATTACTTTTACAGTACAACTCTACGTGAACCAAACTGGACTGAATAGAGTACTGGGAGTAAGCTTTGCATTTATATGGTCCGTTTCTTGTGGTGGACAGCTCTTGACAGAAAGCTGGCTTCCCAAGCATCAATGGTCAGAGCAAAAAACAGAAAAAGAAAGGTTTTTCAGACACTTTTTCAATATCATACTGGATCCCGCAGGAAGAAGTTTTAGTTGGCTACTGCTGTGATCAGTGATGGGCTTCACGAGTACGGTAGTACCATCCAGAGTTTCCCGTGCATGCATTCAAGTGGTAACCTTTTGAATTGCATGAAAGATTCAACGCTCCTGTCGTCAATAGTACAGTATTCTGGACTGTGGAGTAAACAGCTTCCCTGCGGCCGGTACTACACGTACGGTACGGTGGTACCATCGAGAGTTTTCCATTTCCGCACCGATACCAATTGTGCCCGTAGACAGCTTTTGACAGGGTAGTTGTACTGCATCTACTTTATAGTCTAGCTAGCTCGCACCTTCAGTTCAAAGCTGAAGAAAGCATCAAAAGGTCAGAGCAAAAACATTCGGCTTTTTTTCAGCATCGTCTCCTGTTTCCTCAGTTTGCTTGCTACTTGGATCCTTATGACGAATACATGCACAACCGAATATTGTCAATCCAGCCATTGTAGCCCGCTACCGTACAGGTACATCGGCGACAGTGTCAACAGTACCGAACACACTCAGTTCCGCTTTACTTGCTACACTCCATTACTGGTACTTGCATTGGATCCTTATGACGAATACATGCACAACCGAACATTGTCAATCCAGCCATCGTAGCTAGCTACCGTAGAGTTCATGCATCGATCGGTACAGTGCAACAACCGAAAACACTCAGGTTCGCTTTGCTCTGCCGTTCGGTTACCTCGCATTGGATCCTTATGACGAATACATGCACAAAACCGAACATTGTTAATCCAGCCATTGTAGGCTACCGTACAGTTACATCGGCGACTGTGTCAACAGTACCGAACACACTCAGGTTCCGCTTTATTTGCTACACTCCGTTACCGTACCTTGCATTGGATCCTTATGACGAAACATACACAACCGAACATTGTCAATCCAGCCATCGAGCCAGTACAGTAGAGTTCATGGTCGTGACAGTGGCAACAGTACCGAACACACTCAGGTCGACTTTGCTCGCTGCACTCGGTTACTCGATTGGATCCTTATGACGATACATGCACAAAACCGACTATTGTTAATCCAGCCATTGTAGTCGGCTACTGTACAGTTACATCGGCGACAGTGTCAACAGTACCGAACACACTCAGTTCCGCTTTGCAGGCTACACTCCGTTGCTGGTATCTTGCATTGGATCCTTATGACGAATAACTACATGCACAACCGAACATTATGAATCCACCATTGTTGCCGGCTGCGGTATAGCTACTCGACGACAGTGGCAACAGTACCGAAAGTTCGGCTTTGCTCGCTACGGTTACCGGTACCTCGCATTGGATCCTTATGACGAATACATGCACAACCGAATATTGTCAACTAGCCATTGTAGCCAGTTACCGTAGAGTTAATCAATCGGTGACAGCGCCCTGAGCACTGTTCCTGCAGGAAAATGGATATCAACACAGAAATCACCACCAAAACACTAGAAATAACAAGGAGGGATGAATCCGGTCAGATGATCCACTCTCCTCTGTGCCTGTGTGTTGTCGTGTACCTCCTTCGGTTGACGGATGTTGCCATTCAATGACTCGATGATGATTCGTTCAGGAGTTAACAGAGCCTAGCGGTAGCCTCTCCTCTTGCTGTTATCCAGACGATCGATCGTTCGTTGGAGGATTTGTGCATACAGGAAAATGGATACCGACACAGGAATCACCACCAAAATAGTAGGAAATAACAAAGGAGGGTGAATCCAATCGGAGGATTCATTCTCTTGTGTGTTGTCGCCTCCTCCGGTTAACTGTTGCCTTTTCAATGACTCGACGACGTTCAGGCTGCTGATAGGGCTTGAGTAACAGTCTCCTCCGTAGCCTCTCCTTCTTGTTATCCGAAGCAATCGTTCGTTCGTTCGTTCGAAAAGACTCCACAATGGTAGTTCCTCGCCGTCGGCAGTAAAGAACAGAAAGTAAGAAATAGTTATGTTTTCTCTTCTCTTCTGATACTGAAGAAAACCGGCGACTTACCCTTGTTCTCCAACTTGGCCGTATGGGCCGAGAACTGACTGCCATCCCATGGTCCATAGATTCAATGAGGGATGGTTTTCCAATCTACACCGGAGACGACCGCTTGAGTGAGGCTTGAATAACAGAGGTGCGACCAATCGATTCGATTCGATTCGAATAATTAAAAACAACTCACTGTTGACGGCCGAGCTTGGAATTCTCTCCTGAATACCATAGAAATCCAATAGGGAGAGAAGTCAGCGCTTACCTTCAATAACAGGCTTATAATAGGCTTACCTCATTGCGATCGATCGATCGCATCGATGCGATTGATAAAGAACTCCTCCTACCGGTATGTATCACTCTTGTCGGCCAAGCTTGGATTTCTTTCCTGTTTACCATACGAATTCAATGAGGGAGAGAAGTCAGTGCTGCACCTTCAACAATCCACGAATCGATCTAAATGTTAAAACACGTTAAATACAGGTTTGGTACTTACGGATACACATGACCGTTGATTCTGCAACTGAAGTGCGGGTACACTAATTTACACAGTAAACGCGAGCCAATCGATTTCAGAGTGCAACTGAGGGGGTAACCAAAAGGTGCGTCGTCTCAAAGAGACGGAATAAAAGGGAAGGTTGAAGGCTGAAGGTTGACCATATTAAGGTCGACCATACCTGGTACGTAGTTTGTACGACGCTGTCGATACATACATACGTAGCGTACCGTAGCGGTAACGGTGTCTGGAGGGCTGGCTACAGTACCTGGTACAATTTGTAGAATGACCAAAACATCTTGGGCATTTTAGTAATCGCTCCTCTTCGCATCGACCAAGCCCAGTAGGGTTAATACTAAACATTATTCTTAAGTTTGAGGCAAGCCGAATTTCTGAGTGTGACGTCGTTCACAGTTGCTTATGTCTTTTCATTCAAGGATGTGGGACTCAGAAGTCGAACCAAAAGAGAGAGAACCAAAAATCCTTCCCCGAGCCGAGAACCCCATCTCGTCTCATTTCTTGGACGATTGGCGAAAAGTCAAAAGCCTCTGGTGCATCTTTTAGCTGTTTGCGTTGAATGATCTGACCATGACGACCCCCGCCGATACCACCAGCGCCTCCATTCATGGAAACGACGCCTTGTTGTTGTCGAACGACAAGACTCATCATTATCATGGTGGCAAGATGCAGCACCGTTTGGCTCCTCGTCGCCCCAGCAATAATACGCGAGGCTACAATAACATGCAGAAGCATCGACAGGGCAATATCAAGAAGAAAAGCCATTTGTCCTATGCAGGATCCTACCGCGGTGGCTTGTGGAACCAAGTCTACGGTCACTCGGCGGCGCCTCCCGTTGCCGGTTACTACAATCCTACTAGTACTCGTGGTCAACAACCCTTCTCCTTTCCCCAGGCAGGATTGCCGGACGGTGGAATTTATTATCCATCCTCCACGACGACGACCATGGCGTACCGGTACCACAAAGGCACGACGTACTACAATCTTCGCCGCGACAACAATGGCAAGAGCAGTAACAAGAGTCCTCCAGCAGCAGCAGTTGTGGTGGGTCCTAATAACAAGAGCAGTCTCTCGGTCGATGCCCAGCCCTTTGTTCCTGGCAAGTTCGTTGCGACGACGACGGGAACAGATGCCGTCGGTGGAGTCCCACATGGCGGTGCCAAGAACATCAAGATCCTCCTTCCGACTCTGAATGACGATGATGACGGCCACCACCACAAGACCAACAAGAAGAAGAACCAGGAAGACTCGACGAACAGCACGACACCTACCAAGAGCAACAAGCCTGTCTTGGTGCTCGACGCCGCGACTCCGACGACTGCCAAAAGCCAGAACACCAAGATCGAGAACAAGAACGACGGTGCCGCCAAAGACAAGAAGAAGAGCGTCGTCGTCAAGATGGGACCTCCTCCTGGATTCGCTTCGCCTTCGAGCAACAAGGCCGCTCCCGTGGCGGTTGTCTCTCCTTCACCAGGACTCGTACGCCGCAGGGATGATGCATCTGTGGATTCTCGTGGTGTCATGGTCGTTGGCGCCGTTTCTCCTTCTCCACTCAAGGTCGCCTCTCCTCGTTCTTCCAGCACCACAAACACGATGAACAACAAGGCAGCACCGGCGATCGTGTCTCCTTTGCCGACTCCAGCACGAGTCTTGCCGCCTCCACCTGGCTTGAGCAAGACGGAAGAGAAGGTCTCCAGCACTGCCTTTTTGCCCAAGGAACTCTGGGCCGAAACAGTCGACGATCTCTCTCCCAAAGAGAAGGAGGCCATGATTGCCCCGATCCCCGCCAAGACCCACTCTCCATCGCCCGTCACAGTCGCCGACTATCCTGCTCTTGTTGTTGTTGACAGCAAGCAGACATCCGTGCAATCACCATGGAACACTAACACCAACAAGACCAAGAAGAACGCGTGGAATCGAGGATCGGCGGCGGTTTTGGCGGCCGTGTCCCCACAGCACCAGCGCAACAGCAGCACTCCTCCTGTCCAAACTGCTTGGGCTAACAAGGCGGTCGTGGTCCCCGAAGAAGCACCCACTCCCACGACCTCCAATTCTTCTTCTTCAAAGACTGTGGTCGGAATGGAGGAGCATCATCAACCGGCAAAGGAGGAACTCGCGGACGATTCGGCAACAGACTATGACGATGACGATGATGACGATGAAGAAGAAGAAGAAGATTCGCCCTTCACGCGAGGACTCAGTCCCAAGGATCTCCTTCTCCAGGCACATGGAGTGCACTTTGTCAAAACTCCTCGACAGTGGTGAACAGAGAAACGATATCCGTACGACCAGAACAGATCCACCAAGAAGCAAGCAACCAAGCAACCAACTAAAATCAAGAGGGGGCAAATATATATTCCTTTGTTTGCCTTCTCCTCAATGTGTCAGATTGTTTGAGAACGGAAAAAGCCAAGCGCTAGCTAGAGTAGCGAGGAACCCAAGAAGTCTGTACCAGTGAAAGCATCCAACGTTGGTCCAGCTTATTGAAATACATAGAATGCACAAGATTCCAATACAACGATTAAGAAAAAACAGAAAAAAAGTAATTCATATAAAAGATTTCATGCAACGTAATGCAGGCAGTTCCTATTGTGGGTCCGTCCACTCCAGGCACTGCAGTCCAGACTTGTATTTCCAGCTTTTGGACCGGGGCTCAGCTATCTACATACCCTCCGGTTGGGTGCGTCCAGAGCTCAGAAACAAACGCAAAAAAATCTACGACTATTAGCCGTACCGGCTTGTTGGAAATGTATCGGTCCCGCGGATGGTGAACAATGAACAAGAAGATCACTCTAACCATGGAAAGTAGTCTGCTTCGCTTTTCGGTCGTTGTGATACAATCGGTTGTGGTCTCAAAGAAGGTTGGCTCCAATCGTCTGTCACTCGGTTACGACTTTCGGCGTCGATTTTAGGTAAGAACCAACAATAGACAAGAACGCACAGGCCCATCATAACCATGGACGTTGTCAAGTATGCGACAAATTCTGCAACTCGCAAAATGTCCCAGCTTCCATCGTCCTTGTGCAGCTCGTACAGGGCTTGCTTTTTGCGGTGAGGATGACGGTGGTCTTCCATCAAGTGCAGCATTTCTTCGTCCAACGAGGGTACTTCATCTGGTCTGGGAACAGTCGTGGAATATCCCGTTGGCAAACAAGATTCCGGTTTCCCACCGTAGATACTAAAGGGTAGGTCTTCCGGCAAGTCTTGCTCAAAGGTGTGCTTGGCAAGCTCCTGTCGTGTCATATGGAAGATTTCGTAGCAGACTTCTTGCCGCGATTTACCCTCATCCAGAGTGTAGTCGCTCGATGGCTCGTCCTCGCTACCACTGCCGCCTGTGTCGCCATCAGCTGTTTCCAATTGCAGCACCTTGTACTTGCCGAATGCCTTGTAGCAGGTGGCCTTGGACGAAGACCCATCCGTACGCAAGTCCTTGGGACTGCTGCCCATGTCAATACGACGATCTGACAAGACATTGGCTGGACATGGTGTGGTGATGAGGAACCGAAACAGATCAGGACTGTCTTCAATCCATTCGACATTGACTGCCTTGAGGCTACGTCGTCCTCCCAGATCACGGCGACGAGCATGATTGGTTGCCTCACTGGCGTTGACAGACGGAATGTTGAAGTCACTCATGAGCTGCTCCACAAAAGTGTGCCAAGCTTGGTGCAATTCTGGAGAGGCTTCAATCTGCTCCTCCGTCTTGTGAAGAGCGTCTTCGTCCAACAACATGTCCACATAGTGTTTCTGGTCCGGCATTATCACAATGAACGATGTGGTCACTTCCAGCTCGTCGGCTTTGACCATTACCACAGGTCCATCCTCGTGATTCTCTTCATCTTCGTCACTGCTGTGATGGTCCATGTGTCCCTCCTGGATTTCGTCAAAGTCTTTGGAGTCTGGAGAGGGTGGAGTGGTGTTTTCATTGCTCTTTTCTTGTACTTGTTCCTCCTGTTCCTGTTCCTGTTCCTCCTTCTCTTCCTGTTCTTCCCCCTCCTCTTCATGTTTCTCTTCCTCCTTCTCTTCCTTCTGCAATGTCTCAGCTAGCTCGTCTTCAGCATGCATCAAGTTGTTGAGAGAGAACTTTTCGCCCTTGTGTTCTTCTTCTATCTGTTCCATCAAATCTTCACCGCTCGGCGCACCACCTCCACCGTCAGCTGTTTCCACGGTGGTACCAGGACAAGCACAAAGAATGAAGTAATCTTCCAGGGCGGCAAAGCTGTTCTCAGGATGTAACGCTGCAAACGTCTTGACATGAATGTCATCTTCCTGGTTCCACACGACGGCCTGGGCTGCAAAGACACGCATCCCCGTCTCTTCAGGCGTCTCATCCCCACTGGGGTGGCAGACTACTTCGTTCGTAGCTTGCACAACTTCGTTCCAATAGGTGGTAGTTTGCAGACTCGGATCGGGTAAGTTTTCCATATCAGTGTGGAAACGGAAACGGGTAGCATCAGGTAGCTTGTGCCCAACACCTTTGCCATTGTTGTCGCCGTCATGGGTATAATGCAGCATCAATGGGGCAGCGCTGACACTCGTACCGAGCCAAAAGTGGCCTTCTGTCATTGTCCATCCGTCTCCAAGTTCGTAGCTGACCTCCAACTCTTTGTCGCCGTCGTTTGTCTCGATAACCTCCAAGCATACACGTCCCAGGTCGACTGAGCTGTCGACTTTGACAGAAAGCTCATTTTCGCTGTCGTCATCATCGCCCTGAAAACGAACTGGCATCAGACGAAAGCACTCGGCGTGGTCATTGTTGGGACCCAAACAGTACTCGGCAATCTCGGATAATTCAAAGTTGGATTGCTGTTCCTCCTTCGCTGCCGCCAACTCCAGGCCAATAGCGAGAACTAGCAAAGTGAACCATGAAAGGAGGCTCCCTCGGCTGAGTCGACTTGACTTTCGTCTACTCTGGCCAATTCTGGACGTGTCTCTCTCCTCTGCCTCGTCCATGACTTCCCCCGTTCTTCTTCTCCGCCTGTTACTCGTTACCTTCATCATTGTGGCTCTGTTCGAAGCAGCCGACCAACTACTAGTAGCACCGAAGTCAAAAACTCGTGAGAAATTTGTGAAGGGGAAGAAACCAGATCCTCTTCGGACAGCCAGAGCAGCTCACAGAGTTAACCTTGGCTGCCGATGGGACAACCGTTCGAAAGATACAATGACTGAAAGATACTTCATTAGCGTTCAGGGTATTTTTCTCCCTTGGATTGACAAGCAGGGAACGGTACCAGGTGCGGCAACTCCTGGCGACGGCTCTTCCAAACGCACCAAGCGCTGGCTGTGCATGGTTTTCCGGCTGACAGATCGAACACCCAAAGCAGGTCATGAGGCCTCTCATCCCCGCGGAAAGCCACACTTTCATGTAGCCTCAAAGTGGGTGCTACGGTAGAGGATAGACGAGCTAACCCTATCTGCATTGGCCCTGCAAAGCAATGACCCAGATTTCGTCACGGCAGGTATTCACCCTGCGTATACGATAGAAAGCCGGTGGTACGCTCCAAATAGCTAACAAACTTGCACCCTTGCCCACTACAGTACTACTTGGCATCAATACTTCCTTTCAGATTAGTCATCTATAGCTGGAATGGCTAAGAACGTGGGTTTATCAAACTAATCTATTTTTTCTTTGCTTCTTTATGGCTCTCTATGGTGGTAATACTTTTGAACACAAACATGCAGATGCTCAGTCGCGTTGTTCTACAGCGCCTGACAAGTGCCCTGGGGGGGCCCACAACTGATCAAGAGGTGGTGGCGGCTTGCCATCATTATTAGAGAGCCAAGGCAGCTCCGGCAATGGCTCCAAAGGCGGCAAGAGAGGCCATGGCAGTTTCAGCAGATGATCCTGCACCATTATTCTTCTCAACTGCAAAGGGCTGGGGCTGGACATCAACCGTTTCAGTCACCTCACTCTGAAGCTTGCGGTGGCCATCCACAATCTGGATATTCTTGCGCAAACGACGACGACCACCGGTGGCAGTTCCTCCAAGTTCCAAGAGAATGCTTCCAACTCCAGTCAAGGTCAAGGCTTCATAATCATAAAAGTCAGCAAACAGCAAGAAGGAAACCAAACAGACATTGTTGTCATTTCCTTCATCAACACACTTCTTGGTAGAGAAGATGGTAGAGGCAGGTTGAGACTCGGTGATAATGAGCTGAGAGGGCTCTGCAGCTTCGGCATTCTTGACAGTGAACTCCATGATATCCTTGACTTGGAACTGTCCTGTTTCAACCCTGAAGCAAACGTTGAGGGTACTTCCTTGAGTGGTGACAGCATCAGAACCATCGTTGGTAAGAATGGTGTAGCTGTCAGGGTCACAGAAGTATGCCAAGAGACTGCCGTCAAAGCTGAGATTGGTGTCCTCAGCATCGGTAAAGTCCTCGGCTTGAGTGACAGTGTATCCAGTCAACTCAGGAACTTGGGTAACCAGATTAACATTGTAGGTAAGAAGAACTTCTGCATAGTCAATGAGAGTATCCGCATCATACAGTCCAACCTCGACACAGAACTCCACAATGGCATTGACAGCATCACCAGCATCCCTGTAGATCAGATTGTTTCCAGCAATTCCTTCAATGAATCGAAAGTCCACGGCATTGCCTGCACCGGGGTTGTTGATAATACCACCATGATCAACTTCAATTCCAGTTACATTGGTTGTGGGAAACCAGTGGCCCACAGCCTGGCGATTGGCTGTATCCTTGCGGCACAAGTCAGTGACCTTAATCTTGATATTGGCACTAGCAGCACCATTACCAGTTCCCGTCTCAAAGGTGAATCCCTGGTCTTGCAGGGTTTTGATGGTGACATGCCAGTCGGTGATCTGGAGGTCGCGTCCAGAGTCTTCAGCAGCCACGGCCAAGGCTGGGATGAGGAGCAGCAAGAGGGATGTAATGAACTTCATGTTGGTTTGATTTTTATGCAATTGGTTTGCTTTGGTCTTTGCTTTTTGTTTGCTTTGCTGATCTCTCGATTTTGATTTTGTGAGAAGAGATGGATTGGATTCGAGGCGTCATCTGTTGCGGTGGACGACCATGTGCCGATGGTTGGGTGGATGCAGCAATACGGGGAGGGAGCTAGCAATGACCCGCCATGATTTCCAGTGAAGGTCATGGGAACCTTTCCCTTCCAACAAGTACCAGCACAATCACCGGTGACAAATGCACGCAACAGCTATTTGGTGAGGCGTTCTGTCAGCTGTCTATCAGTACAACCATTTGGCAATCTTTTCTCCCCCATGTCATATTAAACTTCCAATTCATCTCCAGGGAAGCGTTTCTCTCCAGCGAAGTGGGGTTGGTTGCCGCATCAACACGTTGTACGGTGAGACTGGCACTCTCACGAACATGTAGTGCCCCGTGCATGTGGCTACGGTAGCCGGTAGCTACCACCGTACCAATGTCACATGTCACTGGAAGCTCACTGGATTTGACAACAGAACTCTGTGTTGATACAGTACGGAGAACATCCAATAAATATTTGGACATTCTTGGCATTCGTACGATCAAAGATCTACTCCAGTTGGGTCATCTTGACATAAAAGGCTCTTTCCCTCTTTGCTTTGCACTCGAAGAGGTGACAGCAAAAGGACGCAAGTTTGCCCCAACTGTCTTTGTTCAAAACGAAATTAGCGTTAAGGGTATTTATTGAAGAGACAAAGATACGAAGGTCATTTTTGGATCTTCGGCCACAATTTTGCTCTTCTCGTGCAAATTTCTGCGGATGGAGGGTGTGTTGAATCATCCGAGAGCCTTAGTCAAAGTGGCTTCCGCTTCACCCGAGCAACGGGATCTCGTCCACAGAAGGTGCAACACAGCAAAGACCGTTGATGTAACTTGCACAAGCATTTCTTAATTGAGGGGCAGCGAGGGAGACGTCAACCATAGAATTGCATCATTGCATCAGGGATTATTGTCGCCAATTAACATGGTCGGTCGATCCCTCTTGGCGGCGTCCTGTCTGGGTGCTTTCACGCATGCTCCCCTGTGGATCTCCGCTGCTGCAGCACGTTGGGATGAAGGGATGCAAAGATCAGAATGTAGAACCAGTGCCAGCAATTTTTCTTCGTCCAGCACTCGTCCATGTCGAGCACTCCAACTGCGGTCACTAGGTTCAACACCATCACAAGAGCCTTCATCAAGAAGCGTGAGATACGCCAGGGACACGCTCAGGTTTGCGTTCGAGGGGGATATTGAAATGCCATCCTACATGGACTTCAAGACGCTGCTTTGTCAAATGGACTACTTTTACACAATGTTTTTGCAGGAGGGCAAGCCAGAGGACTCATTTACGGATGTCAAGTTGGAAGTATTAGACTGGTCTTTTGGTGGCAATGAGAAAGACTTTCCAATCGTTATATCCTTCATTGCCAATGCTACGGATGAGACTGGGAAGGTTTTAGATCCACAGGACATGAATGAAAAACTGTCCAGTCGGGGCTTCTTCCTGAAAAAGTATGCACAACAGGCATGGCCGGAAGGGCAGAACCAGTTTCATAACACTGACGTAGTTACCATAGAGACGGACGAATGGACCAAGGGACAAGTGCAGCAAGCAGATTTTAAGTTCTCGTCGGTCAAATGCCCGGAACGTGGCAATTTCTTCGCCAACATATCCTTTGGTTTCTTCGATGGGGAGGAAAGTGAACCGACACAACAAGAGGTTCATGATTTAGAGGAACTGACTCGTGACTTTATGGGTAAAGTCTTGCAAGAAGAGTTGAAAACAGACAACGTGGACATTGAATTTGCCGTTGTCGATTGGGAGTACGATGCGAACGGGACTACCATCTTTCCCTTGAATGTTTCGTTTCAAGTAAGAGGGTTCTTTGACGATGGCGCCGAAATCCCACTGAACATCCTCAAGTATCACCTGGCAAGACGGACCGCAGATGGGGGGCAACTCATGCAACATTTTATCAAGCAGGCAGTTTGGGAGACTCCACCCCAAAAGCAAAGTGCGTTCTACAGCGTCAACAAAGCCCAAATGGAAAGCAAGATTCACTTCCTGACATCACAGGAACTAAAATCTACCACCATCTTTAGTGATGCCCTTATTGAAGACGACGATTCATCGGACCCCGAGGATCTGCCAATCGATCTTACAGAAGCCACAGTATCTCCGACTGCGTCACCTACATCGGCTCCAACAGATGCTCCGACGACTTCCCCAGCAGCCGCACCCTCCAGTGCTGCTAACCCGGCCAGCGCAGGTTTTCCGACGGCTCCTTCAACCGGCGGTAGACTCGGTGGTGACGTTGACCTGGGAAATCCCTCAGATACCACTGCCGACGACTCAGGGGACACCAGCGGCATAGGTCCCTCAATGAACATTCCAGGGGCAGGAGCGGGGATGCCACCTCCCAATGCAGATGGCGACACTACCACGGCTGACAGACCAGGAAGTGGTCCCAACGATCGTCCTGGTGGCTCAAGCACTCCTTTGGGACCACAAGGTCAGTTCGGTTCCCTTATCCCCGGAGCTGTCTTGCGCCCTGACCAAAATGACGAATACATGTGTGAGCGTATCCTGGCACAAGTTGACGCAAATGAAGACAAGCATCTCAATAAGGAAGAGTTCGTAGAATTTATCAACAAATTGACGCTGACGAGCTTTCCCTCCTATCCCTTTGAAGCCCTCCCTAGCCAAATCAAGAATGCTTACAACGCTCTGGCAACAACGGATGGGCCTGCAGGAGGATACATCATGTCCACCTCCGCATTCCACTCGGAGAATCCAATAGATGAACTAGTTCAAGACGCAATTCGAAAGAACATCATCTGTCGGGCAGTCCATCAGGCCATTGGGGAAGCCGAAGCCGAAGAACCTACTCGAGGTCCAGCTATCTTGGCTCCTGCCACTGTTGAGTTCATGGCATCTTGCCAAGGTGACGACTGTGGCGTTACAAACAACGCTAGGCTGCTGCAGGCATCCAACAACACGTCGTCGTCCAACGGTGTGGCGACCTTGCAACAAGCTTTCCGAAACTACTTGGAAACAGATATTCAACCAATATTTGATGTTCAGCACAAAGGAGAAGGTGGCCAAAACGTATCATCTTACATGGCGCCAGAAAGTGCCAACATCACGGCGTTGGATTCGATAGATTGCCCTCGACATGAAGGAGACCCAGGAAATGACAATGTCAAGTGCTTTGTAGCCACCGGGGCGTTCAAAGTATTGTGTGAAGGGGACGATCTCCAGCATTGTCAAGGCATCATTGACGAGGCGGAGGGGATGGCGCTTCAAGGCATTGGCGCTGGATTGCTGAAAGAATCGCTGGATCTCATGAGCCTGAAAGGAACTGAATCACCCTGGCAAGTATACCGGAACCTTGATGTCACATTGAGCATGCACCCAAGCTCGAGTCCCACAGATAGACCTTCCTTGGTCCCCACAACAGCTCCAACATTGTTACGCCAAGCCAGGGGCAATCTACCGACGATGGCACCAACAAACAAACGCATCCCAACGGAACGCCCTACCGCCATGCCATCGGAAGCCCCGTCGTCTGTCCCCAGCAGTGCCCCTTCACAGCGAGAAGCAACTTTCTGGGAAAACGCTTTGTTCATCGATGGAGCAGGTCTTGGTTTGGCCGCGGGCGCTTCGATTGCCGCTATGATCGCACTCCAGTTCTTTCGAGAGCTCTTGGTGGATATCGCGATAAAAATTATTAAATGCCTCTTCTGCTGGCGCAGTGATCCAGTGGATGATGACGAGTCAGAGGATGAACAGAGCAATGGAGATCATGACAAGGAGGGAACGGAGAACGACGAAGACCGTGGAGGGGAAGGTGCAGAAGAGGAAGATGAAGAAGAGGAAGATGAGTCCGGGTCGGGCGAAGACAAGGAGCCTGGGATAGCTCGTGTGTAAGTGGTCCTTGGTCTGATTAGTCGTGTAAATAAGCAATCTAAGACCATGGTAAGTTACTGTTTACATGACAATCGTGAGGTGAGATTCGTGTTCCTTTGTGTAGCCTGACTTGGCACTGTCCCGTATAGGGAAAATGAGCGCACGCAACTTCTTCAAAGCAGAAGAGTTCGTTTCAAAAATATTCTGCGCCATCGGCCTGGTCTGCAGATACGTTGACTTCAGACATTGCCGCCTCCCAAAGGGTTGAAGTCGAAGGTGTGATCGTTCAGTTGCAGCCTCCCTGGTTAGAACATGGTACAAAGAATCCAATCTTCTGCGATCCCTGACAAGGCCTCACGGAGTATAGCACCCACCAAACGTTGATGCCTGTTGGTGTAAGAGAATGCCTCCTTTGCATGCATTGGGCAACTATTGACTTCCTATTTCTTCCGCCCCAATTTGATCCTTCAAGTTGCGACTAGTAGCGGGCGGGGATCATTGAATGGATCCTTGCCCTCGGGGAAGAGAATCCAGAACCAAAGTTTATTCGACGCCCTTCTGGATTTCTGTCACGGTTGCCAGGGTGCACTTTGGGGTTTCTTTTACGGTGCCATTGCGCAAGTGGGATCCAGCTACATTGGAAGAGGTTCAAACTACTAGCTAGCAGGCATATGATCTAAGAGCGGGGGACCTTCCACTGAGTGTTGCATTGAATGGCACTCGACGCAAATGCAACCAGCATTGGAGAGGCTCAGACCAGCCAAGCGGACAGAAGCTACGATGTCTTCGCTCAAGAAGCATCGTTTTCGAGCAATCTGCACACATGGATGATGTTGCTCGAATGCTCTCTCTTGGCCGCCGCTGAAAGGCTCGGTACGTGCTATGACAGATACAAAGTAGTGAATGGAAAAGATATCTGCGAAGGCGCAGTCCTTGGCAGAGACGTGACCTACGATTTTTGCTCAAGATTTATCAAAGATGGTTTATTGGTGGATGCTGGGTGCCGAACCGTAAGAAACACCAACTTGAACTTGCCCCCGACGACGACAGTACCGCCGAGGAGCCTGAAGGTGTGATCGTCAAGAATAGAAGGTCGCTCCAAGGCACACATTGTACTGGAACCGATTGCTGCACCACCTACATTTCGGGCGATCTACACCTTAACGTAAGCTCCTTTTGAGCAGCAAATGAGTTGTAGCCGCTTCCTACTCGTTCTCCGCCTCACTGACTCGACTCTCCTCTCTCCTCAGACTTGGAAAGGTGAATCTTTTGACTGCCACGGAGAGGTAATAGAGCCTGCAGGCACAACAGATCGCGTGCTGGAAGGTATGTCGTTCTAGCAGCTACTCATTTTGCTCGTCTTCGACTTCTCAATCTGCCTCCAGTGCGACTTGGTCATGGTGAAGGCTCCATCGTTGGCCACAACCGTTCACGGTGAGTATCTGGAATCCCGTTCCTTTGAGAAGCTCTCCCTGGATCGCCCTCTTTGCCTATTGTGTAAGCCGTCATTCACTCCCTTCCCTGCGCTTGAAGTTCGCACTACGACGACTTCTCCTTCATTTCCAGCGCTGCCATGCAAGTCGGACAGGACATCTTGGAGGTCTCTGGATGGGGCAACTACCTTTTCAACGGAGTAAACGGTGCTGGTACTTTGGGTCTGGGTGGAAACTCTGTCCCGAATCTTCAGAATGGAGGTCCCATCACCTACAAGATGGTGAACGAGAAGCAGCATGTATTCGACATCAAGCTTGGTGAAGCAGTGTACCTCGATTGGATTTCTGTTACATTGAATGGAGGCCCATTCGATAACATGGGCGACAGCGTCTTCTTATGCAAAGGTCCGGCGCGGGTTCACAGCGTGTCAGCACGTGATCACCCCCTAATAACGGGCAAGTCCCCAGAACCTCTGCATGCATGCTCCGGCACACGCCACAATAATTGCAGAAGAAGACAGGAGGACAACCCATTTTCTGGCTTCGGAAGAGTCGCTATATTAAGCCTTGTGTATAGTAGAGAGAAAGTCAAGTGTGATATTGAAGGCTTTTTTTCAATGTAACGTTTAGTTCTATTCAAGATTCTTCTTTTCAGTTGGAGGCACAGATGTTGATGAGATGATGTTGGATGCAGTAGGAATGGGAGAATCTTTGTGGGGTATTCTTCTTAGCCATCAATTTGTCTTGAAAGGATACCGTTGCAACTACTAGAGCAGTCATTGCAGGCTGACAGTCGAAGAGTCAGACGTCATCATGGAGTGAGCGGTTGAAGCAGATCGCTTCACTCCAGGCCGCTTTGATGTGCTTTCCTCTTGTCGAGACAAAGAAGCCGTAGTCTCTGTCTTCAAATTTGACTTGATCCTTGAAGAAACTGTCTTTGTGTTGGTTCCTTCACTGGTCACAGAACTGGCAGAGGCACTGCAGCGATGGCACAAGAGTAGATATTCCACAACAGCCAGAGCCACAAACCATATTGTCAATACCAGCAAAGCCAGGTGCTCCGTTGAGACAGGAGCAAATCCTGTGTACCGAGCAATGAATGATCCATCCGTGGCAATGCAGGACAGAGCATCAACACAGTACTCTTCTGAGCCATGGTACTGAAGAATGTTGAGTGCTCCTCCTGAAATGGCCCAGAATGTGAAGGAAAACACATACATCCAAGAGAGCCATGGTGGAAGCTGCCTGGATGGAACCAACAGACCACCAAACAGAAAGCAGAGAAAAATAAACACAGAGTAGAACTTGCTGAACTTGCGGTAGTCTCCACGGAAGAACACACAGATAGTCCGGCCAAGCTGCAAAGCCACCAAGAGATGAGCTGCCGAGAAGAGTATTTGCACAGCAAGTGACTGAAAGGACCAGCCAAGGACAGCATAGCCAAGAATATGGGCCACAATAAGAGAAAAGAGTGGTGTTGCAAATGAAAATGTTTGGGTGGCAAGCTGGTAGGAAAGCAAAGAAATTCTTTGATCATCCATTTCCACCTGATGAGCTGACCACATCTTGCAAGAGAGGTGGATCTTGTGTCGGAACAGGTTAACAGGAATCCCAATGAAGAATGTTGCTACCAAGACCTCTTGAATGGGTGACCCACCATCAAAACGCAACACCATGGCAAAGAGCATCAGAATGATTGGGAGCGTCAGTAGGTCTACAGGGTCCGACCCATAGTTCGCATGGAGACGCCAGCATAGGAATGCTGTCTTGCTGAAAAAGGCAAGGAAATGTCGCCAGCAACTTGCCTTTGGCTTCTTGTTTGTTCCTTCCTCTTCAGATGATACTGGAGTTGGTGTTGCTGAGGAGCGTGGAACAGGGTTCTCCTTCCAGGCCTCTGAACTATCTTGTTCTCTCTCTGTCTCATCTTTCGTGTAAAAATAAATGGTGACTTCTGGATCGATGGACTTTGGCCCCGACCTTTCAACCACTGAGTCTTTCCCTGTCATGCTTGCAAATTTTACATTGTTTTCAGAAGCATTGCTTCCACTGGAATGTCCCAGAAACCCTGCCATTATGGAGCCCAGCTCACGACGAAAGTCTGCTGCAAAGGATTTGTTAGCAGCACAGTCTCTCTGCATCCTGACAAAACCATTGTCCATCACAACGACTCTGTCAAGGTATTGCAGAACTTCCTCTGATGGGTTGTGCAGAGAAAGGATGACAGCACAACTGTACTTATTCGAAAGGAACTGCACAAACTCCATAACCTGAAGAGAAGAGGCATCGTCCAGACCACTAAGGGGTTCATCAAGAAGAACCAATTGCGGTGTCAAAAGTAGAGTGGTGGCAATGGCAAGAATCCTCCTCTGGCCACCACTAAGGTTCTTAATTGTGGTATCAGTAAATGGATTCAGGCCTGATGGCTCCACTCTGCTCTTTACCATTTCCACACAGTCATGTACCCGATTGCTGTCTGCCCCATAGATGGAAGCAGTGGTTTCCAGGAATGTTGAGGCAGTCATGTTCTCCATCTGGACAGAATCTGATTGGCGCAGAAAGGCAACATCACCATCAGGGCATTGCATTTCAATTTGCCCCCCTGAAACCCGCAGACTGCGAAGTTTCTGTCGACTCAAAGCAGACAGGAGTGTGGACTTTCCTGATCCTGATCTACCAAGTAACCCAATGACAGAACTTGAGTTGATCTGTAGGTGGACGTCCTGGAGAACTTTGAATCCCTTTTCCGCAGTCACTACAGACAGGTTCTTCACAGAGCAAATATTGGTGCGAACAGGAATAATTTTCTGGGCCGCATGGCACTCAGATCTTCCCTCCTCCATCTCTGCTTGATACTCTTCTTGGTTTGTTTCCTTCACCTCCTTGGTTCCCTTTGAGGCACTTGTTGTACACATTGCTGGCAGTGGCAGTCGTGCAGCTGCCGTGGCAATGATCAGCGCAATGAGAATATACCAGCCAATCTGCAAGTCCAATGGAACTGGATTAAAGGATTCTTCAAGCTCAAAGAGTGCTTGGCACTCATTAGGATGCCCCACAATGGAGGCACAGTTTGGACCCTTGCATTCATCTGCAAACACGAGCAAGCTTTGGTCACTGCTCTCTGGTCTAGGTTGACCATCATTGTGCTGGGAAACAAAGTCAGATACAATGTTGCGAATTGAGTTTCCTTGCACTTTTGCCAAGTTCCAGGTATCCGTTGTCTGCCACAGAGTAACTTGAAGATCCACTTGCCCAATAGTAGACTGGATTCCTGCACCATCACTGCGACACCGAATTACAAAGTCCCTGTCGCTGAAGTCCCCATGCAAGCATGGCCTGTGCTGGATTTGCACCGATGGGATAAAGAATCCATGAGCAACACAAGATGAAATGTACCACGAACCTTTTGGTCCCAGTGATTCATCTTGAGAGTCAGGGAGCCAAAGAGATGTTTCGAGGGCACGGGTGCCTCTTGAACCAGCTGTCTCAGCTCCTTCCCAGACATTGCTCATGACATCAATGAATCTCTTTTGGTCAGAAGTGCTCTTTTCACTGGAGGCAGCAAGTGCCAAGGGGTCATAGTCGCCATCCAACAGCAGGACCTCCTCTGTCATCACAGATCCCTTGTTTGTCTTGGGTGAACCGATGGATCGAATGTTCTTGTCATGACGAAACATGCAATGAGATGAGAGGCAACAAGGCAAGTCGGTGATTGTTGACTTGTAGTGGCGTGAGTACTTGTTTGACACGTCACACAGGGGATGTTCAGTCAAGTTCACATATGTTTCCATTGTACGGGAGAAGTTCTTTTCATGCCATCGATCACTGATAGAGGGGGCATCAAAAATGTATTGCAACTTGCCAACACCAACTGACTGGGCTGCTTCTTGGACATCTCCTACATGATTCATGAGCCCAATGGAACCAGCACTGATTCCAAGCACTACCAGTTGGCTTACACTACCATGATGTTGACCAGTCACGCTTCTCTTCCAGTGGGCTATTGCACTGCGGAAGATGTCTGATCCACCATGAGTGAACTCTCCAACCATCCCCTTCTGCAAGTCTCCTAGAAACAAATCTTGGGTGCAATAGGGGACGAACCACTTTGCATAGCTTTGGAAAGGGTTCTGTTCTTCAGGGTCCTCTGAGAGAATAGTTGCGCCTTCTATTGTTCGAGGGAGCAGTGTACTGGAGAACTTGTAGGGCTCTGTGATGGCCTCCTCCAGGCAATCTTCAGGATCTGTACATGCACCTCCCCCTTCAAAGACAATGATGTGCTTCGTTTGATCAAGCTGTTGGGAGTTGGTGTGGCCTTCATGAACGTTTGAGAAAATCCCAGCAGGGCTTCCATCAGCACAAGGGACAAATGGTTCAAAGGCTTGAAAGACCAATGATGCCTCCGCAAGGGCCAAGAGGACTGAAGATAGCATGAGGGCTCTCACGTGTAGCATATTTGTTGTTGCTTTCATGTTTCCTTTATTTATTGAGCTAGTATAGAGAATGGCACGGAATGCTTGGATGCAATAGAATGGTGTGGGTGCTTGTATTTCTGAACTTTGTATTGTTAGTCGAAATTTTTGGATTTTGCTATCAATAGTTTTGGATGGTAGGATTGTGGGTTGTGTTTCGTTCCTCTGCGGCTCTGCGAGTTAACACGAGATCCATAACTCTACCCTTAAATATTTTCGCTATTTTGGCGGAAAAGCGCACTTTCGGCACAGCGACAATGGTAGGGGTAACCAAATAAGCCGTTCCCATCGCTTCTAACACCTCTAAAACGAACCTAGAGCACTTGGTATGGTGCTCAAAGGTTGTATGGATCATGCTGGAGCCCATCGGCGAGAGGAGGTTGTGTCCATTGTCCATTGCCACCACCCACAGCTTCGGTCGGCGGCAGCCCATTTCGCTACCATTTCGCTACCATTTCGTTGTTGTTATCTTCCTCGACGACAAGAGCAACGATAGTACGGTACCGATAACAAGGCCTCCAAGGCCTCGAAGAGTGCAAGGCGTCGAACGTAACAGAGAAAGTTCCAGATATGGGATTTTCTGAGGAAAGGCAGCTTTCAACAAGCGAACGAACGAACGAAGTACGACAACAACAAGCTACCGCTGTACGACAACAACAAGCTACCGCTACCGCAACAAGAAGAGGATTGGCAACAGTGGCTTCCGCTACCACTACAGTCTATTGTGTCGGCAGACAACAAAACGCTACCGCTACCGCTACCGCTACCACTGTGACAACAACAACAACAACAACAACGGCTACCGCTACCGCTACCGCTAATACCAAGTCCATTGTGGAAGATCAACTGCAACGAAGCTACGGCTACGGAAAGGTGTCCTCTGAGCAACAAAGAAGAGCGGAAGCTTATCGGAGCGACGGGAAAAGCGCAGTATTTGCGCTGTATTTGTATTCTCTACCGGAGCAGCCACCGGAGCAGCTGCCGCAGCGAATTTTGACGACCGAAGCCACTAAGCCGACAACAACAAAGAGTTGGCTACTACAATTTACAAACGAAAGAATCAACAGCAGTCTATTGCGTCGAGGAAATATGACCTGCTTCTGGTTTCTGGTTCAGCAATTTTGAAGGCCTTTGTCGAGGGTATTACAGTCTACGAATGATACCAACATTGAGTGATGATCGCTACGAGGTGGAAGTGCATCGTCATACTGTATGCATTGGTCTATGCATAAGTGTCGTTTACCATATTATTGCAAAGTTGCATCGTCCAATTTGAATTGCCTCCAACCAACAACAAAAAACCTCGACCATGGCGCCCCGAGCGGCTCCCAGGGACGGCACTTGAGGTTTTCATGTGAACCAACATTGTGGGGGCCCACCATACATGTAATAGAATTGATATATAGTCTCCAATGGGTTACCCCTACCTATTTTAATGGCTTGGTTTGGTGACTTTCCACCAATTCTAGAGCAAAATCTAAGGGTCCACTCATGGATCTCGTGTTAAGACTATCGATGAGGAGCTTGATAGTTTTGGATAGTAGGATTGTGGGTTGTGCTTCGTTTTTGCTCCGCTTGATAGTTTGGATTGTGGGCTGTGCTTCGTTTTTGCTCAGCTCCGGCCATTCCAACATTTTTGGTGGCTCCCGTTTTTTTGTTGCTGTGCCAAAGCAGGGTTCGTGTGCTTAGATGTTTGCGCTGCCAAGTCCACAGCTACCAGGGGATAGCCGTCCATCTCCTTGAGTCGAGTCACGATTCTCACGATAACCATTGACCCAAACGTTTTACCACATTACTTATGGATTCGATTCCCACATTGGACTGCAAACTATTACAGTCTACTCGCGCTAATATTTATAATATTATATTTATCCTCGCTGTAATATTTATTAAATCTCGAGGTCCCCCCTCAGTCCCGGGTATCCGTGAATGAATCTTTCGAGCAGCAACAAATCTTTCGAGCAGCCCGACAACGTCGTCCAATCCATTCCAACCGTTTCAATTTGACCGAGACAGCATGTAAAATGCCAATATCGATCCAATGGAGGTGGGATTCCTCGCACCTCTGCCCGTGGCTGTCTTGTCTGGGCCAGCCCAAGCGCTGGTTGTTTACGTGCAGTTTTCGAAGGATGGTTTCGAGGAGACAAAAACAATTCTCCTGAGCTGCCAAACAATTTCACCCAAACCATACCAAACCCTCCAATCTGACATAGACACAACATGAACGGCGCCATAAACACAACAACGCCGATAAACGGCGCCGATTCAACGTAACGAAGAAAGGAACGAAGAAAGGCGGAAAGAGGGGACCAAAAGCAGGTTCAACGAATGCTACTGGGAAAAAGAACAGAGGCTGAAGAAGCACTCAATAAGCTGTCCGAAAGTGCTCTGCTTTGGGTATCAACCAGGCAGCCACTGTGCATCTTGACAGGTTTGCTAGGGCATTGAATGTGGCTAGGGCGCTAGGGCAGGCAAACGTAAACGCGACGGCTCTATCCATTCGTACTTTACTAGTGGAACCGGCCCTTGAAAGCCTTATATTTATTCTCTCTAATATATTTATCGAAATCCGCAATCCCCCCCCATAAATAATAGAGCGAGTCAACTGTACCGTAGTACTCCTGCGGGACCTTATGCGGTGTTGGCGAGGTGATCAAACCACAAGGTTTGTACGACTTTAAAATAAAAAGTAGCCCCTGAGAAAAGTCCTTGCCTCGTGCTGTGGCTCGGGCGCTGGCCGCTCCAAAGACAGAAGGTCTCTTAGTTAGCACATGGATACCGCTCGGTTACATGGAACTTTGCTCGGGGGCTGCTCCAAAGATTGAGGTCTCCGCAGTCCCTTATTAGCTAGCACAGGTCTACCGGTACCGCTCGGTTGCACGGATCCTATAATAAAGTCCTTCCTGGCTGAGAAGGCAAAACTGCTGCAAATTTCCCGGTCTTTGGCAATACTCTTTGCACAGGCAAAATAGACTACCGCGCAGATACATCATCTTTTTAATTTTAAAGGTAACCATTCGACCAAACCTATTATCACCTTGCCAACTTCTTTATTTCTTTGTTGGCAATAAGCGTGCAAGTTCGAGGACTAGTCTCGCATCGCTGATGGTTGCTCCCTCGGTACCGGTACCTTGTAGCGAGATCTCCCAAACCGTACTTCTACTGTAACACATCGGGGCGTTTTGCGTGTATTCTGCTATGTAGCAAACTGTCGTACCGTCGTATCAGACCACACCCCATCCGCATCAATGAAATCCTTGTACCTTGTACCACCTTCAGAAAGCCTAAGAAAAGCAGTTTTCGTGTTTCTCGATCCAGTCAAACTCGTCTAAATGTAAATGTTGTTTCCAACTTCAACAAGGCAGGGCAAACTGGTGTCTGTCGACTGTCGTTTTTCGTGTTTTCTTTTTTCTTGCACCACTCTCAGTCTCTCAGTACCGTATGCATCGAGTAGATCTAATTAGATTCTTGGTTTCCTTGTTTCCTTCTCCTTTCCTTGGTTGGTCTCAGTGAATCGACTCAGAATGGAGATTCTTACAGCATGGAGAGAACGCTTATTTAGGGTTCCGGAAACTGTGCTCTAAATACTGCACAGTACCACTCAGCGCAGTCTCAGCGCTTCAAGAAAGCTCGTCAAACTAATAGACTATTATCCATTCTGCATTATTTCATTATTATTTGGGTTTCGGGACTTCGTCCTTGCAGCCCAGGAGCTGCCAAATGCCAAAGATCATTAGATCATAGAAGCAACTTTGCTCAGACAAGATATCAAGGAACCCGGGTAGAGCACTTTGATCGTTCCAAGTGCCTCACCACTGCTCCAGCTAGCTACTAGGAGTACTCCAGTAAGTACAGTCGTAGAGCTAGTAGAGATCTCTCGACTCGCGACGAGGCGTCGGAATCTGTCCTCTTGGGGCACTAGTAGCAATCTGTTGCATTGGGCAGACCTATAAGAAGTTTTGCCCTTTGGAAATGTTGTTAAGCTTCGCACTGGGGGACTGGGGGTAGATTCCTGTACATTTGGCCTTCCCGTGCAGTGTCCAAAGCACTAAAAGCGTGTTGGATACAGGTACTAGCTAGCTAGTAGCTGGTTGGAGTCTTGAAGTGTTGGAGTCGAGTCTTTGGAGTTGAAAAGCTAGCTAGTTGAAAGAAGTTGAGCCAAAAAGCGGTCGAACCTCCTCACTTTTTAAAACCTTTACTCCAAACGTGTGTGAACTACGAGCAGCTTCGATTTTATTGATTCAAACGGGTGCTGGCATGTCTGCTACAGTTCTACGAGAGCTCCTGTAGAAGTGTACTGAAAAGAGTGGCGTGCGTTTGAATCAATAAAATCGAAGCTGCCTGTAAGTCTTTGCAGCTGAGCAGTGTACGAGGTAACGGTCCGGTAAAACCGCACAGATTCCGAGTGACTGAATGGCTCGCTTAACTCGACTCACAGACCTCTTTCTGTTATTTCTTCCAACTTCCAACCACCTGACTCACTCACAAAACCAACTCATCGACAAAACCAACTCACAAACAACAAAGGACTGTTCCCACTTCCGCTTCCTCTACAAACAAATGGCAAACCTCATTACAAAGCATGATCCTTACCATCTTCACAAGATCCTCGGGCTCTTTGTCCTGATCAACTACATATACCGCTTCTTCCTTGCCTTTCGCTATGGCACGGCTTTTCCCAAAGATGAACCACTCTGGATATCCACTCTCTCTGGGTCGCTACATCGGCGGCTCTTTCCTGGTCGTCACTGTTGCTTCCGTTACCGTCAACTAGAAATTTCAACTCTCCGATGATTTGGCCTGAATTCCGACTCCATTCCATTGCCTTCGGTACCCGGCACGTGATCACGACAGTCTTGTCACTCAACAACCTTTGGCCTCAGAATCTGTGGCTCCATGCACTCACTCGCGCTGTCATCGTGGTAGGGACCATCCAGGTCGCATCCATCATTACCAAGAAGTGGGGTTGTCGAGAAAAGAGAACCACAAATGCCATGCCATACCCCAAATCAGTGACTCCGGAACAAGAGCAGGAGGTCAAATCTGGGTACACACGAGCCCAGTTTTCCGCTACCAAGGCGTGCCAGTTGCCGGATGCTACCATGAACTTTGCTCCCTTGCTGGGGATTCAAATGGCACCCTTGCTCATGACGCTCGTGAGAAAAGGCAAGGCCACAAGTTACACCTATCATCGAGTGTACTCGGCGAGTCTGTTCCTGGGATACGTTATGGTCTTCATCCGAATGATCATGGAGCCCCACCTGGCTGTCGTGGCCTTTGCCGTCATGAGCTTGCCCACATCCAAAATCCGCAAATACACATCTCCAGTGGTCTTGGGAGTTGTTCAGGTGTTCTTTAGCATGATTGTCTGCCCTCTACTTATCAACCCATTTCTCGAAATGTTCATCTCAGATGCCAACCAAGATCTCATTTCAAGGCTTGCCTTGATTGCCGCGGTTGTCACTTGTGCCAGGCAATGTGAGTACTACAGGCCTCTTTTTATGGCAACCGAATCATCTGCATCCAAGCAACTGTCGATGTCAAATGATGCAGGTGGTCTCTCGTTTACCAGTGGCATTGGCAATGCCGCCGAGTTTGTGTTCCCCCTTGCCGCCATTCTCTATGTCGGTGCACCGAAGCTCATGTCCATGCTCCAAGAATACAGTGAACATGGTCTGCAGACTGAGCTCTAGCTATTATGGCTAGTAGCTAGTCGCATCCTTCTAGAGAGTTTCTTGAGTCTGTAAGTCAAAAATAGAAAATACATTAGGAGTTCCATACCCACGCTAAAAGCCACAGCAAGATCTTTGGTGGAAGATCGAGAGACGCGTAAGCTTTTACTGCCCTCCAGCCACACGCTCAGCTACGGTACGGCTTTAGCAGGGCAACTGGCATCTATCTCTGAAAGAAACATTATCTTTAGAGAGTCCATCATGAGCCTCATCTCTTGTGAGACGAGTCCATTGAAGGCTGTGGCGCACGCAACAAATGCCCGGAACAATTAAGATGCTGGATTTGTACACTCCTGAGATTGGGCTCGTGGTTGGAGGAAATGTACTGGGAGGACTATGCCAATACCAAGATCAACTACACCGTCAATCGCCTGTTCAATGAATGATCAGATATATCCCTTTCTGCAGTAATGACCAAACACCAAAACGCAAGCCCAGAGACAAGGACACAACCTTTGCTGTTGACAGTATTGAAAAGTTTGCATAGTTTAATGCATAGCGCTGCTCCATCTTCAAAGGCTGTTGCATTCCGGAGGCATGGACCGTACGGTACCAGTGCAAGCCCCGCAATGCGATCTGCCAGGTACCATGACTGGACAGAGCCAGAGATGCCAGCTGGACAGGCAGGGCACTTCAACTTTGGTCGCGGATTGTTGACGTCACCCAAAAAGGCTTCCGAGAAGACACGTTTTGGTACCGGTGGGCACAGCAGTGTCATCTTTGACTGTGCTGAATTTTCGCCACAAGATCCTGACACCGAGTGTCAACTCACTTCAGGAGCTGGATGTGAGATAACACAACGCTTGGGTGCGGTTGCAAGCAGTCCATCGAGAGGAAGTACTGTAATACAAGATTGGTGTCATCAACAAGGGCAAAGTCGCAATTTTTGGGCGGCACCGGTAGACTGGTGGGCTTCCGTTGGCTTAGCAGCCTTCTCCCTAAAAATGAATCTTGTACTTTCAAATGGATTGTCAGTTCAATGGAGTCGAGTCGAGTCGAGTCATTGCAATTGGGGCTTGCGACCCCTCAGGGAGCTATCAAGGTTCGCACAGAGTGTCAAGAGGATGTCATGAGTTGGGGGTGTCAAGGATCCTTTGTAGCTGCAGTTCCGGTATCTTTCCTTGGTTGAGCTCGGCATTGCTTGGTTTGCAATAATTTGCATTCTCTCTCTTTCTTTAGCCACAAAATCAGTCCTTTACAAAAATAAAGTTGACTAGTTTCCCTTCTGCCACTGCTGTAGAACCAACACCAACAAAAAACTCGCTTCAGTACTACACGTAGTACCGTAGGTTTTTGCTCTCCTCTGTTCATTTCGTTTTTGCGTTTTCTCCTTCAAAATGCCTCCCAATATCAAAGCTGGAGTTTCCAAAACCGATGATCATCAGATCATGATGGTTGACGACATTGACAACCCCGATTGGTGGAAAAGCAAGGTTCATGTTCCTGGTTCCGACTCGGCCAACAGCCGCATTGAAGCGGCCGAACAAGCTGGTGTTCCCTCTGCCGTGGCAGCCTGGGCCACGGTCGACCCGTCCAAGTTGGGCGAAACCGAACAGCCCTATGCCGTGAGCAACATTGTCAATGGACACTGGGCAACGGCTGCCAGTCGCATGAGTATCCCCAATCCCATGGACAAGAGCAAGCCCGATGTCTTTACCATTCCCGATACTCACGAAAACGAGTTGCAGCCCTTTTACGACAGCTTGAGAGCTGTCCCCAAGACAGGAGTTCACAATCCCTTGAAGAACAACCATCGCTATGTCGAGTATGGAGAAATTACTCGCAAGGTACGGTATAGAAAAATTATCTTGTCCTTGGATGTGTGTGTTGCATTGTACTCAAACTCAAGCTCAACTCAATCTTTTTCTTTTTTTCAGGCTGGAGCGGCCCTCTCTACCCCCGAGGTGGCTGAGTTTTTCACTCAGTGCATCATGAAGTGTGTCCCCAAGAGCCACGCTCAGGCCATGGGAGAGGTAATATTTTTTTCCTCGACTTGAAGTGGCTTCCTTTCCGATTTGTTCCAACTCACCATTTCTTCTTGGTTTCCAATAAACTCCGCTTTTCTTTCCAACTACCAACTTTTGCAGGTCAAGGTCACTGCTGCCTTTTTGAACAATTTTGGAGGAGACAATGTCCGTCGCTTGGCTCAGTCTTTTGGTGTCCCAGGTGACCACTACGGCCAAATGAGCCACGGATACCGTTGGCCTTATGGACCTGTGGCTATTATTTGCCCCTTCAATTTTCCTCTCGAGATCCCCGTCTTGCAGCTCATGGGCTCTCTCTTTATGGGAAACAAGCCCGTCTTGAAGCCTGCTGAACTCTGTGCCATTGTCATGGAGCAGTACCTGCGCCTCCTTCACCACTGTGGCATGGACATGAAGGATGTCGACTTTTTGTGTGCCCGTGGTCCCGTCGCCCAGCACATTATCATTGACACCCCCGTTCGCATGACCCAATTCACTGGATCCTCCAAGGTGGCGGAACACTTGGCCCGTGAAACTCATGGAAAGATCATGTTGGAGGATGCTGGCTTTGACTGGAAAATTCTGGGTCCTGATGTGTCCGATGTCGACTTTGTGGCCTATCAGTGCGATCAGGATGCCTATGCCACCATCGGACAAAAGTGCTCGGCCCAGTCCATCATGTTTATGCATGAAAATTGGAGGTCGACCGGTTTGCTCGACAAGATGAAGGCAAACGCAGCGACTCGCAAGTTGGACGATTTGACTGTCGGTCCAGTCTTGACTGTGACAACTCAGCGCATCTTGGACCATACCAAGCGCTTGTTGGAGATCCCTGGAGCCAAGCTTTTGTTTGGAGGCAAAGAGTTGGCCAACCACAACATTCCCGATCGTTATGGTGCGGTGGAGCCCACGGCAGTCTTTGTCCCTCTGGCGGAGATGCTCAAGAAGGAACACTTTGAGCATTGCACCACGGAAGTCTTTGGACCATTCCAAGTTGTCTCCGAGTTCAACGACGACAGCTTGGATGGTGTCTTGGAAGCCTTGGAGCGCATTTCTCATCACTTGACTGCGGCTGTCGTTTCCGACGATGTCAAGTTCCAGACCAAGGTCCTGGCTCATTCAGTCAATGGAACCACGTACTGTGGACGTCGAGCTCGTACCACGGGTGCACCTCAGAATCATTGGTTTGGTCCTTCTGGAGATCCTCGCGGCTGTGGCATTGGTACCCCCGAAGCCATCAAGTTGGTGTGGTCGTGCCACCGTGAAATCATCATGGACAGTGTCCTCCCTGATGGATGGACGCAACCCAAGGCTACCTAAGCAAAGGATGGTGCAGACAAGAGATTTGATTTGCCTGAACTGTACCGGTATGGTGGAAGAGGCGTCAGACAACCAAACAGCTCGACGGCTACGAACAAGTCGTTGCTCCGTTAGTTGTGTGCACCTTCCTGCTGTTTTGCATACTAAGTTCTTATAAGAGTTAAAATATCCATTGTAGTCAACAGCGAATGATTGTATCTGTTTGCTCTTCAACAGCTGTACGCATACCGTACCGGTATAAGCAATCAAGCCTTCAACAGTGGTCAACCGATAGATACCCATCAATTTCAAGCTGTTCCATGCATTGGCCATTGGCCTCGTGATCACAACACGTCACCCGCCAAGATGTAGAGGCATGAATCCTGCATCTAGTTGAGATACGAATCTGGGGATGATCTGATATACTACTCCCCGCATCCGCTGCCGTTGTCCAAGCAGCTGCTAGTTTCAGGTTCGCAGAGTCGTGTGGCTAGCATCGAGGTCCTTAGAAGGCTAGTTTTAGTTTGGCAATGTCTTGCACCCGGTCAGCGGCGCATACAGCTCGGCGTGGAGAACCCGCGAGTATAGACTTCCTACTCAAGAACGACCGGTGGTCTAGCTAGATGTCCTAAGGAGCTACGTTGCTGTGTATTGAAGAAGTATGATCAGATCGTCGAATGATGAATCGAAGATATCCATTGCCGTCGCAGAGTGTATACAAGAGCCTCTCAGTGAATTCCCATTCTTCGTCGGCGAACTAAGCTGGTGAGACCAACAAGTTGCCCGATTCTCGTTTCGTCAAATTAGTCTGTGCTTTGGCAAGGTCCGCGCTATCCACATCCAGAAGACTTGACAACCCGTGAGTCCTCTCATTCATTTTCTTGCCGCTGTTGACGCTCTCATCTAGCAAAACGCTGTCCTGTGAGAGGGCTCGCCGAAGTGTAGGGCGGTAACCCTTTGGAGGGATGGAAGTAGCCAGTTCTTTGGTAAGGTCCGCGCTATCCATATTCAAAAGACTAGACAAACAGCGATATCCCTCGTTCTTTTTCTTGTCTTTGCTGACGATGTCGTCTACCATAAGGCTGTCCTGAGACAAGGCTCGCTGTAGCGAACCGGTAGGGCGGGGACCCTTCGAAGGAACGGGGCTCTTCAAGAAGTCAAGCGATTTCTTCTTCGAGCGCGGACTATTCGATGGCAGCAATGACCCAGCGCTCTTTTTCTTCGATCGAGGGCTCTGTGTCGTACCGGCAGGTGTAGCGTGGATAGGCAACATGGAAGGGTTTCTTGGTCGGGGAGCCTTCGTCTCTGATGATGGCTTGAGCCAAGCATCAAGACTCTTTGACGGCTCCGTCGATGCATCCGACATATCCAGAACAGGAGCCGACTCGTGGAAGTTCTTCTTCCTGCTACGACGTGAGTTTTTGGAGATGTCTTTCTCCTCGCCTCTCTTGGCATCAGCATCTTCTGCTACCGTGCCAAGGGCCAGCATCGGAGCAGAATCATGCAAACTCGTTTTTGGTCTGTTGCGACGAGGACTTCGCGGTGAGGTCTTCTTGTTCCCGGAAACAGCGAGCGCCTCCGCTGTGTCCTGTTGGGTAAGTCGCGAATTGTCATTGGGACCTCTGCTCGAGTCGTCCATCAAAATGTCGTCATCGCCTTGGTACTTGAGAGCAGCAGGGTTATGAAACGTCCGTGTGTGCGTCGCCACGTGGTCGTTGTCGGCCGGGGTACTGATATTTGCGTTGAAATCTTTCCTCAAAGCTTCGATTCCTTGCTCTTGTTGGCTTCTAGCCGGTGCCGAGTGCCGAAAGTCACTATCTCTATCGATGTATGCGGAGGTTGGAACGCTGCTTTTGTTCTGGCTGCCGGCTTGTTGTTGCAGACCATCTTCGAGGGCTGCTCGAAGGTCATCAAGCTCTTTGTCTCCGCGATCGGGGGCAGAGTGTCGCATACTGTTTTCTCGTTGCAGACTGTTTTGTCTCGAAGGGCTAATCTTTTTGGAGCTATTCTCGCGAGAATAACTAAAGTTCTTTTTGCTGTTTTCTCGTGACAAGCTCTTCTTGTGATGGCTACTTCCAGACAGCACTCTCTTGCTGTTTTCTCTCGACAAACTGAGGTGCTTTCTGCTGTTCTCTCTCGACAACCCACTGTTCTTCCTGCTGTTTTCTCGCGACAATCCAGGATTCTTCCTGCTGTTGTCTCGCGAAAGGTGTCTCTTGCTGTTTTCCGGTGATAAGGAAAGATTCTTGCGGCTGCTCTCTCTAGACATGCGAAGATTGCTCTGACTAATTTCTGGTGACATGCTCTTCCTCCTGCTACTTTCTCGTGACACACTCTTTCGGGGGGAGCCGGTCCGACTTAAGCTTGGGCTACTCTGTCTGGACCGCCTTCCACGTAGATTGCGGCTGCTGCCATGGTTGACATTTTCCTCCTTGTGATCCTCGGATGGTTTCTCCCCTTGTGGTTTGTTGTTGTCACCGTTGTTGACGCCATCAACTGATCCTGTTTTCTCGGGAGCATCATCCTCTCCTCCCATGCAATGTTGTCGCAGTTTCTCCAGTTTTTTGGATCCGCTGACGAGTCTCCTACTACTGAAAGGCTTGTCGCCACGTTGTAGACTGTTCTCTCTAGGAAGACTGGTTTGTCGGGACATAGCAGGCCTTCGTTCTTTGCGCGCTGCATCTTCCGCATCAAAGCTTAGGCTCGGAGACGACATGTGCAGGCTCTTGTCCTTGCTACCAGTACGGGGAGGTAATTCCCTCTTTCGATGAGGGCTTCGGCTGTGATGGGGAGAAGCCGAGGTTGTGGGTGAGCGAGATCGAGTCAAGCTCCGATTCACTCTCATGGTTCTGCGCGCTTCGTTGACGGGAAAGTTTCGTGGTGGATCCTTACTACCACGACTTCGGGACCAGCTCACTTCCTGGCCATCTGTAGTGCGCGAACGCTGCATTTTTGGTTTCATAACGTGTTGTGTATCATGCGGTGATGCTGCCAACGTCGGGGCAGTATGGTCCATGCTCCTGCTTCGGCTTTGTCGGGGATCTCGTCCTTGCGCAACAGGGTCTCTTGCAGCATCATCCAACTTGTTGTAGCTGGTTGTCTTTCGAAGAGACCTGTCTTCCTGGTCCTTATCGTCGCGAGATTTCCTGTGGTGATCGTCCCGTGGTTTTCGCTCGTTGTCGTCTTTTTGTTCCTTTCTCCCTTTGTTGTCGTCTTTTTGTTCCTTTCTCCCTTTGTTGTCGTCTTTTTGTTCCTTTCTTCCTTCGTTGTCGTCTTTTTCGTCTTGCTCCTTTTTCTCTCCTTCTTTTGGTGGCTCTACTTGTTTTGTCAGCTCGAGCATTCGTTGGTAGTATACCACCTCATCTTGGTATTTGTTCTTTTTGTATTTGTCTTTAATGAATTTGGATCGTCTCTCAGCTTCTTTCTCGTCGTTATCCAACACCAGAAGCTTGTCAAAATCTTCCTTGGTGAGTTTTGCTTCAAAGACTTCATTCACATAGGTATTTCCACTCTGTTCTAAAATCCCGATATCGGCCAGGTTGACTGCGTGGATACGGCAGCGAAAGGTAGCAGGAAAAGTAGTGTCAGATACCCAATTCAGAACAAAGCTTAACCCAGGCTTGGCTATCCCAAATGCTACCCCCAAGCCGCCATGCTACCCCTGCCAAGACGGAGCATACCTGCGAACTTACTTACATTCATGAGCCATCTTGAGGTATTTGATCAGAGTGCGTTTCTTCCCAAGCTCAAAGTGGTGGTACTGGGCACACTTGGGGCAACACAAAACGGCCAATTTCCGGGATTTGTCCATGTTGCCTGCAAGAAAGGATACCCACAGGGGACGCTTGGCAGGGCAATCGGCACAGACACCGTTCCCTTCGGTCTTCAACACCATGCCCATGCGCTTGTTCATCTCGGGTGTAGGTTTCTTGTGGGCAACGGGAGCGCTGCTTTCTTCGGGGGATGTCATGCTATGGTGGCCTCTTTATCTCGCGTTTCTAGCTAGCTTCCTGATGGCGATCTCTGTCCCCGCCTCTTGGCTCTTCCTCTTTGGCGGCTTGCCTCTTTGGTATCTGGGAAGCCAAGTTGGATGTGCCTTTGTTGGCTGGGTTGAGCAGGTATTGTTGCTGAGCTCACCTTGCCTGAAAATGATACAGGTGCTCAAGTCGCTTTCGGAATTACTGATAATTCCTACCAAACCTTGGACAGCGTGGCACAATGTGAGTTTTGAGGGGGTGTTTTTCGGAGTATCTTTCAAAGTACGGCAGCCACCGGTACTGGGTCGCTACCTGGTACTGGGTTATATCAGTACTGGTACCATACCGGTACCGGTAGAAAGGGCCCGAAATCAGGATTTACATGTAATTCTGCTCTATATTTGGGTTTCGATTTTATATTTAAGGTTTCGATTTTATATTTAGGTTTCGGTTTGATATTTTGGTTTAGGTTTGATTTTACTAGTTATTTACCATAGTAATTTGGTTTCGGTTTTATATTTAGGTTTCGGTTTTATATTTAGGTTTCGATTTTATATTTTGGATTGGAATTGATCAATTAATTGGATTCTTAAAATCCTGATTTCGGGCCCTTTCGTACGGTGTTTAAGAGTACCGTACTGTCATGTGATAGTCAATAGAAGTCAGAGCTGTTCCTGCAAGGTGCAAAGAACAGAAAGGAACAGAAATGTTGATGGTTACGTTATATCCGTGGTTCTCAATGGCGGACAATCTCCAGTGAACCAAATCCAGTCGCCACGTCGCCACCACATTTTCGAAACGCACACGTTCTGGCTTGCTGGTCGATGTTGACACAAGCAAGAACCTTTCATTGCTGAAGGCTCTTGGGTGGTGCATGCCTTCAGCTAAAGAGAGCAGGAATGCCTGTTTGTTGCCATGATATCAGTTTTTCAAAAGCACAATCTGTCACCCCACCCCCCCCCCTTGCCGCAGAAAACGTAGCTTGTCCACAATAGTTCTACTCAGGCAAATTAGCAGATACTTTGGCGGATACAGGAACAACCTGTTAGGTCCTTCTGTGGGACCTGCTGAAGGTAGGCCCAAGCTAGGACTGGAGTTGGTCTGAGAGCTGGGCCAAGAGATGGTCTAGGGCTGGGACATGGGCTCTATTAGAGTTCCGGAGATGGAGAGGGTCCTCAAGGTAGAAGTGGGGCTTGTTGGTGGGGCTAGAGGGGTGGGTCCGGGCCTGGTTTGGGTCCAGGTATGGGGCCTGGAGTGTCCAGGAGGGGCCTTGGTAGGGGCCAGTTGTGGGTCCAGGGACAAGCCCTAGAGTTGGCCTGGAAGTGCAGCCGGGAGTGTGCCTGGTTTGGATCCAGCTTTGGGGCCTGGAGATGGACAAGGGGTAGTCCGCTCTGGAGTACGATGTACATCCAAGGGTTGATCCGGCAGTTGGCCCTGGGATTGGATCTGGACCGCCGCGTCACCTAACAGCGAGAGGAACTTCATTGAGTGAATTATGCATACCTGGTACCAAAAGCGTCGGCCACGGAACTCTACGCAAACAAGCTAATAGCAGATATTTGTTACAATGCTGCTACTATACAAAAGTGCATTGTGAATTATGAAAGTTAGGGTCCGCAAGTCAAAATGGACCCAGTTGATTCATGCGTTTGTATTTGGCCAAAAGCATTTGCTGCCTTGGCGACCATATCCCCGGTGCTTCGTCAAAAGAAGAGACCTTGTCTTGTCACTCCTTCCGTATGTACAATATGTAGCCGTCTAGCTAGCCAGTCGGTAGTCTTCTAAAACAAGAATTCCTTGGAAACTTGCAGGAACAAGTCATCATCGTCGTCGTCGTCATCATCCTCGGTGGCTCTTCTAGGCAGGTCACGGACGACGTCTCCGTCTTCGTCGTCCGAGATGTCTTCATCGTCGGAGATCCCACCAAACACTCTACTTGTCGAGCCAATCACGCGCGGTGGATGGTCCACCTGCACTTCCACAACCGGGTGGCGATTACGATTGTTATTGTCGTTGTTGAAAACCAAAGACCCCAAGGCACTCCCGTCTTGCCCCATGTCAATATCGTTTCCACTACTATGAGCCGAAACTCGAGGCATCGTTCCGGCTTCCCCTCCCATTTCTCCTTCCTCTTCGGCAATGGCAGCCGGTTCCAACGACGATACTCGCAGTAGAAACTGATCCGAGCTCTTGCGAGTTGTCGTACTTTCATTCAAACACGGACTAGTGGACTTTGTTGTTTGCGATGTTGTGACCATTCGTTTGTGATCACTGTTGTCGTTTTTTGATTCTCCCATTTTCACGCCATTGACGGATGCCAACGTCGACCTTCGATGTTTCTCAATGGCACTGCTGTTGGATATTCCGCTGGACGAAAGTTGTCGTCTGGAGTGAAACCCGAATGTGGAGACTCCCTTCAATGCGGACAAGATGGATGCCGTGGAGGTGCGACTTTCGGCATTGTTTTTGGCTTGCAGCATCTTTTTGCGCTGCAGTCGTCTCTCTTGGAACTTTGGGTACATGTATACCTGATGCATGCCACACACCAGACAGATCCCAGCGAGAAGGACACGAGCAAACGAGGGGTAAGAATCGAATCCTCAGAAAGATGATAGATGACGAAGTTCTTGGCAACGCTGACAGAAGTGTCCGCACCATGAAATTGAAGAACCCCTGCAGTGCCGTCATTATAAGGACGAAAACAAGGAGCATGGTTGGTGAGCCCCGGGGACCTTGTTCATCCCATGGATACTTGTTCTGGACGGAACTTGGATCCTTTCCGTCTGTTTGCACTGCAGTGCAGTGCAGTGTGCACTGCACTGCACTGCACTGCACTGCACTGCACTGCACTGCACTGCACTGCACTGCACTGCACTGCACTGCACTGCACTGCACTGCACTGCACTGCACTGCACTGCACTGCACTGCACTGCACTGCACTGCACTGCACTGCACTGCACTGCACTGCACTGCACTGCACTGCACTGCACTGCACTGCACTGCACTGCACTGCACTGCACTGCACTGCACTGCACTGCACTGCACTGCACTGCAGCTGCATTGCAGCTGCATTGGAGTAAATACGGCATGCAATGCCATGATTGGAAAGAAGCTGTGTCCATTGATGAGTTGCAACAATCGATTGATGGTTCCCGCAATCCAAGTCACATAAAGACACCAACGTATCGATAGGCTTGTCGTGCCACAATCTTGGACTTTCGAAACTCCTTTTTCTTTTTTCGCTGTTTCCGGCTACGTTTCCAGATGCTGCTGATACTGGAGACGGATAGATTGGAAGACGATATAATGTTGACAAAACGAGAGCTGGTCCAGCTCCCGACGGATGCATTACTATGTTGTCGACTGCTGTCATGATAACTGTCAATTTGGTCCAATAACTCTTGCTGGTTGTTGGGTGTTGTACCATCTGCCCGTAAGGACTGTTCTACCATTTTCTTGGCATGTGCCAATTCAAAATCCCACTGGGCAGCCTGTAGTTCCGTCTTGTGTACGTAATGATAAAGCATGGCCATGGTAATCATGGATCCAATGGCAGCCGCCCAAAGGGGTGCAAATTAAAATGCCCATCGAAAGATTTCGGCATTATCTCATCGATCACAGGTGGAATATCCATAGAGAAACGTCTGTTTGCACCCCACGGGAGTCGCATTGATCCAACACCAGAGCGAGGAATCGGCGTACATGTTGATTCCCAAACAAATGGCAGCCGTTCAAATGCCAAACATCATGGTGGACAAATGCATGACGGGTTCGGCAAACTTGGCGACACGGTCATCGGTATACCCATATCTGACTTTGAGTAAAAAGTAGAGGGACAACATGAAATTGAAAATGGGCGACGCAACGTTGGTCTGATGCACAAAGCCTTGCGCAGAACACGTTGCCACTGGCACCCCATCGACGGCTCTCCTCCACGGGCATGGGCCATGTCGAGAGAAAATCGGCAAAGGACGCAAAGACGTCAAAGACGCACATGCTAAAGAGCGACCGATGGTACGGTCGACGCCATTTGGTCCGATCGCGAAGAATCTCGTATAAGATCCAAGAGCTACCAAAGATGGAAAAGGGACCCGAGAATTTGGGGATAATGGCCAACGCTTTGTTCTGATTTGCGCTCAGGTCCGCCATTCTGTTGGGTACGGTACCTAATAGGTATGCTTACTTGTCAATGGGGATACCCTTATTCCTTATCCTTAGTTATAGGATTGAAGAAGGATTGTTTATGCGGGTAGCTAGCTAGCTAGAAGAATAATGAGCAGCCGAGGCAGATCTCCGTGCGTGTGTGCGTGTTGAGGTGGTGCGTGGCAGGAGTCAGAGAATGATGAATAGTCTAGACTAGTAGATCAAATAATCGCAAAGTGAATGTGGATTGGCACCGCGGATCCCTAAAGCCTTAGCCAGTTCACTTCGCCACCGGTACCAGTACCAGGTACTGTACCGGTACGTAAATCTGGATGTGAAAGGAAACTTTACGTTAATTAATTCTCTCACTGTCTCCGCCATTTTGTCCAGGAAGCTCTTTCAGCGCAAAATTTAACATATGGATGCAAAAAGTTCGCATACTGCGGCTGATACCAACGCTCGATCCATTTTTTGATTTCAGGTTGGAGCTCCACTTGGGACATGTGTAACAAAATATAGGCCGCTGTATGCATGTCTTCCACTGTGAGGTGGTGGGAGAACTCCAGCTTTGCACGGTCCAAAAGCTGTTGTATCGCAGCATCGTACTTTGCCAAGCCATCTGCCAAGCACTTCGATATCGCAAGAAAGAAATTTTGAGCAACTGCGCATGCTACCGGATTGAGTGTTCCTTGAACCTTGGACTTTGCTCTACTAGTCTGTCTTCTCTTGCCATCGTCAATGAGGAAGTCCACAAGGACAGCGCAATTGCTGCCGCATGCATCAATGTAAGATTCCACCAGTGGTCTCGATGTCTCTGCGTCAACAATCTCAGCGAAGTACCCTGCGAGACTGTACATATTTACCAAGAGCAGCCCTGACATGCAGGTTGCATCAATGTTACCGGTACTCGTGTCTGTTTTCCTTGAAATCCAATACTTTGAATCCTCGGCCTTCTTTAGTTCTCGTATCAGTGATCTTGCGAATTCGGGTGTCCACAAGTCTCTGTACCAAGACAGCTCTGTAAACAAAGAATGTTCGGCCTCACTGAACCCAGGTGGTCTAATGCTAGGTCCAGCGTACCGGATGGCATCGCAAAGGCGCCGGGAAAGCCCTCTGTCAAAGAATACACCTGGCTTCCAATCAAGAAACAAATCGTGGTAGTCACTCACAAAATCCTGATACAAGATGCGATCACATTGCCAGCTCATTTTGAGGACAGACTTCAAGAGCTGCGTAAACTCTCCTTCCCCAAAATCTAGTTTCAGGATGAATAGACTAGCAGCTGTCTCTTCTCCCCGCTTCTGCTTCAAAACCAGTCGCCGAAAGAGCTGAAATGGATCTTCCTCGAATTCAGAGCCAGGCAGAGTGCCTGGAGTGTTTGGGAAAAAAAAATCCTTGTACTCAATAGCGGACGACAACTGCGAGACACGAGCAAGTGAAGAATAGTATTGTTGGGCCGGAACGACCAAGTCACAATCGTTTTCCAGTAGGTTGGATTCGAGCAAAGCTTTCATTATGCATTCCAGGGCTTCCTTGGCGCCATTATCGGAAGGCCGCCCGATGCTCCAGAATGCATCCGAACTTGTGAGTGTGTGGATCTTTGAGATGAGCTCCATTGCCACCACCGGTGTAAGTACTGCAAATTCCTTGTTTTCTGCAGCATCTGAATTTGCTGTGCTTCGAAGCAAAGCAACCGTTTGCTGGACAATCATGTTCAGACTCTGGTTGTCAAACGCCGGAATCTCGTCGGCATTATTGAAGGCACTTCTTCTGATGGCCAAGATCTTGCGAAAGAAATCATGCCTCACCGATTCCTCCGGGAGAAATGGAATTCTCTCCATCAATACGAATTGGACATTAGTAGTACCAGCCAGCTCTGCTTCAGCGCCAGAAATCGTTTCCCAACACTCTTGCAGAATTGCTTCACTCACTTTGAAGTGCTTTCGATCGACAGCGAAGGCAAAAGCAGCCAAGCAAAACGAGAGGTCTTGCTTCCGCAGAAACTGTTTGCTACCTTCAGAGAGAGTTCCATCTCTTTTATCGATCGTTACCAAAGAAGATAGAATCTTCCAAGCGTCACCGCTCGATCCTTTTGCTCGAACCAAATCTGGAAATATCTTCACCTTTGCCGGCACGCTCAATGGATCATACCAGCCTTCGTGAGTTTTGCCACTTCGGATTAAGCATTGGACTATAGTTTCGAGGGCGTCTTCATCATCATCATCCAATGATACCAGAATGTAAGAGAGAGTATTCGGGGCAATGCTGCTACCTTGTTTCAGTAGGACTTGCAGTGCCTCGAGAGCTGCTTCTTGGAGGTCATCAGGCAACTCTTCGCCCAGCTCAGCAGCGATTGAAAACGTTTCCAATAATTGTGTCATCACATGTACGGGTTTGTCTTTTATGAATGACTTGAGCGTGCCTTCTGCAGATTGTTGGTCGAAACCCAATGCTTGTCGCATGAGTTCAAGATCACCAGTTTTGGCCGCAGCAGCAAGAGCTATTTCGTATGATTCCTCGTTTAAGAGCGAACATTGCTTTCCTTTCTTCAAGAGAATCTTGCATTCCTGGACGTTGCCAGTTCGAAGATGAGACCTCAACACTACATTGAGAGCCTCCAGTGCATCAGTGGCGCCCAAATCTTGTTCCAATAACATTTCTGTTGCTAACTGGACATGCTGGTCCGTATTGGCGAATGCGTGGATGGCAAGCATCAGAAGTTCGTCTTCCCGAAGAGGATCAGGCGACATGACGCCTTGTTCATCATCTTCCCCTTCATCCTTCAAGTAGAGTTTCTCTGCAAATGTAACAGCTGAGTTCCAGTTTTCCTGTCCGGCATGAGCCCACAGCCCATATTGTGCCAGCAACTTTTGCTCGTTGGAGTCTTGATCACCGGTGGAGACCAGCTCAACCATGTCGGCGGGTCTGTGCGTCTGGTAGAAAAAACTCAATGCCAACAATCGAGCTTCCACACCAATGTCGTCCAGTCCATCATGATGTGCATTCTTCAGCAACTTTTTGATTTCTTGGGCTTTCTTGGCTAATCGCATTTCCACGGCAAGTGCCGATTGAGCCTTGACAAGCTCCAACTCTTTCAACTTCTCTCTGCGCTTGGCCCCAGCTTGCAAGCGACGTTTTTCCTTTTTGGATACCATAAAGAGTGCACTGTTGCTTACACTTCGTAGCTGAAAAGCTTGCGAATTTATTCTCGAAGAAGGTTGAAATGCCTCCGCGAATCCACCAACATGGTGGCTAACGAGAGTCCCCAGCGGGGCCAGCACTGCTAGAATGATGAAACGAAAAGGCATCCTACAATGTACTTGGAGTACCGGATCCCCAAGGCAAAATACTGCCAGCCTATCATACACTGCACTAGTATGCATGAACTTTGTTACATAGAGCGTATGATTCTAGAGGTCATCCTTGTTGTTGAGAACGTGGACTGTCTTCACGTCTTCACCTGAAAACCTGAAAGAAAATCCTTTTGCGGAAAGCAGAGAGGATCGTGGAAAACAGAGATGATCGTGGAAAGTTGAGAAGATTGTGGTCCGCACACCTCTAGCAATTGAGTGAGCAGTTTGAATTGACACTCGGAAAAGCTGGGACCCGAAGCAGGGCAATATATGGGCTGGCCGGTCTCTAACAATAGTAGCTAGCATGCTACAATAGCTAGGGAGGGTTTGTCTAACGTTGACCATCCAGAAGCTGTCTGCGCTTGTAGGTCTTTCTCTGGCTAGCTACTGTGCAGAGGTTTCAATCGATTGAATGGTACAGTAAGCATCACAGCCTGCATTTTGTGGCCTTTTGCTTTCCCGTGGTCAGCTTCAGTTGACGATGTGATCCAGAACAGACTTACATCACGTAGAGCTTCCCGAGACGAAGGACACGGATGGCAGTCGGTGTAGCACGAAGCTACACATGCACTTCTCCCATATTCACGCAGTTGGTTTAGATTCGATTCATGAAATGAGAATGCACCGGTTGCAATCTAGCGACGTGCACGAGATTTCCTATCACCCGTCGCATGATAGCGCACGTCCAAGGACCTGGCATGAAAGGTTTGTCCGTCCGTCCGAGTAATGTCAAACAGAATGCCATTGTCCTGGTATGCCACATACATGTGGAGTCCGTTCGGGGAGAAAGCCAAGCCAGTGGTTTCGTCTTCGTATTCGTCACTCTCAACCACAGTGAAGTATAGACCTGATTCATCCCTGCCATGGATGCCGGCCACATCACCGCCATCTTCTGTGAAGAAAAGGTACTCTTGACCTGCATCTGTGATGAGCCTCCGTAACTGATCGGGCTGACCATTAAAAAGCCCTGACCGTGTTGATTGGCGTGTGTAGTGCATCGCATCTAGGTTCAGTTCAAACAACGCCTCAAGTTTTTTGCTGACAAAGTAGAGAATGCCATTGTCATGATCAACATCAATGCCCCTGAAAGAACACAAACCCAGCCTCTTGGAGATGAGAGGCAGAAACGATGTGTCATTCACTGCCGACGAAACAAGTGGCCGTACTTACTCGGAATTTGGGTAATAGAGACCCGCATTGTGCCTTGCAGCCTCTCGGTTACTGCCCCAAGAAAGCACTCCTCTAGCTTGGTTTGAACCCCGCTCTGGGTGCAAATAGAGATATTCTGTAATCCCCGTACCATGAAGCATGTTCCATGGCTGATTCCAGTTGATCTGAGAGCGGTACGGAGTAAAGCGTTGAAGGGCTCCATTGTCGTCATCCTCGGTCACAAAGAACCTTAGAGAAAAGTGACATGAGCCAAAGCAGAAGCATCACCGAGAACCTGGAGTGGCAAACACCCTGCACCTACCTAGGTCTTTGTCGATTCCGAATGTCATAAGCAAAGGACTCCCAATATCCACCTTCACTGCCAAGGGTGATGGAACGGGGAGCACGACGTCCCGTTGGATCTACTTGAAAATTCTTGCCACCACTGTGCTCCTCGCAACTGGGAGATGCAAAGTGTGAGGCACGTTGCTACAGCGGCACAAGATCCTCGTGACGTGTATGAACTGACCTGATCCAAGTATTCCAAGGGGTCACACCACCACCACAGTTGTCGCTTGTTGCTGTGAGGATCATTTCGTATTTAAGGACGTTTCCATCCCGATCAAAGGTGATGGCACCCACACCACCTACACTCCCACCCTCTTTAGAGCAAAGTCGTGATTTCAAACTTGAGCAGGGCAGTAAAAACTGGTTGCTCACATCCACCACTCTTCTTACCTTCTGAATTGCTCACGTAAATCCATCCTGATGGAAGGCAAAAGCAAGGAGTATTATTCAGCAATGAAGCATCACTACAGCATCATCAAACGAGCAACTACAAAGAGCACAATTGGTTTCTCACCACCTGGGTTATTGGCTCTTGGGTCTTCAAAAGTGGCACCGCCATCTGGCTCACTGTGGAAATCAATGTCGGACTCTGCACCATAGACAGGTCTGTCATACTGCACTCTCCCCCCCTTCGTCGCAATGATCCGGGACGTGAGACCAGCAGACAAGAGAAGACCGTTTTGGCGGACTGTCAACAGGCCCGGCACAAAGGTGATGATATCAATCGGTGCAGTAGGTCGTGGTGAGGGTCTTGGAGTTGGTCGAGGTGAAGGCCTAGGAGATGGTCTTGGCGATGGCTCTCTAGGAGTTGGTCTTGGTGAGGGTCTTGGTGATGGCCGAGGGGTTGGCCTTGGCGATGGTCTGGGAGTTGGCCTTGGCGATGGCAATCGAGGGGTTGGCCGCGGTGAAGGCCTAGCCGTTGGGCGAAAGGTGGGACGAGGAGGGGGTGGTATTGGATTTGTTGGTTTAGGCGTAGCCCCCCCCTTCGGAGGGACCCAGCCCCATGTCAAAGGAGTGGGTTTGGGCGTAGGTTTTGATGTGGGATCACCGGTTGGTTGTGAAGATGGCCTGGGAGACGGCCGAGGAGACGGACGCGGGGATGGCCTGGGGGATGGTCTGGGTGAAGGCTGTGGCGTTGGTCTAAGCGTTATGGGTGCACTTGTTGGATCCAGGGTTGGCTTTGCCTAAGAATGGGACAGAAACAAGAGGAGCCGATGAGCTTTGGACAAGGCAACTACACCCCAGAATCATTGCTGGTTGGTTGGAAGCCAAGACAACTTACGCTGGGAGCAATGGTTCCGTTCGATGCTTCTGTTGGGGATGAATCGTATGGAATGATCAAGAATTCAACTCCACCAGTCGTTGCGTTGTCATTATTTGATGACAAGGATGAATTTGAGCCTTGAGGTTTTAAGACATCAGCCGAGGCTGCCTTTGGAGGGGATTGGTCATTGGTAAAAGGATCCACATTTGGTGATTTGACTTTCTTTCTGGGATCAGCGCGCTTTGCAAAGCTATTTCCATTGCCACCTTCAAAAATCATCTCCGCAACATCAAATTCGTCTCCCTGTATCCCATTAGAGGGCTTGATGGTCGGAGTCAAGACGACCAGCAGCAAAAGTGACACGCAGAGGGTCCAGATTACTGGCATCAATATTCTATACCTGCGATCTTCAGGGAAAAAGAGTCTCCACCACAGTGGTCTGCGGGCAGCGGATCGGGATTCTTCACAGTCGTCGTCATCCTCGTCTATCATTCTTATAATCTTTTCCGGTTTGATGGCAGAAAGTCGCTACTGAGATGGTACTGTACTGGTGTGGGCTCTTGCAAACGTGAGAAGCCTGATACATCAGACGACAGAATCAACAGATTCGTCGCTTCACTTTGACCAGATTTGTATCTCTCTGTGGCTGATCTGTGCTCTAGTATACGCTTTGTATTTCGCATTTGATTGTCTGTCCCATCTGTTGCTTCTTTCGCACTGGTGACTGGTGGATGCTGCCGCTACCGAATCTCGGCATCGAATCGAGAGGCCATGGCTTGATGCATACTTTTATTTAGGAGGGCGCGCAGCACGTGCCAAAGCATTGAAAAACAGGAACAACCAGTCGAGATGCGTAGACTACGGTACTAGTACCAGGTACAGCTGTACCTGGTAGTAGTAGATGAAGTAAATATGGAAAGTATTACGTATTTCATAGTTTTACCACATCTACCAATCAGCTTCCGGCACATCCGAGTGGAGCGTTCATCAATCGTGTGGTTGGTTAAATCTACTATGCCCCAAAGTTTGTACAGATTTAAAGATGAGGGGTCACCTCTAAATCCGGCCAAAAACTTGGTGGTTCGTTCATTTAAGGGCGTGGCAATCCTTGGTCGGATTTTGAGATGCGGGCCTGCGTGTCATCCGTGGATACTTTCCCGTGGCATTGGGCACCGGGCAGAAATGGTATTTTCGTGAGCTTCCAAAGACAGAGACAGGAGCACCCTGAATCAAAGAATCTGAAGACTCGAGTTCGCTGCTGTACTCGACTCGGTTCTATGCATATGACAACTGAGGCATGGAGCAATCACTCCTATTCATTCCTGCTGAGGCAGGCAATGCAAGCATAAAATTCCAAAGCATTTGAGCTCGTGGAAGAGGATGTTTCTTGTTTGTTCTGCAGCAATGTCATTGCATGATCATGGTGCAAGCGGAAACCTTCAATGCCGCTGCAGCAAGTTCTCAAAATGCAGACACGAAGGGACTTCTGCTGAGCAGGTCAGAGCCCTTGAGAAACCAACTCTCACCCGCCGGCTGCTGCCATTACGGTAGTAGCAAGCACTGCTATTCTAGAGGCTGGAGCCTGTTGAAGAAGTGCGCTGAGGGCTGCTGGCTAAATAGCGAACCCATTCATTCCGATGCTTCCAAGAGATATTCAGCAGTCGTCCAGCCGGAGCGACCTTTGGGCACTTTTTTATTCCCTACCAATGATAATGTTACTTGGAAGAGGAGGGCCTTTATCCACTGCAAATCTATCAAGGTACTTTGTAGTTGAGGACTTTTGTGTTTACAGAGAGTCGAGAGATGAAAAGCTACTGGTTAGCCAACTAACTGGCATGTTGAAAATCTTTTGACTAGCTAGATTGATGGTGAACTGTAACAAAGCAGGAAAGTGTGTTGAAATCCACTGCTCATGAGCCAACACGTTTCGGCTATGCGTGGCCGAACAGCTTCCATTGGTGCACAGGTAGAGCTGGTTGGCTTCTACAAATGCATTGCTTCTGCTCAAAATGCTTTGACTAATTTGACAGTCGAAGCTGCCCAAAGGCATTTCGACTGCTCCACATACCTCGATCATGTACCGGTACACGTTGGTTGTCCAAATGGTGTTAGTAGACTATAATATGCTACTCCTTGTATCCAGATCCAGAGGAAGCTTGTTTGAGCCAACAGGATTGATTACAGCGCTACAGGCTTGCCCTCTATGCTTATTGCAGTCTTAATGTTATGCCGCTGAAGACAGCAATGACCACGGAAACCAAGAATTTCAATGAGAATCACCTTTGTTAATTGTTGAATGATCAACAAGTAGTGGTTCGACTAAAATACTAGTAGTTTCCGGACGATCTACACTTGAGGCCTAATTCTACAATCTCACAAGTAAGTATTTTAGTGTCTGCTGCGACGACGAGTGACCCAGCTGTGATACTGCGTCCATAGACCATGAAAACAAAGTCATTCACAGTTGGAACTTTCCGAATGGAAAGGCCATCTAAGTCTGTTGCTTACCAGCAGAACGGAAGCACCCGGTCACCTTCCGCATATTCGGAAAGTGCACAGAAAGTGGTTGACCAGTGACTTCCGGATTTAATTCAGTGCTTCACCAGTGTTTTTTAAGCCGGTAGTATTAATACCATACCAGGCAGGCTGTACCAGCACGATTACCGGTAGCATAAGTATGGTGGTCACCTATTGGTCATCGCCGGAAGTTATAGGAACGCCTTCGCGTCGAAATAATGGTTGGAAGTTGGAATTAGTCGGAATGCCTTCTCCAAAGACTGTTACTTCTTTATTCATGTTGTCCTCATCACAATTAATTGACCCACTGACAATTGACCAGGTTCACGATACACTGTACATGTATGTTGAGCCGGAAGAGACGATCCGGATAGGGGGAACAATTGATATAGCATACTAGTAGAGCTCAACCAATACTTGATCAGTAGATATAGCATAGCGCTTGCAGGGGCCGACAAGCAAGTTGAGAGTAGGAGTGACGAGAAGACCAAACTAAGAAAGACGGAGTGAGACCGCAGAGAGGTAGTGGACCTACCTGGTATCCATCCATCCATCCATCCATCCATCGAAGCCTTCCTTCCTTCCCTTCCTTCCGCATAGTATTCCTACCGGCACCTCCAACCCCTCCTCGATTCGTTTCACCATTCATATCAATCTCCTTGACCATGAAGGTACAACGCTGTACCTCGTTCCGGTTGGCAGTGGCACTGCTAGTAGTGGTGATGACAATCCATGTACATGTCCTGCCAGTGACTGCCAGAGGTTCCATTCGATACCGATACTTGCAAGACACGAATACCAATCGAAGTGGCACGGTCGATGATAGTCCTTTCCAGAATACTACTTCTCAAGGCATTCCCGACGTTTCGACGGGTGACAACGATAGTGACAAGGACCACGAAGTGGCGTTGATTCGGTTGGACTATCTTTTCTTCTCTCACGTGGATTGGGCTACCACAGCAGGTCCCACAGACGAAGTCTATCAGGCATTGGCGTGTCAGACGGATGCGTTCTTTACGCATCTCTTGCAAACCCAATTGGAAACAGTCCTGCGTGTGTCATTGCGTGTAAAGGAATGGAACTTTGCGCCTCCCATTTTTGACAATCTTCCCCAGTTTCGGATCACCTTTGAAATTCTCGCCTATTACGACGATCGATTCGTTTACGACATGGCCGTCGATGCACGACAAATCGTGGCGGAAATTGATGCCGCTGCCGACTTTCAAGCGTACATTACCAATTATGCGTGGTTGTCCTATCCCATTGACGGCGATGCCACGGCGGTATTGCGAGGCATCAATCGACTCGCCTACGATGCGGCACCCGCTCTCGCGGGAGAAACGTTCCTCTACGATACCGTCACGTGTCCACCACTCAATCAAGCCGCATCCACTTGGCAGTTTGGATTCTTCGATGACTACGACAGTAACAACAATGGCATTGAACCACTCGATATTCAAGCACTGGCGTGTCAAATGCGTTCCTTTGTCGAAGCCTCATTGTCCAAATACAATTACGGAGCGGCTATTGAAGCGACACTCCAACGATTGGATTGGAACTATAACGACAATGACCAGGAACATCCCTTGACCGTCACGGTGGATATCACGGCGATGCTGATACACCACAATGGAGATCACACCACCCTCTCCTCGTCCGATATCACGCAAGTGCTTCAAGGGACCACTGATCTGGTCGATTTTCTACAAAACTATGTACATACGACCACAACAACAACAACTAATAGTAATGTTTGGACCAATGTCAAGCAAGTAGTGGTCGAAGCGGGGATGCAAGATATTGACACGAGCGACGCCGAATGGAACTCGGACACCATTTGTCCCGAACGAACCGAGGCTACAGTTGCATCGCCCGTAGAGAATGCGTCAGCATTGCCACCCACGGAAGATACAGCAGTATCGCCTCCCGCGGATGATGCCGCTGCATCGCCACCCACGGAGGCGCCTATTGTCATCGATGCCGCATCGCCACCTCCGACCGAGGCACCCATGGTCGTGCAAGCCACGAGTGCTACTGTTGATGATGATGAAGAAGATGCGGAAGCAGAGGAAACGGTAGAACAAGCAGAGGAGGAGCCCCAAGTGGACATTGGTGTCGTCGTGACGAAAAATCCTAGACCAGAGGAACAGTCACAAGAAGCCGAGCAGACAGAACAAGCAGACGACAATTCATCGAATAGTGCTGGGGTCGTCGTGACGAGACATCCTCAACCAACGCCGGCGCCCATGATGGAGCAAACTGAAGACAACAGCAACACTGCTGATGCTACTTCCGATGCAGCCGAAGATAATAATACCTCCGAAAACGCGGACGATACTGGTGCTGATACTGGTGCTGATAGTGATGCTGCCACGTCGGATGGCAACACTACTGCCGATGCCGTGGAGGTAGACTTTTTGAAAACGTGTCTTACGGCCTTGTTGGAAGCTGATATAGATGACGACCGACAGTTGAATCAAATGGAATATGTACAACTCCTCAACATACTGTGGAATAATGTTTACGAGGGATATCCCTTTGTGGCGTTGCCCTTGTCCTTGCGGGCCAACTTTGACACCTTTGTCTCCGCTGCCACGGGAGAAATTGAGTTGGATATTGTGGAACGACCACCAAATACAAAGAACATTTTCATGAGAGAAAGCGTGGGAGAAAGCAACCAAGTAGTGGCACAACCAAGAGTGCAAATATCGTTGCCAACGTTGGGGCTAGAGAAGCACCAGGAGCACCGTGATGACATTTGTCGCGAGACTCAAACGGCCTTTTTGGAGACTGCGTCGTTACAGCAGCAGCAATCTTCATCACCCGTACGACTGGAAATTGTAACACCAGTGTTGGCGTACAATCTTCTTGGAATGGAAACACCCGATGACTTTTGGGAGAATGCCACCGATGTAAAGCCGGCATTTGAAATCTTTCTCAGAGATCATGTTGTCCCTGCCATGGATGCAGTGCTCTTGCAAGAGCGCCGCCGCCATGGCGTGCTCCGAAGGAGGCGAGGCTTGAGCACGGATGCGGCCAATGATCGGTATTGGGTCCTGACTGACACGGCCAGCTTGAAAGATGTCCAGGGAACACGCTGTCCCTTGGACATCCCTCAAGACGCTTCCTGTTTGACAGTCACAACAGGGTTTGATGTCTTTGTGCTGACTGACGACGCAGACGATGAGTCGCGTACCAACCGCATTTCCGAGGCGGCAGAGCAGGCTACGCAAGAAGGAATCAGCAGTGGCAAGCTCCAGGACTCCTTGGACGGATACAACCCGAATAGTCCATGGATTTTGCTGGCAGCTCCCAGTGATGCTGCAGCACCGACGACGGCTGGGACGCCAGGCGATGTGGGAGAAAACCAGGATGGCGATGTGGGTGCAGTAGTGAACGGAACTACAACTCTGGGGAACACGCAGTGCGGAGACGATGCGGCAGAAGATTGCGAATCGTTCGGGGAGAAATACATGTGGCCCATCATAATAGTTGTCTGCGTGGTGGTGCTTCTGTGCATTCTGCTACTCCCGATTTGCATTTGGGGTCGCTACCCTTGTTTCGGTCGAAAAGCAACAGAGTCCACCGCCAAACCCGTAGGAGGTGCAAAAGATTCCAGCACTGACGAAGGAAACGAAATGAATAACTCATCGCGGCGCAGTCGTGGGAGTCGGGGACGTGTTCGACCCAGTGATGACATGGGCATCTCATCCGATGGCAGCCGAGGGACTCGGGGACGGGTTCGACCTCGCGATGACATGGGCATCTCATCCGGTTGCAGCCGCGGGAGTGGGGGGCGCACTCGGGCGGACGAGATTCGTCGCAATCGGGCTGCATCGAGGGACTTTCCGTTCCTTCGCAGCCGTTCCTTCTCTGGATCTACTGACGAGCCAACAGCACCGCGACCACGAAGGCAACTGCCACGTCGGACGAAATCACTGGATGGAGATGCACGTTTTGAAGGCAGGATTCGAGGGCCCAGAAGAGCAACACCTCGTCGGACAACCTCGATGGACGGAGATCCTCGCTTCGACACAAGCAGAGGAAACCCCCTCCGCCGAGTGAATTCGGTGGACAGTGGCTCGTCGTTGGTGCTACAGGACAAGCTGGGGCTTCGTCGATCAAGCACAGAACCTGGCAGTCGTCGGATGAGACCTCTCCGGGCAAAGTCATTTGATGGAGACTCTCGACCACTCCGACCACTCCAACGTCCTGGATTTCGGAGGGCTAACTCCTTTGGAGGAGACGATCGCTTTACTCAAGAGTCTCGTCGACGCCCTCGGCCTGGGATACAAGGGGCAGAGGACAGTGGGTCCGTCGTTGGTGCCAACAGTGACAAGCTGGGGCTTCGTAGATCAAACACAGAACCCGGCAGTGCCAACAGTGACAAGCTGGATCTTCGTCGATCAAACACAGAACCTGGCAGTCGTCGGAGGAGACCTCTCCGGGCAAAGTCATTTGATGGAGACTCTCGACCACTCCAACGTCCTGGTATGCAGAGATCAAATTCCTTTGGAGGAGACGATCGTTTTAGTGAAGAGTCTCGCCCACGGCCACGAAGGCGTATGCCTCGTCGTTCACGCTCTATGGATAACTGAGGAAATATTATCTTTTTAAGAGCTCCAACAGGTGCCGCTGTTCCAAGGTGTTGCGCACTCGTTGGACACGTCAAGAAAAGATGAACAGCTGGTCGATTGGGGACGGGAAAATCCAGCTAGGTCTGCTAGTATGCTATCATAGAAGTGAAGTTCTCCACGCAACGTGTAGAAGATAAAGTTACATGCCATTTATGATAGCGTCACTCGTCAAACCTAAAAGCTGTTACAGCCCGCTAGTCTGGGTATACGAGTTGGGAACAGAGGAAAGGCTGGTAGCATCCACGCCGATTTGTCTCCAGATGAGCTCAACGCCCAGCCGTCGGCCTTGGGGAAACCACATCCCTCTTTCGAAAACACCCCCTAGCTAGAAGCGGAAGCTCAAAGAGCACGAGAAGGCATTCATCATGAGGAAATATTATGTCACATCACATGGATGCTTGCAATGAGCAGACACTCCTGTCCTCTGCAGAGAACACCACGCTAGAAAGTGCGTCAATGCTGACTGTCTCCATGCTGCACAGCATGTTCACGATCACTCTACCAGTTTCTGTGGCTCTAGCTATGCTATACCGTAGCTAGACACCAACTGAGTCTGACGAGGAAAGGGCATCCAGTCGCTTCATTTCCTCGTCACTGAGTGTAAAGTGGAATACATCCGCATCGACTTCCTGATGCTGTCGGGACGACGACTGAAACGTCAGTATCCATCCATGCTGAAGTATCCACTTGAGTGCGACCTGGTAGATTGTCACATTTCCATGGGCTTGTGCAATGCCTTGAATGACCTTGTTGTGTGCCAAATCTCCTCTCGTCCCGGCACGTCCCAAGGGTGAATATGCCTCGACGACAATTCCATGCTGGTCACAATAACGAATCGTGTCGACATCCTTGTGCAGCAGGTTGAGTTGAATTTGATTGACATGCGGCACCACTGTCCCGTGTTGCAAGAGGGGTTCCAAATCGGCAGTCCGAAAATTGCTGACTCCAATGGCCCGTGCTGTTTTGTCGTTGAGGTAAGCATGTTCCAGGTACTTCCATGTTTCCACACAATCGCCACGACGAGGTCCGTGAATCAACAACAAGTCGACGTAAGTGGTGCCCAGCAATTGCAAGTCTTGTTGAATGTACTGCGCCACATTCGTCACGTTGCAATCGGGTATTTTGGTGGTGATAAAGACGTCGTCTCTTGTCAATTCTGTCGCCGATTCTTGAATGGCTTGTCGCACTTGATCTTGATTCCCATAGTTGAGCGCCGTATCAATGGCCCGTCCTCCTACTGTCAGCCAATTAGAGACAATCTGTTTGGCGTTCCCGTGTTCCTGACCGCCGGTACCAATGCTCATGACGGGCATGGAAACATTCGGGGCAATCTCTTTGGTTTCCATCCATAATAACGTCCTCTTAATGATCTGACGGCTGCCCTCTTTTTCTTCTTCCACCACAGCGACAGCGCTGGATATTGGAAGGACGAGAAAGAATGTTGGTAGTGCTAGCATCCAGGCAAGCAGCAACATCATACCGTACGGTAGATCAAGAATGGTCAAGAGAAGGGGACTCGGAGGTGAATGCAGAATGCACCATGCAGAGGAGAACGAAAACATGAAAGACGAAAGAGAAAGATACAAACACTTCTGATACCCGAACATGATGTCATCAAAGCACTCCCGTGAAGGATGAATCTTGGTTGGATCTGGGGGATCTCGGTGGATCTTACGGGTCGTTGGCCGCAATGCCGCAATCCGCAATCCCTCGTTCAACCTTCAAACTCTAACCAGCTCCCTCCCTACAGGCCTACTACTACTAGTAGTACCGGCAGAGAAAAGACATCATGGCTAGCTAGTGGCACTGTAGTAGAGAGCTCGGGAAAGATGGCACCCTGCTTGTTTGGTAATTCTGCACCAGTTGGCGTCAACCTGCTTTTTGGTTGTTTGCTCCCAGTTTGACCCGTTTACAGTACCCCCATGGGGTGGTGGCTGGATCCTGGCAATCACAGGATGAATCGAATCAGTTGATCACAAAAGTAGGGAAAATGTACAGTCAATGATGTCTATGTTATGAAGCGTACCGTACAATGAATGTCTAAACGCATTATTGCTTTTTACCACGCCGTGGCGACCCGTTTCATTAGAGTTGTGAAGCGACCTTTCGACTCGTTGTTGCCGTCGTCTTTTGTGGCATCCATGTGATCCTTCTTACCCCGCTTGACTGCTTCTCGTCGATGTTCTTTGGATGCAAATTTGGAGGCTCGTCGCAACCCCTGTGGATCCCAATCTCCCTTGTGCTGCTTGAGTTGAATGCGGTAAAATGTCATGACATGGCGGACATGCTTGTGCGATGGGTAGACGGGCAAGCAAATGTTGGATTCAAGACCACGGATGGTGTGCTGTTCACATTTGCTAGTAGCATGTTTGTGAAAGCACCGTTCCGAGCATTGCTGCATTTCCATCAATTCCTCGTCATACGAGTCATTCAGTTCGGTCTTGTTGTACCATACCCGGCCCTTTGCGTCTTGTGAGATCTTGTCAATCAATACCACTGTTGCCACTGCCGAATCGTCAAAGTGGACTCGTCGTCGTGCTGCTGTTCTTTGGGTAGCGTTCTTCTTCTTCATGCTGCTGGTCATGGTGGTGGGTGTTATCCGTTGTTGTGTCATTGTGATCTTGCTGTTGTTGTTGTTCTTGAGTTTGTTGTCTTGGACAATGCCACTGTTGGCAATGTTGGCGGAGAGTCTTTCTGGACTGATCATTTTACCTTGTGTAGAACCAATTCTTTTTGAGCGAGTGGCTTGAGATGCTGAGATTATGATGATGAGATTAGATAGATGGAACAGATCGAACAGAGGTATCTTTTCCTGCACCAAGGTGTATCTGTTCCAAAGTTCCAAGCTGTCCAGGCTCCGACTGTACCAGTCCCTTCTGCAGTTTTCGGTACAGTACGGTAGTTATGGTACACATTGCGTAGGAAAGCAAAACGCACCTGGGCACGGTAAGAATCAATTGAGTAATTAGAGAACTTCTTCGATTGGTGTGACTGGTCGGCTTCTCGGTTGTTCTTTGCTCAACCAGTTCCCACGTCGTGCCAATTTTGAAGCGGTTGATGCACACTGGTATCAACCCCCAGACCCCAGTAGCTCTGCAGAGTGCATAAAGCGGGCTCCCCAAGTTCATGTATGTGAGTAAGTTCCGGTACAAGTAAGTAGACACCGTGTCAACCATGGACATGGGTTTGTAAGCCGCACACCTCGAACCGGTGATGAGATTCTTCAACAGCGGGTTGGTTGAGATGAACTGTTACTGCATAGTGGGGGCGTCGAGGCCTATGTGATTCGATTCAGATGTGCGTTGCAACAGTCTATCCTAACTGGTGGAAATCAATGGCCTCCATGATTCCAATGCTACCAGGTAGAAAATGCCACTGTGTTGCAGTGGCTAGCTATGATAGCCTCAGCCGTCTAGCTAGTGCCAAGGTGGAGCACCACCAGGTACGTATAGAGTTTTCTGCTCGCATGCCATGAAAGGTGGCCACCGGCTTGTTCATAGATGTAAGCAACAGGTGTTAGGTAACACCACCTTGTCTGTATAGCTACCGGTAGTGCCGCAGATAGATAGTCTCTATTCAACACAATCTCTATATCACGTTATCTCTATGAGGTCGTTGCTTTGTTCTTGATTCACCTCGGTGTAGGTTGTTGAGTTTTCTCGTATTTGTTTTCCAAAGATGATGTACAGGGCACTGGCAAGTAACACCGAAAAGAAACCCACGAGCAGTGTCATGTAACTTGCCACCGCCATCACCATCAAGGTAGCCCCAACGGTTGGTATCATAAAGAAAATACACCAACGAGTGCTCAATGGAACACGATAAGGTCTAGGTACTAAGGTATATTACAGGCAAGGCCACACAGAAGGGGCAAGACAAGAAACCATGAGTCTCAGTACACATTGACAAGACAGCTGGCTGGTGTTGGTTCCACTTACAGTCGGGATGGTATATGCGCAGCTTTATGAATGCAGCATACTCCATCAGAAGGGAGATAGCATAGTTGAAATTCAACATTTCCACGAGCTGGTCCAAGTGGGCCACGGAGAATATAATAATGATGATGGTGCAAAAGACAATGGCACTGGTGGGGGTCCCATGTCGACTTCTCACTCCCAAAGCTGACGGCAGCATCCCCTTGTTTGCCATGCCGTAAAGACTAAATGCATCACTGCTGAGCTCTGCTTGGAACAATGCCAAGTTGGAAAGAAACGCTGCAAATACCATCCAATCAGCAAGCCACGGTCCCACAACATCGTGTGCGACTTGTGCTAGATATCCGTCCTCCCAGTCTGCTTGAGAGCTTTCCGATGCCCCAATGGCAACCAGCAAGGGAATCAAGTAGCCAAAGATTGTGATAAACCACGTCCAACTCAATGCACGTGGGATGATGCGTTCCGGACTGTCTCCCACTTCTTCCGAAAGAGACCCGACGGAATCAAAGCTGTGGGAAGAGTGTGAGCAACATCCAGGCTCTACCTTTGAACCCAAGAATATCCTCCATTCCTACAGTACGCACCTGTTGTAGTTCCAAAAGAGGTTGTTGAGGAAGGGACGCAACAGGACACCTCCTAGGGTAGCATTGGGGAAGAATCCACCCGACAAGTCGTAGGTACTGATAGCTTTATAGTCTTCCGCCGTCAGGCTTGGTCCGACCATCCAACGAGCGGGATCAATCTTGTCCGCCGCGAGAATGGCCATGACCACAAAGGGGCTCATGGCGACAATGCAAATGACAATGGACATGTTCCCCACCAGATTGAGCCCTCGCCAATTCAGGTAGGACAGACACACGGCCAAAAATGCCAGTAGAAAAAATCGGTAGACAGGGTGCAAGTGTTCTTGTTCTTTGGCACCCTCTGGTAGGACCTTGATGAGGTAGTCCAAGAATAATACGGGGTAGATTGCATTGTCTGTCATTCCAGAAATGTTGCTGAGGGTTCCCTCCAGCCAACCTGTGTAAATGGGAGAGAGAATTACATATATACCGTATGTTGGTTCTGAGGATAGCAAAGGAAAACAAGCCCTTAGAAAACAAACTTGTTATATTTACCTGCAAAGGGGCCAAAGGCAGTCTCACACCAGACAACTCCACCACTTGCGTCTGGCATTGCACAAGTCAATTCTGCCATGATCTGACTCTCCTGCAAACTCCAGATAAAGGGAGTCAGAAAGCAGAACAGAAGGGTGTAAAAGGGCCCAGCAGCCTTGACAGTCTCTGTTAAAATTGGCGACATGTTGTATGGACATGAATTCTGTCAGAAACAGATATGCAACACAGAACGAATACCTCTGAAATAACTTACCTTCCGTTCCGTATGGTCCCCCTGATACAAGATAAAACAGTATGACGACTAATGGCGCCAGCTTCAGAGGTGGAGGTCGCTCCATTGGCGGGGTTGTCTCTTCTTGTGGGAGATTGCCGCCGTTGGGGTCACTGGGTGCATCATCATGATTGTCTTGAGCTGCCGGCAGTGCTTCTTGTGGTGCCTACGATTCCAAAACAGAAAGATGTTATTATGAGTCTACAGAAATCATGGCTCACGAAAAGGATTCGATCATGGGAAAAGCTGCATGCTAAAAAGTCAGGAGATTCGCGGAAGAGGTGGAGGAAGATCTCCCAAAGCCACCCACAATAATCAACCTACCGACTGAGTTTCCTCGATTTCGACTGTTCCCACCTCCTCCATGGTTGATATCCACAATGACACTCCACCAGTCCTAACTAAGCTTTAGTAACCTACCCGACGACGATTTCTACGGACAAGAGTGTTGCTCATTGCTCTTCTTGAAAGGATCTGGTTCAGTTTCGTCTTCCGCAACTCGGTTGTTGGTTGTTGGATCTGATCCAAACCAGCACAGCTGTCTGATTACACAAACATCCGGGACTGGTACGGTGCTATCCGTGTGAACCAAAGCTCTTTTCCTCTCCGTGGTCTGGTCGCCTTGGATTCAAAAGGGATATGTATGTATGATAACTCGATCAACCCATTCTTGAAAGTGGGTCCATTATAATATAATGCCTCTTGTTGGTTTCCGGATTCCACAACAATCGAGCCATCTCCACAGAGATTACCGTGGTCCAAGCAAGGATCCGCCTCTCTCTTGGCCAATGCACGAACGGCGAACAAAGTTGCAGTAAACTATCCTACACATCCTGTGGATTAGTTTGTTTTGAGAGTGTTTCTCGTACAGAATGCTGAAAATCGGCAGCTCCAGTGGAAATCTTTACACTGCATTTATTTGTCTGAGCAATTGCCAGCGTTGGCGGTATCACTCTTATGTGGATTGGGATGAACCTACAGTACCTGCTCCAGATACCTACTGTACCACTGCAGAGGGTCGATTGGAACGGATAAAGAAGTGGTCCAATAATAGTATGGATGTCCATGGGGCTCTGAGGACATGCCAACAACGTCGCATGGAGTGGCTGAATTTACTGAAGCAAACACCTCACCAACGGCCAAGTATGTCATGCCCATGGAATGAGTGAGGAGACATATGCATACATGCGTCTATGTATGCTGAGATACTGGCAATTGCAGCCCAAAAGAGAAATAAAGGGCTACTAGAGGATGGGAGGGAGGATCCAAAGGAGGCCACCTGTGAAGGAAGATGGCAGTGGGCCCGGGTCGGACGTTGGAGCTGGAGGAACGTCGGAGGATTGATTTACAGCTCCTGTTGGCTTTTATGAAGCAACAGGTGACACTCCACGTGACTTTGTCACTTCCCGGAAGTCTTTCTAGTCACCAACTTCAACTTCCCCATGACCGATGACCCAGGCAAATTTTTCGGATGCCGTGGCCAAGTTTTTCATCAATTCGCAAGACTGCAACTAAACAGCAAGATGACAGCTATCTACATGTATCAAACCAATCAACCTGGTCCCCACTCCGTTGCTTCCGAGTGCTTGACTGTGCATTGCTTCGGTAGTTGCAGGGCTCGGAACTGTCACAACCACGAGAAACACCACAAGAGACCCAGCGGCATTGGATAGAGAGAGCAGCAAGTGGTGGCCTCCACAAACACAAGCAAAGACGAAGACTACATCACTGACCATGTCAATAGAAGAAACAACCATGCCGAGATTATTAAGAGTGCTACTACTTACCCTGTCATGGCAATACCTGGTCCATGCTCAAACGAGCAACATTCCCTATTACAGTGGAGAACCCAATTTTCTGTTTATTGGGAACAGTTACACGGCACAGAATTCCCTTCCCAACACATTCCAGAGTGTCGTACAAGATGGGATCCCCGAATGGACCGACACGATCCAAGTCACAAGCTACAATCCGGGTGGTCAAAAACTATACGGCCATTTGGACCAAGCCGAAACAGAAGGGTCTCCGCTCCGTGGATATCTCATTACCCGACCACTGGCATGGAAATGGGTCACTCTGCAAGATCAAAGCCAGCTGCCCGGTTTTTTTGAATGGGACTGGGAAGGCACGGAGTTTTATCGATCGTTCACGGCCGCCCAAGCACTGGATGATTACGTCGAAGCAACCGGTGCGCAGACCATGTTCTACATGACATGGGGGCGACATGGGGGAGACAAGAGCAATCCCGACTATTATCCCGATTTCTTGACCATGCAAGGAAAATTAACCGAGGGGTACATGAGATATGTGGCGGCATCGTCCACACCCGAACGACCCACATATGCGGCACCTGTCGGGTTGGTCTTTCAGACCATTTACAACGATCATGTAGCGGAAGGAATTACTCCCGAGGAACGGAATCCCGATACGCTCTTTTCGTCGCTCTATACAGGAGATGGATCACATCCGTCTCCCAGAGGAACCTATGTGGCTGCCTTGACAATCTACTCGAGCATGACGGGATTGGATCCAAACCTCATTATGTGGTGGCCCAGTAGTTTGGATGAGGAAACTGCCAAGACATTGCAAGATGCAGTTGGTAGAACCGTGTTGGAAACCTTTGAATCTGGATTCATTACGTTTCCGTGGACCACCTCTTGGACCGGTTCCACGGCATCGTCACAGCCAGCTCCCACAACACCCAGTCCTACTGGAGCACCAAGCACTACCCCAAGCACCCGTCCGAGTACCATCCCCAGTGCCATCCCCAGTGTGGTGCCCAGCACAAGTCCAAGTGTTATTCCTAGTGCCATTCCCAGTGTCATTCCGAGTATGTCACCAAGCATTAGCCCCAGTTCCTTTCCCACCGGGATCGCTCCATCGACTCCTCGGCCGTCCGTATCCACGCCATCACCAACTACGCCTCAGCCGACGCCATTACCTACTATGGATCCAACGGCTGCCGCCACAACACCGGCACCTTCGGCGGGGATTACGGCAGCGGCAACAACGCCAAATCCAACAGTGTTGACGACACCCAATCCAACTGGAGTTTCTTCTCTGACCAGAGGTGCCTTGACCATTGAAATTCAATACGATCAATACCCACAAGACATTGCCTGGACGGTACTCAACCAAGATACCAAAGTAGCAGAGTACTTTCAACGGTATGGGGATGTCACCACACCCTTTTCCAATCAATCCATTACATTTGATAATTTGGATCCAAATGTGACGGCATATCTATTCAAGATCTCCGACCAGGCACGGGATGGATTCTGTTGCGTGCATGGAGATGGGTACGTGAGAATCATTGACAACAATAGCATTGGACGATCTTCAGCAGTGCTCTACAGTCTCGATATCTACATGGGTGCCTATTATGAGGTGGACATTAGCATTAATGGCAGCAACTTTGGACAAGCCAAGGTGATCGGAAAGGCACGCGATTATGAGCCATCGACGTGGCCCGATTTGGAAAATGAAATCTGGGCGCCGGCAGTCGACAATACAAATCAATGGCCGGGAGACTTGCCCAATACAACTTGGAGTTTGGTGGTCAACATTGCCTTGAACAGCAGCAACAGTGGTAACAGTCCACAAGATTGGGGGGCATGGGAACTCTACAAGAAAAGTCGCAATGACACAATTCTTTCCGATGGCAATGATGACAATGATTGGGAGCTACTTGGGACATGGAATAGTAGTACAGCTGGCAGTTCAGGAACGCTGAACTCGACCGACTTCTCCGGCCTGCAGCGCGGGTTGTATCGGTTTCGAGTGACGGACGGCAGCAGCATGGCTTCCAACGTTGGTTGGGTCACGCTGACCGGGCCTATCGCCAGGACGCAAGACTTCGGGTTGGTATGGGGAAACAACGGTGATCTCTATCAAGGAGAAGGACAAATTGAAGTCATGGTCAACTTGGACAAGAACGGCTACTTTGCTCAAGTCCAATGGGAAAAGAACGAATGGCATAGAACATATGCACCCTCAATGGCACCTTCCGCCGCACCCAGTTCCGTCGTTGCCCAAACCGCACGGATTTCTTCGACGCCAGCCACGCCAAGACCTACCCATGCCGGTCCCATCCAGACAGCCGACTACGTCCCAATTTCTTCAACAGAACCGAGGGAGTTTATTGGTGGGACACCAAGTCCTACATCGTCATCCTCGAGAGCACAATCCGTGTTTCTTGCACTGCTGGGGTTTGCAAGCGGTTGTCTCGTCTTGGTGTGAACGGCTTGTGCTATTAGCTAGTCAAACGCATAAAGCAATAGTGTATGATAGACAGAATATGCAATAGAACGGGAACCAGCATTAGTATCTTTGACTGGTTATGGCCGGCAACCCAAGAGGCTTGCTGCAACCTAGCTCCATTCAAAATGAAAAATCGCACCAATAGGAATCAGAATCAGCAATCGTCCCTGGCCTTGAGTCAAAAAGATTTCTTCGCTAGCCCGTTTCCCACGTCCAAGGCACTTGCCTTGCAACTTATTACACATCATTGTTGAAAGGCACCAGGACCGGGTTGCGATAGAGCAAGCCCCTTGTTGGCAATGTCCTCCATCCCGGTCAACTTTCAGGGCCACTAATTATTATTATCTAGAGCCCGCTTTCCCTCTCAATGCCTCAAGCTGGACCAACCAGAACTCCTGAAGTGGATGTCTCCCCTACCGGTACCAACATTCCTCTGGCTTGTTGAGAGGCCTTCGGCGCGTTGTTTTTGTGCAAAAAAGCCAACTAGCTACCGTTGTGATTTGTTCTAATTAAATTATTTTTGCTGTTTCTAAGGTCCGCTTGGGATGGATCGCGGAAACCTTCAACCTCCCTTTCTTCCCGCGGTCAACAAAGAAACAGACAGAAACTTTTTTGCAGATATCCCAATAGAGAAATGACTGCAATGGATAGACAGTTGATAAAATTGTTTCTCGTACATGTGCTTGCCTTAGCGGTCTTGCCCACCCAGACTTCAGCTCGGCAGCATGTGATTTGGTCCTTTGGCAACAGTTTGAGTGCTCAAAGTGGTTCTATTGTTGGTTACTTTCAATGCTTTTACCGAGGATATGCATCACAGTTTGGTGTTACCCGAGTGGACACTCCACGGTATACCCCTGGAGGTGCCTCCTTTGGTACTCATTGGGGGCATCTGCTTTACGACGACAATAAGCCTTTATTTGAAAATGGTGGTGATTGGCGCACTCAACATCCTTGGGTTTTCCTGCAAGAACAAAGTGCCATGCCTGCCATTCCCAGTCAGCTACAAATATCAATATTCAATCTGAGAGGTCTTGTGAACTATTTCAAAAACACTACTGTGGAAAGAGCCATGCTGATTCAAACTTGGGGCTACGAGTTTGGAACCAGCTCCAATGGGGTCGACTTTCCTGACATGCCATCTCACAACCAGGCTTTACTGGATGGCTATGTGCAAATGCAACAAGCAGTTCATTCGGATGAATATAATGTCTTTTTAGCTCCCTGCGGGTTGGCGTGGGAAAAGACTTACTGGAACTGTTTGGACAAAGGCATCGATCCAATGGCAAACGACACTTGTATCTTTCGCAAGCTTTACAATGATCGTATGTACAATGTTTTGTTGCTATTTTCTGTTACTGGATCTTTTCGTGTAAATTTCACTCATTCTCTTTGTTTGTTGCGCTGCTTTCTATGCCCAGCAACACATCCTTCTAGTGCGGGTGTTTATACCTGTGCCCTCACTGTGTTTTCCGCCATGACAGGACTACACCCAAGCACACAATCATGCAAGGGAAGTCTATCAAGTGATGAGCTAGATCAAATCCGAACAGCTGTGTCACAGGCTATTGAAGAAACACACTCTTCTGGCTTAATCACATACATGTTTGATGAGCTGTGGCCTACCCCCATGCCCACCCCTGGGCCCCCATCTGGTACGCCTACAGCAGCACCAACCATAAGCCCTCAGCCGTCCCTTCCTCCGCAGACAGCCACCCTTCCTCCACAGATTACTATAGTAAACCCAGGATTGAACGAAAATGCCATAGCAGCAGGACGAAACTCAAAGGTCCTCATTTTGGGGAATGAGTTATTGGGCAATTTCAATGTGTCGGAACAGTTTACTCGGATTCATTCAAATTTATTGGCAGAATACAATGCTGGGGGGCGCATCAGCATCACTTCCAACACACCAGAAGGGGCAACCTGGCATTGGCATGTGAACACAATTGGAGAGTCAGACCCGGTGCTTTACAGTTCCGAAGATGGTGTTGATTTTGACTGGATTGTGTTGCAAGAAGACATTGCCTTGATGTCGAATGCAAGCACGGCCAAGGACAGTGCAATGCTGGCAGGAGCAGTGCATATGATGATTACTAAGAGCCACCGTGCCAAGACTGTCTTTGTCTTGACCTTTGGAGGCAGAAATGGCTACAATGATGGTGATGGCACAGTGTATCCACACTTCATGTCACACAATGAGGCCTTGCTTGAGAATTACTATATGTGTGTTCGGCAGACATATGATGTTGCCGATCCTACCTATTTACTGCCTGTAGCAATGGCAGCTGAGGCTATCTACATGGAGGATTGGGAGACTGGAAGGGACCCAGCAACGGATGAAGAATCCCTCTTTTATCGTTTGTATGCTGAGGATGGGGTTCACCCCAGTGCAGAAGGCTCCTACCTCATTGCAGTCACGCTGTCCTCCTTTATGTCCGGGTTGGATCCCACACGCATCACGTGGTTTCCAGATGGCGGTTCTGGTGATCTTGAGAATCTTGATGTTGCCGAAGCGGATGCTGTTCGAATCCGCGAGGTGGCCGGTCGTGTTGTCCAGATGGCTGATCGGCCATCGTACACCTCCTTGGCTGCCAAGGACCACTGCATGGTTTCCATCGCATCCACCATGACGGCTTTGTGGTTTCTCTTGTAGGCAGCACCAGAAAGTGCTATCGATGGTGTGCCAAAGCAAAGCGACCCGGATAGGAGGCGCCAGCACCGACACCTAGCTAGACTACTCTACCGTCTGTCCATTATAGTTTCGTTTTGATTTCATTGGTGAGATTCTCCGTCCATCCCGCACAGGGAATACACGTGTACCTGCATACTACCACAACTAGATTGTTTGACATCCCGCGGTCGGATCCCAACAAGCACAAACAAACCACGAGCAACTATGAAAAAGAGGCAGGACACAGCGCAGCAACAGCTGCAGCAACACAGTGTTTATTGGTTTATCGTTTGGATGGTGCCAAAAGCCAACAGAACGTGATGATTGCTGCCTTTCATTCATTGTATGTAGATCGTTGTGGTCAAGCTTCTTGCTCAGCTGCACTAATGTGAAACTTGCTCTGCTCCACTTCACGTGCCAATTGACTGCACGACTGTTGTGTCAGGGCTGGCGCAGGTGGACGTTTCCTTGTCGGCCCGACACACGGCGCTGGTCGGCGCTGTGGAACCGGTCCACGAGGTCTTCCACGGATAGAGCAGTTGTCCACTTTCAAACGTTTGCAATATAGTGCGTGCGACGGCATCCTTGACGGCATTCATATCTTCCTGGGAGAGACCTCCTGGATTGTGATTTTGCTTGTACGGATTGAACCCGGTAATCGCTGTGGCGACTGTCATTCCGGCCGCCAAGGCGCCCAATTTGCTTTGATGGTACCCATCATTTCCATAGAGGCGAGCAAAGAGCGAATTGTACGAGCCGGGTTCTCGACTCTCAGGGTCTTGAGTCAGACAGTCGTTGTAAATGGTTTCAAAGACCAACCCGACGGGTGCCAGATAGGTGGGTCGATCCGGTGTGGACGTGGCGTGAATGTAGAGGAGGTATCCTTCGTAAATGGCTTGATTGTGTGTGAGAAAATTGCCGTATTGGACTCCGTGCCCTTTAAAGCCCCCGCGTCGTCCCCACGTCATCATGAACATGATTTGAGGTCCTCCTCCTCGTTGTTGTCGACAATAGTGTGTCAATCCACGGGCCGCCGCCACACTGCCGGGTCGGTACATGGGTACCGAGGGAATCACGCTTTGTTCGTGGATAATCACCCACGGCAAAAGGCGCATGTTTTCGAGTAATTTGGGATCTCGTTGTGTGGCCTGCCAATGTTGTGCCAGCGTGGCGCCTCCAAAGGCGTGTCGTGGAGTTTCCAGCTTTTGATTGTTGGCACCCAATTCTGCCTTTTGAGCTCTCCAGAGTCCTCCTCGCATGGCTTCAATGACTCCGTGGAGAGTTATCATGCTGTTGCCAAACCAAAAGTAACATACTTGTTGGGGTTTCTTTCTGTAGTTTTGCATGTGTCATCATCAATCATTGATTGAAATAAATGAATGAATGCAAGAGACAACACATCGTTAGTAGGGTATCTGTCTTTGGAGGGTAGCTTATCTCGATAGATAGAGAGACTCACCTTCGCGGCATACCTCTGGCTTCAACGGTAGTAATTGGCTGGTGGTTGATATCAAGCAATGGGATTAGAAAGATAGCCAAGAGAGCAAGGACTTTTACTTGTGTACTGCTACTGGCAATGATCATCACCTCAACAAATAAGTTTGTGGGGTCAGACAAACTTCCGAGATAGAGACAAAAGATCCTTGACGGGACCCGTTGATTCGTGAAAGGTGTTCCGAACAAATTCAACGGACAATGGATCGTGGGTTTATTAGAACCATAAGTCGTGGATCATCGACGTCTCCAAGGCTTAATGAACACCAGACATTCGCAAAACATCGAGCTTAATTAATAAAAGTGTGTCCCGAGTGGCATAAATAAATTGTTTTGGAAAGTTGAGCGTCTCACATTTTGCAATTCTGGTTTGGTTCTTTTTTCTTGCGCGGTCCGCCATCTGCGACGACGAAAGAACCAAAATGTGCTAGCTAGCTGGCTACATGTAGCTAGTATCTTGTCTCTGCTCGAGCCGATCTTCCATCCATTACATCATGTACTGCCCTGCTTCAGGGGAAGCTTTTCAGGTGGAGGTTTAGCGCGTCCAAGCTGCATGGGAAAGTTCCAATGCTACCGGTAGAGGAAAGAACCCCACCAAGACGATGCCTTGTGTGAGACCTCGGCATCTTGGAAATGTATGATCTACATTACCAATGATTCCGTGAGTTCGTTTACCTGCAAATGAGTCGACTCCCGAGCTGTGCTGTCATAAAGGCAACACCACGGCTGCTGCCTCTGAATTCATTTATTTTGTCGAGACGGCAGGAAAACTGGTGGCAATCAAGCCAGCAGGAGGAGGATTGGATCAGCTGACTTTCCGGTGCGTTTCATGAAACCTCAAGGTATCAAACGGGCCAGAGGAGGACGACGTTCAAGATCGAGAGAGACTGCGTGTCCCCTGATCCCTGATCTCGTTGTGAAACGTTTGCTTGGTAGCGCTAGCAAGGTAGAGTCTAGCGATAGTAGTCAAATCTAGGTATGAATAATATGTACTTAGTACATGCAGTTTCGGAATATATGCACGTGCTTTGCTTGGGACACGATCATAATATTATGGTCAGCTCAACCCAGGAGAAACTGTGTTCCCAGAAGTAGAGCAGCCATCACTTGTCCAACGAATTCGATCTTGCCGACCGGAACAAACGCCTTGGAGCCACTGCGGATACTGCTGGCAAGGCCCTCAAAGGCACCTTCTTGCTGTGAAGGAGCCCGACCCTTTTCTCTTTCTCCCTCTTCTCCTTCCTCGTTTGTTATCGGCTTTGCGGAAACCTTACTAGAGACTGCAGGATCCACCCTAGAGCCCACGGCATTTGCTTCGGTGGGTACGCCCTGGCTGGCACACCTTTCAGCAGTGAAAGGGGTAGCATACTCTGTCCAGTAGGTACAGGTGGAGTACCCAGCTGGTCGGCAAGCCCAAAACGAGTCCTCATATGTAGTTTGAATGGCTGGGTCTCCTCCGGCACCACTATACCCAACCCAACGGCAGTAGTCTTGACAGCAACCATCATTGTTCAAAGAATACCAGCCATTATTTGGATCGTTGCCGCCATGAATTCCATCATCAATAGTTGACGGGTTTGCAGCTGGACAAGCACCATTGGTGGGTGCTGGGAGCTGGGAGCATTCTGGCAATGGTGATGGGGCCACAGCCGGGATATCCACAGGTTCCACCCTAGAGCCCACGGCGTTTGCTTCGGTGGGTACGCCCTGGCTGGCACACCTTTCAGCAGTGAAAGGGGTAGCATACTCTGTCCAGTAGGTACAGGTGGAGTAACCGGCTGGTCGGCAAGCCCAAAACGAGTCCTCATATGTAGTTTGAATGGCTGGGTCTCCTCCGGGACCACTATACCCATTCCAACGACAGTAGTCTTGACAGCAACCATCATTGTTCAAAGAATACCACCCTCTATAGTCATCGGACATCCCATCATCAATAGTCGACGGGTTTGCAGCGGGACAGCCACCACCAAACGGGGCTGGAAGCTGAGAGCATTCAGCAACCGGTTGTGGGGTGGGTGCTGCGGTCCATACTGTGGGTGCTGTGGTAGGCCACGGATCTTCCCAAGGATATTTGATTCGGTCCCTCATTTGCAAAATCGCGCGACCAGAAGCCGCACGGATTCGAATAGCATCTGCTTCATCAATATCACTAATCTGGAGATTGCGTCGAGTGGCATCTGGAAACCATGTGATCAGGTTGGGATCCAGCCCGGACATGAATGACGACAGCATGACTGCAATGAGGTAGGAGCCTTCCGCACTGGGGTTGACCCCGTCCTCATCATACAAGCGGTAAAAAAGAGTCGAATTGTCGGTTGCAGGGTCTCTTCCAGTGTTCCAATCTTCCAAATAGATAACCTCTGCTGCCATTCCTGCAGGTATCAAGTAGGTGGGATTTGCTGTTTCATTGTAATTTGTACTCGTCATAGACATGACCATCATGTGGTTCGACAGCAAGTTTGCAGTGTGCGTCAAAAAGTCTGCATACACAGTTCCATTACCATCATTGTAACCATTTCTGCCTCCAAACATCATCAGCAAGGCCGTCTTGGCTTGATGACTATGGGCAATCATTACGTGGACTGCCCATGCAAAATCTGCACTTATCTTGGCCTTTCTTCGTTGAGAGATCAACGAGACATCTTCTTGCAACACAATCCAGTCAAAATCAGCACCATCGTCTGCACTGTAGAGAATAGGGTCTGAATTTCCAATTGTGTTCACATGCCAACGTAAGGTTGCATCTTCTGGTGTGCTAGAAGTGACATTGACCTGTCCAAGTACATTGTGCAAGGCCAAAGAATTCTCAAGAATCTGATCAAACTGGTCTGACACATTGAAATTTCCCAAAGCCTCGTTTCCCAGAATCAAAACTTTTGCGTTTTCTCTGGCCGCTAGGGCGTTCTCATTCAAGTCTGTAGGTTGTAACGTTGTCGGCTGCAAGGTCGTGGGCGCACTGCTTGGCGGAAGAGTGGTGGGCCGTGCAGTTTGTGGAGGAAGTGTAATACTCACAAAGGCTGTTCCTCGAGTGGGGGCACTGGTAGTTGGTTCAGCAGTGGGTGTGAAGGTTGGTTCCCTAGTGGTTGGGGCCTCGGTGGGCCAGATTTCATCGAATGGGTAAATAATGAGCCCTGAGGCGAACGTTTCTTCAATGGCCTGTGCTATGGCCGTTGAAATCTGATTAGCGTCACTCGAACTAATACCACCCTTGCATCTCTGTGTGCTTGGATGTATTGCTGTCATGGAGGAGAATACAGTCAGGGCACAGGCATAGCTACCCATGGTTGAAGGATGTACCGCTGGAGGTATCACAAAGATGGCGGAACAACACGGCAAGATAGAAACATGGAGGTGAGAAGACAGAATTCCCATAAGGGTCAAAAGCACGAACACAAATAGCACGATAGAACATGTCTTGTTGGCACATACGATCTTGGTAGAGTCTGCGAAAGGCACAATTCTCATTGTTCAATGGATCCTCCCCTCGTTCGATGCAATTTAGGTAAACCTTTTCCCATGCCAGTCCACAGGGAGCCACATAGACATGATATGCGTCGGAATGAACTGCTTGTTGCATTTCCACATAGCCTGCCAACAAAGCCTGGTTGTGGGATGGCATGTCAGGATAGTTCAGCCCATAGTCGGAGGTTCCAAATTCGTATCCCCATGTTTGAATCAGAAAGGCTTCTTGTACGTTTGTGGTGCTGAAGTGCGAGATAAGACCTCTCAGATTAAAAAGTGACACTGGTAGCTGACTGGGAATGGCTGGAATGGCACTTTGTTCTTGTAGGAAAACCCAAGGATGACGAGCGTTGTTTTCATTTGAAAAAGCGGGTGCATTGTCATCATAGAGCAGATGTGCCCAGTGAGTGCCAAAGGTGGCCCCTCCAGGTGTATACCGAGGAGAATCCACTCGAGTTGCCCCAAGCTGGGTTGCATATCCTATGTAGAAGCATCGAAAATTTCCCACAATGGAGCCACCATAGGAGCTTAAACTGTTTCCAAAGGACCAGATCACAAACTGTCGAGCCAAACCAAGTGCTGGCAGTGTGGCGAAGACAAGTACAACTGCTAAAAACCGCGTAGCCATGGTCTGTGTCTCTTGCGAACTCAAGAATGTGGCTTCAGATTGCCCTTCGGTTGCTCGCCGGATTGATATATGAAGAGTGATACGAAGACAACACGACCATGAAGTCTAATGGAGCCTGAGCGGCAGCTTCCTGAGCAGAGCAAGCGGCGAGAGGCTTCATTCACGAGTTTCTTCCGATTCTTATTTTCCCACGCGGAATACGTTGAGCCAGCACAGTTGTTGATTTGGCTCTTTTGGCACGAATGCTTTTGCACCCAAACTTCGCCTACTGACCGGTAGTCTACCGGTACCGTACGGTAACCTCCCGAGCTGCGACTGCCATCTACCGTACCGGTACGTATGGCACCTCCACTCGTACTACCGGTACTTGCATCATCTATCTACAAGCTAGCTCGATCGTTCCATTTGGTAACAAATTAACTGAGATGCATGAGTCAGCCTTCAGTTCTACCTTAGCCATGGCGCAAACCATACGGTGCGTGTAGCGGGATCTGGAACGATTGAACCTCAGCGCTGGCTCACGGTAGCCCTTGGTGCTCGAACATGTGCTTTACGTCCCGTGAGGAATCGAATCCCACCCTTCCGTTTTGCGCCGCCGAGTTAGGTAGAATAAAAACATATGATGGACTCCCAGGCAACATTCTCTCTGCTCGATCAGATCCCACCAGGTCCAACCACACACAAATTTAAAGAAAGGCGCACGAAGTGTAGACTTGAAAGATCGCTAAACCTAGTGCCACCTGCCTGGTAATAGTTGTATGTACGATAGGCTACAAGGTTGTAGATGTCGCACCGTAGGGGACTGTACATGTTGTGGATCGATAATGGTAGGGCCGAATATGGCCAATGCGTTGGCTGTTGGAAACTTTATAGCGGTCAGCTTACTGGTGTTTCTAATGAGATTGAAAGGCAATCGTACCGGTAGGCAAAATTTGCGATTGATGACTCCAAAGGGTAAGTGTGATTTATTGACACAAGCAAATGCATGTAAGATGTTTGTGTTTGTGGGCCTCGCTGGTCAGAAACTCGTGAATGAGCACACAAATAAAAATAATAGTACATGTGCCGGTGACGGGCTATGGTGCTGGTTCGCGGCAACCATTGCTCATGCTTTCCTGCAGTAGTCTAGTCGAGTCGAGTCGAGTCGAGTCGAGTCAACGCTGCTTCTGGAAACTACGAAACACATTCGACATTCGACTGTCGCCAGGCAAGTTGCGTTCTCAAGCGGAACCACTTCGTAGACCGATAGTGCTTGGGTCCTCACAATCTCAGCTTCTCTCCCATTTCAAACACAATCCTTTGTCACTCTAGTCTACACGATTTTTCAGTTCTCACTTATCACGTACTGTATCACATACCAAGAAGACATCCGTCATGTTTTTTCGGTTGTTGAGCCATGCGCTCATCTTGGTGGCATTGCCCGCACTGACTTTGGCTCGGCAAGAGGTGGTTTGGTCTATTGGCAACAGTTTGAGTTCCTACGGTGGTACCATTGTTGGGTCTTTTCGCTGTTTCTACCAAGGATATCGCTCACAGTTTGGTATTACCCGAGTGGATACTCCACGAAGCACCCCTGGTGGTGCCACCTTTGGTCTTCACTGGGCGTGGCTCCTCTATGATGACAATACGCCTACATTCATGAATGAGAATGGCAATATTCACACTTGGGTTTTCCTGCAAGAACAAAGTGCCATTCCAGCTGTCCCTGCTCAGTTACCAGTGTCAATTTTCAATCTGAGAGGTCTTATTCATCATTTCAAAAGCACAGATGTGGAAAGAGCCATGCTAATTCAAACTTGGGGATATGAATTTGGAACCAGCTCCAATGGAGTTAACTTTCCGGACATGCCATCTCACAACCAGGCTTTGTTGGCAGGCTATGTGGAAATGCAAAAGGCAGTTCATTCAGATGATTACCAGGTCGGTCTAGCCCCCTGTGGATTGGCTTGGGAGAAGACTTACTGGAACTGTCTGTCCCGGGGTATGGATCCAATGACTGACGAAGATTGTGTCTTTCGCAAACTCTACCAAGATCGTATGTACCCATTTTGTCTGTTCTTTTTCGTTGTGTCTCTTGGTTATTTCAATTTCTCACTTTTCTATTTCCAATTTTCCTTCAGCTGTGCATCCTTCCGCTTTTGGTACCTATCTCTGTTCCTTGACTGTTTTTTCTACCATTACAGGAATACATCCAAGCACACAGGGGTGCAAAGGAGATCTCTCGACCGACGAGGCAGATCAAATTCATTTGGGTATTGCACAGGCTATTGAAGAAACATATTCCAATGGCCTCATTACATACTTGTTTGATTCTCTTTGGGATACCCCGGAGCCCACCCCTGCCCCCCCAACAACTCCACCTACAGGCACACCAACTGTCACCCGTTATCCCACGGGGCCTCCGCAAACAGAACCACCAACTGCTTCCCCAACAACAGGGGCACCTACCGTTTTGAATGCAAATGCTGTGGCGGCTGCAGATACGTCCAAGATTCTGATTTTGGGAAACGAGGTTTTGGGAAACTACAATGTGTCACAGCAGTTTGAATATATCCACGAAAATTCTCTTGCATTACACAATGTGAAGGGACATGTGGTTGCAACTTCCAGTACACCAGAAGGGGCAACCTTTCAGTGGCATATTAATACGATTGCAGAGTCAGACCCAGTGCTCTACAGTTCAGCAGACGGCCATGATTTTGACTGGATTGTGTTGCAAGAAGATATCGCCTTGATGTCAGCGTTGGGTAGCTCCGAAAGTTGTAATTTGTCACCAGCATTTCACACCATGGTCGCCTCAACTCATGACAGTGGGGTCACTGTTTTTGTCATGACCCCTGGTGGTAGGAATGGCTGGGAGGACAAAGTCTCTGGAGAATCCCACGAGGAATTTATGACCCACAATGCTATTTTGTTTGAGAATTACTACAATTGTCAGTTCACTTATCCCGACGAATCCTACTTGTTGCCTGTGACTCAGGCTTATGAAGAGATTTACCTGGAGGATTGGGAAAGTGGCGAGGACCCAGCACTTGATGAGACATCTCTCTTTTTTCGGTTGTACAACGAGGATGGCATTAACCCCAGTGCAGAAGGCTCCTACCTAATTGCTGTCCTCTTGTCTACACTGATTGGGGGGCTGGATCCCGCCCGCATCACTTGGATCCCAGATGGCATTGCCAGTGGGCTCGAGTTTGAAATCGCAGCACAGGATGCAGTTCGACTGCGCGCTGTGGCTAGCAAAGTCTACCGGTGGGCAGATCGCCCTTGGCAGGATGCTTGGCCTACTACATCACCCACCGACGCTCCAACTCCTACGCCAGCACCCGTTATCACATTGGCGCCTGTTCCAGCTGCTACGGAACCACCCGTACCTGCTACTGAGGCACCCGTCGAAGAAACACCGGGCAACGGACCACCAGAAGAAACACCAGGAAATGGACCACCAGAAGAAACACCAGGAAATGGACCACCAGAAGAAACACCGGGCAACGGACCTCCCGAAGAAACTCCGGCCAACGAAGAAGTACCGGAATGTACACTTTTGCCGCCACCTACTGACGATTCTTGTGCTGCGATAAACCCGTCAACTATTGATGATGGAATTCGTGGCGTCAACGGTCGATATAATGGCTGGTATTCTTTGAACGATGATGGTTGCTGTCATGACTACTGTCGTTGGGTTGGGACTGGTGGTACCGGACCAGAACCAACCATTCAAACTACACATGGGAACTCGTTTTTTGCTTGCCGACCAGCTGGGTACTCCACTTGTACCTACTGGACAGAGTATGCCACCCCTTTCACTGCTGAAAAGTGCTTAGCGCAGGGTGTGCCACAGGGTTTGGTTGCATCAAAGTCAGGAGAGCCTTGATGGAGTTGGTTGTTGGACTTGGCAGACTGTTCTTTCTTTCTTTCTTTCTTTAGGATGATCTCTTTGTTGTTGGCGACGCTTTTGGATGTTCGGGCTGGCTGGGGTTGAGCACCTACCGTACCAGTCACTTGCGATCTTTTTATATTCTACACATTATTCAAAATACGGCAGGAGTCGATTATCTAGCTCGGTACATGTAGCTCTAATACTTTTTATCAACAAGGTTGTTTCATGTATCCATCTGCTGTTCGCTCTATGGCTGGCTGGGCTAGTTATAAGTCTGGGTATGGTTGTCCTCGTCTTGCTAGCTTGTGGATGCTTTTTGATGGTTCTGGAACAGAGGACCTAAACGAGGAGCGGTGAGTCACTGCCTGCAGACAAGCTAGCTAGCTATCTAGTCTAACTTTCAGGACAGAGTGGGATTGGAGGTGCCGCCGGTGACCTAGCTAGCTAGGAGCAGCTACCGGAAACTCGTGGCCAGCGGAAGTAGACGGAGGCTTGCCCTGCAAACAAAGGAGCCCCCAGTTGCAAAAGTTGCGCACATAGTGGTAGGATCTCCAGCAGCATTGGTTGCAGCTTTCAGGGTTCAATAGTGCGACCTTTCTAAAAGAAACTCCTCCATTCGCGGTTGCCGGTTTGCTACGAGGAAGGTCATTTCTTGTGTTCTTTTTATCCATAGTCATTGTCCTCATTAAAGCCCCAGGGTTTTTGCTGGTCATCTACCAGAAAGATTTCGTAGTATACCTACGTAGAATGCTACCGTACTTGCTCATTTTTTGGCTAGCTAGGAAGCAGCGCGATCTTTCGTTTGGCGCTCTCTTTGAAGGTGACCTTCTACAACCACTGTGGAAGCCTTTTGCAATTCTGCTGGGCCTGTGGTACCAACCCAGCCTACACGGCAACAAGGCAGCGGCAGCAACAACCTCACTTTCTGGACTAATATCTTTTGTCCTTGTCATTATTATTTTCCGTGTGGTTAATAAGTGAGACAGCTTGCTACGTCTGTATACCCATCCATCCATTATCTCTTAAGATAAGAGAAGGCTACCCTTGGATACCCTTTGGATACATTATCTAGTACTAGTATAGCAAGATGAATCTCTCACAGCGACTGCTACCTCTTGTGGTATCCTCACTACTACTTCTGCTACCAGTAGTAGTGGTGAACGGCCAAGCCGCCACGACGGCGGCTCAGAGTTTACAACGAGTTCGATTCAACTTTCGATTTGGTTTCTTTGCCGACGAACTCACACCCGTCACGGAAGTCATCAAGGACGATGTGGAAGGAGTGCTGTGCCAGACGCAGTACTTTTTGAGTCAACTCCTCCAGAATGCCACGGGCAGCATGAGTGTCCACGCCAAGGCGACCGAGATTGATTGGGGATTCCACGAAAAGGAAGAGCTGCCCGCTCATATCAACTTTACCATTGAATTCACCGACGCCATGATTGAGGGGGATGTCAATTGGGTCGATGACCAAATCTTGATTGACGAAATGGAAGCCTTGGGCGAACCGGGATTGCAGCGGTTCATTATGGAATGGGTCTGGAAGGCAGAGCCACTCGGGCTCAACTTTTTTGAAAATGCCAATCGCATGGCATTTGATGGAAAACGACAAGATCCCGTCGAAGGAAATCTAGAAGAAGCCGAATGTCCCGCCACCATTGCACCCTCCATGGCGCCTTCCATGAGTCCGGCTCCCACCACGTTGGCAGAAGCCAACGCACCCTCCTTACAAGCAGGAGAGTTGCCCGGAGCTAGTGGAGCTCGTGAAGGCGCACCGTCTGCGGGAGGACCTCCCAATGCCGGAGGACCTCCTTCGGCGGGAGCACCTGGCAATGGCGGACCTCCTTCGGCCGGAGCACCTGGCAATGGCGGAAATCCTGGCGCGGGAGGAAACCCTGGAGCGGGTGGACCGGGCAATGGCAATGGTGGACCTCCCAGTAGTGCCGATTCCGATTGGCCCTTTGGTCCCAATTACAAGGAACTCTCCGATCTGGCTCCCATGGCCGATTACAGCTTGGCGTTTGCACTCTTTGCCGAAAAGGAACGTCCACCCACACAGGCCGAAGTCAATGCCTTGATGTGTCAAGTCAATGCCTTTTACACGGCCGAACTTCGTCGGGCGCTCGACAATTCCACCATTCACGTCAAGTCCGTCTACATTGACTACTACTTCAACGAAGGCGGTGCAGCAGACAATGTTGACGAAGATATTGTCCTCAACTTTACCGCCTTTGCGTACTATGGAGATGAAACGCACACCCAAGTCGGCGCCGAAGATGTCTTTCAAGCCATGCTCATCACCGATACGCAACTCAAGCATTTCGTCGAAGAATACGTCTGGAAGAGTGAGCCTCAACAAGAAAACATCTTTTATCATACCGAGTCGCTCTCCATGAAGTCCGGCACGGATAATCCCGTCAACGAACAAGCCATGCTCGTCGAAGCCATTGGCTGCGTCATTGATGAGGGCGAGGGTGGTAGTGGCGGCGACAGTGGCGCCATTCCTCCACCCGGTGGTTCCGGTCCGGGTGGCGTTGCTGTGCCCGGTGGAGACAATCAAGGATTGGGTGGCGATGCCAAGTCCACGCAAATCACCACGGCGTTCCGAGTTTCCAATATCGAAAATATCAAACAGCCCAATGCCGTCAAGGGCGAAGGATTGGACGCTTCGTTCCCCGTCTTTACCAATCAAATGGTCGAAGAAATGACCAAGCGTACCGGCACGCGCAATCGTCGTAACTTGAGGGTCGTGGCGGTGCCCGGTTCGGCCACGGTCGATTTGGTCTCGGAATTCGACTGTCCGGCCAACGCATTGCCGGATGTTACCTGTCACGAAGTCTTGGCCACCTACGATGTGCTCATGAACAGTGACGAAGATGAAAATCAAGTCAACCGACAGTACACGGATGCCACCAACCGTGCCGTCAATGATGGAACGTACAATAACGTCTTGCAACGCACCGTCCCCGACACTCCGCTCTACATTGGAATCATCACCCGAGAGGATCAAATCCCGCCGGGATCGAGAAACAACGAAGACGAGAGTGGATGGAAGTGGTGGTACCTTATCATTATCATCCTCTTGTTCCTCCTCTTCTGCTTGCTCTGTCTCTACTGCTTGATGGACAAGGACGACAGGGAAAAGGAAAACCCTTCGAACCATGTGGTGGAAGAACGAGAAGTCTTGGTGGAAGAGTTTGAAGACGAAGATGGACCCAAGGAGGATGACGCGGACGAAGAATTCGTGGACGATGAAAATGCCGGTGCCATGGTCCCATACGGACAGACACCCGCTCCAGCTCCTCAACCAGCAGTGGAAACAGGTGTCTTGGTCCCCTATGATCAAAAGGCGCACGACGATCAAGCGCAACGCGAAAAGATATTAAACTCCAGCTAAGTGCGTCTGGATGGAAGGGTTTTCGTGGAAGACGACATCAACTACAGTACTGCAGCTTGGTCTCGTGTGGGCTGTAAGCAAGCAAGCAATCGCGCCCGATGGAATGCATACGATATTAGGATTCAGAATGATTACATACATGATAAGACTATAAACATGATTTAGTTTACAAAGACGAGAGCTTCGTCGTAGTTTGTACATGTACCGATACCAGTCCTCACACGCGGGTGACACTGAGGATTCTTTGCTTTGCAGAAAGTATTTCGAACGCATGTGCTGCTTCAATACTAATCGGGGTGTCAGCAGACCACTACCTGATACCGTATGGGTTGCAGGTCCGGTACCGTACTAGTAGATTGCACGCGAAGAATGCGGCTCAGACGTGAATCCTGGAGGAAACGTCTGTGTTCATGTTGCCAAACAAAGCTCTTCTTTGGATCTTTCAGAACTGATTTCCAGCGGTGGGATCTGATGCGAGAAGTCTGTGGAAAAGGTGATTCTAGCTAGGTGATTCTATAGATTTCTAGTACAGATCTACGCGAATTCTGTGGGTGTCTCAGCAGCACCGGTACCGGATCTGGGTTGCAGGTCCGGTACCGTAGCTGCACGCGGAAGAATGAGGCTCAGACGTGAGTCAAAACGTCTGTGTTCATGTTGTCAAACAAAGCTCTACTTTGGCTCTTTCAAAACCGATTTCCAGCGGTGGATCTACCGGTACGCCAAGTCTGTGGTAGTAAACCCGCGTAAAGAAAAAGAAAAAGCGCCTCCGACCTTCATAATTTCGATTTTGCAACATGAGCGTCGTATTGAACGCCGTAGTCGGCAATGCTGGGGTGGCTCCGAGAGCATAAAGTAGGAGCAAGTGTGCGTCTAGAGGAATGTACCGCGGATCCGAAGAAGACTCGCACCTCTGCAGTCCTCTCGCTCCTCCTCATTCTTCATTCCTCTTCCAACAGCACCATGACGAGCAATGATAATGGTCACCTACAGATGGTTACTAGAGCTACACAAGTGCATTGCTCATGTTTTCGCTTTTAGTAGTCAATTAGACCGCTGCGGTCGCACTGTGCTGTCCGTTCAGCCGTGGCCGTCACCAAACAGCCTCGTTTAATAGTAGTCACGAGTAGTAGACTCGTCACTCTGTCCACTACTACAAGATCCCATCGGCTGTGCCACAAAGGCAGCATCCACGAAGCATCGACAGTACTGTAACTGTGAAAGTAAATCACTCGAATACGCTATGGTAGAAATGGCGGCTTGGCCGCAACCAGTATTGAACAAATCCGTTCCTCTGTGTATGGTACTAGTATGGCACTGATGACGCCACAAATCAGCCATGCAATAAGAGCTCTTTTAAAGAGCCACACAAGAAGACACACACAAGAAGACATGATCTTCTTTCTTTCTCGGAAGAAAAGATTGGATAGCTACTGGGTACCACTCATGACTTCATTGCCCCCAAGCAAGAACGACACTTGTACTCAAAGAAGTCTGTAGTCCTCTTTCGATTTGCACCCATGTAATCAGAAAGGATACCACAGGAGGCTCACACTGCCTAGGCGACGGACTGGATGTTTGTGAATTGTACCAGATCACAACGACTTTGAGACCTTTGGACATACCCTCCCAAGAAGTACACTGAAGCTGTGCCGGCCTACGTTTTCGGTTGGTTCTGTTTGGGCGTTGGCGGTGATACAAGAGACTCATATCATGAGGGACAGAATGCGTGTGACTTCCTCTGGAGCGCAACGGCCTTGAGAAAATGCAAAAAGGCCCCACAACAGAAATACGCGGAAGCCATGCCCAAATTTTGGGACACGGTGCTGGCCATTGCCCACAACCAAGAACGAAACTTTTGCTCAAATTCTGTAGTCCACTTTCGATTTCGACCCAAACCATCAGAAAGGATACCACAGGAGGCTCACACTGCCTTGGTGAGGGACTTGATGTTTGTGAATTGTACCAAAGTACAATGACTTTGACCCTTTGGGCCTACGTCTCCCAAGAAATTACAAGGAAGCTGTTTCGGCCTGCGTTTCGGTTGGTTCTGTTTGAGTGTCAACGGCGATACAAGAGACTCATGCGACAGAATGTGTGTGACTTACTCTGGAGCGCAACGGCCTTGAGAAAATGCAAAAAGGCCCTACAACAGAATTATGCGGAAGCTATGCCCAAAATTTTGGGACACTACGCTGGTCCGAAACTGACATCGATTATGTGAAAACCACGTCATGTTTGTGACTTCCCCCTCTGGAGCACAATGGTCTTGAGCAGATCTCCAAGAACTCCACACTGAAGAGATCCAGACCATGCAAATCAGAGGACACCAGAATCAGGCCTGGAAGACCAATTCAGATGACTTCAGAATCAAAGCCAGGCCCAGAGCAGCACTCCACCAAAGTGGCCCCGCAGAAATGCAAAACATGTCCCAATCAGAGGATGTCAGAACCAGGCCTGGAGCAACACTCCACCAAAGTGGCCCAGCAGAAATGCAAAACATGTCCCATTCAGAGGATGTCAGAATCAGGCCCGGAGCAGCTCCACTCCACCACAGTGGCCCAGCAGAAATGCTAAACATGTCCCAATCAGAGGATGTCAGAACCAGGCCCGGAGCAGAAATGCATAACATGTCCCATTCAGAGGATGTCAGAACCAGGCCCGGAGCAGCACTCCATCAAAGTGGCCCAGCAGAAATGTAAAGCAAACATGTCCCATTCAGAGGATGTCAGAACCAGGCCCGGAGCAGCACTCCACCAAAGTGGCCCAGCAGAAATGCAAAGCCAACATCTCCCATTCCGAGGATGTCAGAGCCAGGCCTGGAGCCGCACTCCATCTAAGTGGCACAGCAGCGATCCAGAACATATACTATCAGAGGATGTCAGAACCAGGCCCCCCAGCTCAAGGCCCAAGCCCCGGTAGTCCCTCCACTGAGAATCCGAGCACGGGAATTCCAGTTGACACTGTCGCCCAGTACCAACACCCCAACAGCTGAAGCCCCGAGCATGCTTGGAATTCCCACAATGGCCGACCCTGTCGCTGCGATCCCCACGATGGTCAGTGCAGCCACTCCAACAAAGTGGCCCAGCAAATCTCAAAGGAGCCGATCAACTCCGCATTGAAGAGATCCACAACAGTTTCTGGAACTGCAGAATCAGGCCCGGAGCAGCAGCACTCCGACACAGAGGCCCATCATATCCTCAAGGAGCACACCAATTCCTCCAGAACAAATCCATCAGAGGTCGTCAGATTCAGGACCGGAGCAGCACTCAAACAAACTTTGGGGCTTAATTCCCACAATGGCCGAACCCGTCACTGTGATCCCCACGATGGTCAGTCCAATCACTGACAGCCCTGGTACAGGGACCCCAACAGTTCACCTCTGGCCCAACTATTCTTGGCCCCAGTACAGGGAGCCCCAGTACTACAGGCTCGGGCACTTTGTCGCCCAGCACGGTAGGCCCAAGCAAGGCTGTTTCCCACTACAAAAAGCCCCAGCACCGAAACACCAACCACCATGTCCCCAATAAGTACTCAGGCTGCAAGGAGCCCCAGCATGGGTAGTCCATCCACCGCCAGCCGACCCTCAGTGCAAAAGGGAGCGGACCAGCTTCACTCGAAATGACTCTGAACAGAACTTGGGAGCGGATTAGCTCCATCAGTTCTGAGCAGATCAACTTCACAAACGAAGTTTCGACTCAGTCAAGGGTGCATAGCGCACCAAACCGATCCCAGAAGCAGCAAACTCCACCACAGGAGATCCAGAAACTGGCCATATGCCAGCCCCAAATCCATGAAACAAGGCCTTAGCCCAAACCTAAACGGTCCATCCATCTGTTCTGAACCAGTTGCAGTGTCAGAGCCTGGACAAGGGACAAGTGATACAAGCCCCATCAGAGATTTTTACTGCTCACCCTGGCAGTCCAGGAATCAGCAGGTTGATTGTCACACTGGTCCACAAAGACACCACAAAGATGTGTTGTGAGTGTCTCCCATAAGCTCAGTCTCAATTTGGTGATCCCAAATCTGCCACCACAACCCAGCACCAGCCTGAGACTGTGCAAATCTGACTGGACCTGCTGCCAATCAGACACTCTGGCAATTACAGAGTCTTCATCTGATTCCACAGGCAGGATTTTGGTTTTCCACTCCAGCCACCCCTGTTGACTCCCTGAGACACACTTTGAACCACCAGTTCCAAATCCATTTAAAGCCCAAGAGCTGATCCACCTCGATGATCAGCACTGGCATCATCTATGTCAGGGTATTTAGACCCCTTGGCCAACCCCTGAGGCTCCCTGCGACCTCTGGCCCAACTATTTTGCCCCCCCCCCCCCCCCAGGTACAGACAGCTCCAGCACTACGGGCCCGGGCTCCTTGTCGGCTAGCACGGTTGGCCCCAACAAAGCTGGCCCCAGCAAGTTCCTCGTGCAGACAAAACCATGTCCTCAAGTACTGCTAGTGCCGGGGCCTAGCAGTCCATCCACCGCCGGCCCAAGTGCGGCAAATCCCAGCATCAATTTGGTGGTCCCTGATCTGCCACCAACTCTGTACAAATCACCAGATCCCATCAGATTTTGACCTTGACAGGAGCAGCCCAGCTTCGAGCAGACCAGTGTCATCCAAGGTGCTACCCTCTTTCCAATCAGATCTGCAGCAATGAACGCCTCTTAACCAATCATCCAAGGTTGGGTGATGTCGAGCGCTCTCAGGCAAAATTGGAGGTCCCATATTTGGCAAATGACAGTTTGCTGGGAGCACAATTGCCGCAGCCCAACACCAGGCCCCTTGTCAACAAGAGACTCAGCTTCTCATCTGTACAGGACTGTTCTCATCTGCTCAATTTTGATATTACTCTCCAACCTCCAACACCTGGCGGTCCGCTCAACTACAGTGAGCCTCAGAGCAAATTGGCTTACCAAATCAGTCTGAAATACCGTGCAGAGAAAGACACACTCCACCACACCAACTTCAGCACTCAGCTCTGGCTTGGAGCAGACTGTACCCAAAGGCAGAGGTGAAGCAATCACTGACATCCCCAGGACAGGGAGCCCAAGCACCTCTGGCCCAACTATGCTTGGTCCCGGCACAGAAAGCCCTGGGCCAGCAATACACGCATGAGCACTGTGCCCCCTGCTAATCAGACTGGACCTGCTATCAATCAGCTACACTGGCAAGTACAGAGTCTCAAACTCAGGTTCAAATGAAGTGAGCACTCAGCACTCCGCTATGGGGTGCACCATCATCAGGCAAACCCAGAGCAAACCACCTCCACAAATGGAACAGTACTGGAAGAGCACCTCTTGGCTCCAACTGGACCGGTCGGTTGGTCAGTCTTTGCGCTACGGGTTCTCCAACTCAGGGCCCAAGCACCAGCAGTCGCTCGACTGAGAGTCAGTCTGAGCACGGGCATTCCATTTGAATACACTGTCGCCCATTGCCAACAACCCAACGCCTGAAGCCCCAAGCACGCTCGGAATTCCCACATTGGACGACCCCGTCACTGTGATTCCCATGATGGTCAGTCTAATCTATGACAGCCCCAGTAGTACAGGGATCCCAAGCACCTCTGGTCCAACTATTATCGGCCCCAGTGCAGATAGCCCCAGCAATACATGCTCGAGCACCTTCTCGCCCATCACGGTAGGCCCAAGCAAGGCTGTTTCCCAGTGCAAACAGCCAGTCCAAGCACCGGACACCCACTAGCCCTAGCACGGGCAGTCCATCCACCACTGGCCATATCCAACTACCTCTTGAGACTGAGACTTGAGCACGAGCACGGAAATTTGCACAACACGGTCACACAGTACCAAGCAACAACACTGTTGCCTACTAGTACCGAGCGACAGCCCAACAACTGAAGCCCCAAGCATGCAACGGAGTTTCACAACGGCTGACAAGCACTATGATCCCCAGATCAGATCTGTTGCAACGAGCAACCACAACCGACCGCAGCTCGATAAAGCTGTTTCAACCAGCCCATGGCCCTGGGCACCAAACCATGGTCACCATACTACTGGTTCCATGGGATGTACCACCGTTGCCCCAAATTCTGAATTGAATCCTAACCATCAACTGGCAATATCCCAGTTCAACAATCCATTCAAAATTCGCCTTGATTGATCAGCACTGGCGCCAATGTAAGAGTGGATCCCCTGACCAACCCCTGAGGCTCCCTTGGACCCACAACATTTTGCTGGTCTGTGTACACTAGCACCATCTACTGTCCCAAAAGCCTGTGCAAGCTGGTCCACCTAAATTGAGCAGCACGAGCATCAATGACAGGGTACACCTCATGTCAAACTCCTGGCAAGTGTACAGAGCACCAACAGCTTTGATACCAAGCAACCCTGAGCACACTACCCTTATCAACCAAGATCCCAAGTTCTGATGAACTGACATTGGGGTTTCTCTCACGAGAGCACAGCACTGGAGCTATTGGAACCACTGGCATCCGCCCCCAGTTACCAGAAGCAACTTCTACTCCAGTGGGATTGAGTCAGTCCTGTCTGTTCTTCACCGCTCCCACTCTAGTACTGCCATTTTGGTAGCACTTCACCACTCCAGAGCAGACCTCACAACTGTCTGAGTCTACTCTGTCTACCCGGCCTGAGAGATGCACGTGGAACCTTCCATGGCACGGATCGTTCCAATCCATCCCTCACTCCGAGCATGGAGCACCATGGAGTTCACAGCTGTATGAGTGTAGCCAATGCCACCACTCACACAGCTTGGGTTAGGCACAAAGCAATAGTAGCATTAACAGCTCTATAGCCTTAAGCCCAAACCACTTAGTACTCCTAGCTCGTAGCTCAGGCCATAGTGTAGACAGGGGTAGACAATAGCCCTGTAGGTGTCCCAGAATGTCATTGCATGCATGCAAAGCTTGCCTACCTAGCTTTATGAGTCTGGCTATAATCTGTCGTGCGTTGCCGCCAGCATTATAGTCCGAGAGCATAAAGTAGGAGCAAGTGTGCGTCTAGAGGAATGTACCGCGGATCCGAAGAAGACTCGCACCTCTGCAGTCCTCTCGCTCCTCCTCATTCTTCATTCCTCTTCCAACAGACCAGAGCAATGATAATGGTCACCTACAGATGGTTACTAGAGCTACACAAGTGCATTGCTCATGTTTTCGCTTTCCCTGACCCATCCCACCCTTTTGTTTTTGAAAAGAGTTCACAGCTGTATGAGTGTAGCCAATGCCACCACTCACACAGCTTGGGTTAGGCACAAAGCAATAGTAGCACCACCACTCACACAGCTTGGGTTAGGCACAAAGCAATAGTAGCATTAACAGCTCTATAGCCTTAAGCCCAAACCACTTAGTACTCCTAGCTCGTAGCTCAGGCCATAGTGTAGACAGGGGTAGACAATAGCCCTGTAGGTGTCCCAGAATGTCATTGCATGCATGCAAAGCTTGCCTACCTAGCTTTATGAGTCTGGCTATAATCTGTCGTGCGTTGCCGCCAGCATTATAGCTGGAAGCATGGGGACGACGTGGCTTTGACGAGCATCAGCGAGGAGGCTGGAGTCACGGCCCATCTGGAGTATGCTTTGAACCATCTTTGTCGTCTCGAGGAGTCTCCTTTCGACCAAGCACGAAGCGCTAGCTTGCAGTCGCTCTCCGAGTACATTCAAGGCGGTGTCTTTCCTCGTCACGAAGATTCCACAACCCCCCTGGCACGAAAGCCCTGCTTCATCGACAGCCGAGGCATCCCTTGTGCCGTGGCCCACATCATGCAAACCAGCGGTCATTCCACCCTCGCAGACAAGATCGCAACCGAGCACAAGCATTCGACGATTGAAGACATGGTTGCCGATGACAACATCAGGGAAGAATTGGTCGAATGGAGGATGCAATCCGGTTTGACGGTGGACGAGTTGGTCTTGATCCAACCCACATACCAGTACCAGTTCCGGTACGAGTCAAGGCAGGCCCGCAGTGCCCGGAGGCGTTTTCTGGCCATCATTGCCAAAATGCAGCAACTTGTGGAGGAGCTGAAAGCATCTGCACCGGAAGGTGCAATCAGCTATGGAGATGTGCCCGACGCCGTCGTGAAAGATCTGGAAGAAGATATCCGAAAGTTTGCCTTTACCTTCCGCAATGGCAACATCAGCAAGTACTACGGTGGAGCTGCGAGCCCCTACGACGTGATTCCCCATTGGGGCTGGACGTTGATCGAATCAACGGGAATGTTTCCCCGTACCCGTAGGTCACCTATGGGATGGACTGTTGGTGACATGAAAGACTTCAACAAGCAGATCGATGCATTTGAAGCCACCCTCCCAAGCAGCGGATGCGAGCAGGTTAGAATGCTGGTTGGAAAGTTGCGTCACGCTGCCAGTGGAAAAAGGAATCCAGAGCACTCGCTCTATGTGGACGATGACAGCGAGTACGAAGACATCGAGTACGACTGTACTTCCGGCCGAAGCTGAGGACGCCCGATATCTACAGAACCATGCTCCAATTAATTTAGAGAATTCGTGTAGCTTCCAGTAATGAGTCTACAGCAAGTTGAAGTTGTGAGGTTGACACGACTGATTTTACTATGACAATTTTAGTACTCGAATTTTGGTCGCAAATTTGGGTGGAAATACTGGAATGATCTAAGTGCCGGCATGACCTCTCAACGCTCACATTTTTCAGTATTAAGAAATTTCGCGACCATGTGCCAAAATTTGGTCGATACTCAACGTTGAGAGGGAGTCAACCACGATACAAACTAGCCTTCTATTTTGACGGCAATAGTGCTTCTCCCAAAACCACTTTCATACAGATCTATAAGTCTGTGAGCTTCTTCGGGCCAGCAAATGTGTACCTAAACAAAGAATTTAGAATTGATGAAGTCGTACGATTGAATGATCTTCCGGGAAAAAGATTTTATAGATGTGTGATCGATTTGGATGGCGTTGAAATCTTTGTGGGAATGACTAGACTAAACCATATCTTTCAGCTAAAACAAAGATTGTTCAATTTCTGAAATAATTACTATGATATAGGGTTGTAATAGAGTTTGAACAACAACCATTTATGCTAGCGATTGGGGTCTTTAGCCAACGGAAGCTAAAGAGAGGACCAACTCAAGGATCAAATGCGAATCTAATCAGGTGCACGAAAGAAAAGGACTGAAGACAACTCCATCCACTTTCATTTCTCCCATAAATTTCGATGGTCGCATTTCCAAAACAGCCAAAAAGCGATAGCTATGCATTTTTCCACACACAACTCGAGTCAATCTTCGAAACGCCACCATGTCACATGACGAAGGATTAGCGGGGACCGTAGTTTTGTCCACCATGACTGTGACTCTGCCAAGGTCCGGATGGATTTGATTGGACGTTGGGTTGGCCATGAGGTATCGAATTTCGACGTTCGGGTGGGGGCATATGACCGGAAGGAGGCAGTGGCGAACGAACACGCTGAACCGGTGGAGGAACAGGGGAGCACCCACGATTATGCCCATATCCAAGATGATCCGTTGGAGGTCCTGGCTGAACATGCTGAACCGGTGGAGGCCCTTGCTGATATCCCTGGAGTTCCGGTGGAGGATACGATCCACGATGATGATCCAGTGGAGGATACCCATTCGGAGGTCCAAATGTCTGATACCCACCGCCAAAGTATGATGATGGTGGCGCTTGCTGATATCCATGGGGTGGAAACTGATACCCATATGGAGTTGGCGGATATTGATTGGACTGATACTGCGGGAACTGATGATAGAGCTGTGGTGGAGCCTGATACGCCGCCTGTGGTGGAGCATGATATGTCTGCGGTGGTGGAACCGGATATGCCGCCTGTGGTGGAGCCTGATATGCCGGCGGTGGTGGAGCTGAATACGAAGCATGTGGTGGAACATACGGTGGCTGATTGGGAAAGGAAGCAGCTGGTGGTGGAGCCATGGCACTCACAGATTGCTGTTCGAGCATCTTGAGTTTCATCTCTGCATTCTCTGCTCGCAACCGTTGCACTTCGACTTCATTCGACTCATTGTCGTTGGGACCGGAGGATCCGCGTGCGGCAGGCTTGGAGTCAACCACTTCAACCACATCGGTGGCATTACTCCGTTTCATGACATTGGCAATGCTGACGGCACTGATCTGATTGGAGACACGAGACGCGGTGGCACCGTGCACATACTCTGTTTGAACAGTGGTGCTCTTTTGACGAGCCATGTTTGCAACTTCATTGGAGTTCAAGTCAGCGGAAACAGCTTCAGTTATGGCCAATGCACGAAGGGCATGACCGGTGCAGGATTCGTAGTCCTCAATGCCAATCAACTTTGCCAAAGCCTTGCATTTCCGGACGATGGAAGCGGGACTGAGGTTGTGCTGAGCGGTGCCATTGCCAGCATGATAGAAGCGGACATCACGAACACAAGCAAGTCGATCCTTCAATTCAGCGCAGATGGTATGTCGAGTCTTGTCGCTGACAATGTCCTTTGCGTAGAAGCTCTTGGCTTCCGGGTGGGTGTACGACAGGTACAATTTGAAGTATCGGACAGGAGTCCAACCTTTCAAGTCATGATCATCTGGAATGAAGAGCTTGGTGCGCTGGTTAGGTTTGATGTGCGGATACTTGGTGCTCAACTTTGTGGCCTTGCTGGCGCAGATGTTTACCCAAACATACTCGCGGCCTTCCCAACCACCATACTCTGCGTTGAAGAAACCGAAGCCAATATCGTTGATGTGCAACCCCGAATGATCCTCCCCGCCACGGAAAGCACAATAATATCCAAGACAAAAGATGACGACGAAGACCAAATGATCGAGATTGTTTTCAGGATCGAGTTTCTTGTTCTGGATTGCTTGCATCAAGAGAACGATGTAATCTTTGGGAGCACGCTTCTGGTTGGGCAAGGTTCCATAGCTATGATCCTCCTTGTAATGTCGCTGCATCTTGTCTGTGACAACTCCATTGAATTCACCAACTCCGGAGAACTCTTTGACGTCGTAATCAATATTCCGTTCGCGGAGCTTGCACAAGAGGTCACGGATGGTCTTCATGAGAGAGCCTGGTTGGAGTTCACCGCCTACTTCACCGCCAATGACACCGGCCGACTTCTTCTTCCACTTGACGCCACAAAGTGTGATGATGCGGTTCATCAAGCTACGCTTCCAAGGAGTCTTTTCGCCTTCCAGATAGTCATACAAAACGTAATCCAACGCGACAAAATCTCCCTTGGCTTGGAGGTATCGACAGTTGACTTTGACCAAGAGCCGCCGGGACCAGTCTTGGTTCGAATCCTTCAGAGTATCTTCCATCCGTTTGACACAAGCCAACTTCCGCGCTTCGCGTGCCTGGGTGTTGCTGCCACGCTTACAGTTGTCAACAAGATCTTGTTCGTCTCCAAAATCTTCGGTGGACTGATTCATCAGGCGGCAGATCTCTTCTAGACTCTCGCTTTCTTCTTGAGTACTTGCGGGAAGGGCAAATTCTTCAAGCTCGGGAGAACAAAGTGGAGCGGGATTCGGTGGAGCCTTGGATCGAGTTTGTTTGGTTGGAAGTGGAAGAGCGACAGACTTCGACTTCTTTTGGTATGGGTTCGGCCCCGGTTTCTTGGCGGTCCCTGTCACAAGAGGATGATTTTGACGGTGGTGGTCCGGATGAGGCACGATGGCACCAGCATTTCCTACGAGTGGACAACCAGTTCCTTCATGGGTGGTGCGACGGGGCGATTTCTTGTGTTTGCCTCTTTTGCGTTTGCTACCACGAGATCCAACGGTGGAGGCTACAGTGGAATGAGCGTCATCCTCGTCCTGTTCCTCGTCCCGCTCTGGCGTGTCGTCTACCTAACCTGGAGGATCGTCTTTTGGTTCCGTGTCGAAATTGGTGATATATTCACCCGATTCGCCAAAAGCCCGATCTTGTTTTTCCCAACGATCATCGAACGAATGAAGGGCGGCGGCACGGTTCGACTCTTGCTGCTCTTGGTGGGCCGATCGGAGTCTCATTTTCCGCGCTTGCTTTGGATCGGCTGGGAGCGGCGGTGGGGGATTTGCTGGTGCCGCGGCGGCTGGAGGTCGAAATTGGAGAAGGAGGCTGGCATTTTCGACTTGAGAGAAGGTATGGCAGTTTTCCTTGTTGGAGGTGTCGTCTGGAGAAACGGCAGAGAGTTGAGCGAGTTGCAAGGGAGAGCCATCTTCGCTTCCAGAGCCTTGGTCGTCTTCGTCTTCGTCCTCGCTAGAATCCGAGGAGTCATCTGGAGGGGGTAAATTGAATTCGTCTTCAGCGTCGGCCTTACCCTGCACGGTAAGTTCACCAGTGGCTTGACTCCAGTGTACAGTTCCTTGACTGTTGTGTTGAGTATACTCCACAATCTCTTCGTCATCTGCTGCAGCATCGGCAATTTCTCGCTGCAGTAACAAGGCTCCTTCAGTGCCATTGGCAGTGGCTTCTGCTATTGAGGCAATCTGAGAGAACAGCGATCCACCAGCCTGGAATGTGCCTTTTGACCGAGTGGAACGACCCGCCATGATGACCTGACCGCTCTACTGACACAGAGGCAAAGACGACAACGTGGTTACCGTTAGAGGACACTGACTCCACTCAACTCTGGCTGACACCTCTCACTCACCGCCGACACCTCACCGCCGAGAGGCAACAAGATCGATGAGGAAAAAGAACTAAAAACTCCGTGAGATTGACAGCTGCCACGGAAAAGACACCAGCCTTTTGACTGGAGATGGGGTGACCTTTGACAACAAGGCGGCAATAGGAGCGGTAACGGCAATAGGAGCGGTAACGCGGTAACGGCAGCAATAGGTGTCACTAGCTAGTGACTCCGTGGTGTGATGTTGCCGCTGTGAAATGGCGTCCCCGCTGCATCGGATCTGCATCGGTTCAGGCAAGTGCAGCAGGCAAAATGGCGCCATTTGGATTGGCTTCAAACTCAAAATGTGAGCTAAAATAATCTTTACTTAGAAAACTCCAATTGGTTACTTAGGGGTGAAATTGTCACATGGTTCCAGAAGATACGCCCTTCCCCCTACTGTGCTCACCTGTCACGAGAGCTCGCCCGGCCGGCTTCGACCTAAATGTCAATCCTAACGGATTTCCATTTAGGTCTCATCCGGCCGGGCTCGCTCTCGTTCCAGGTTCGCACTTGTTGGTGGAAGGGCGTTCCTCTACAGAATGGAACTCTAGCTAGACACTACTAATAGCTAATCAGCTGCAAAGTAGTGGACCATGTTGCATCAGTCCCAGGCTCGTTTCTCGCACCAACAACGGTGGCTCTACTAGATGTTACCATGTGCATGTGGCGTCCATACAGGATGTAGAGAGAAGACTGCTGGGATTTGTGATCGATCCAAGTCTTTCCCACGCCTTGGTTATTCTGCTGTCGCCGTGGCAATCCACAAAAGCTCCAGGCACCAGAGGGAAACAGATATTGTACCCAGTTTTATGCAATAGGTAATTGCTCCCAAAAGACAAAAAAGATACCCAGTTTTGTGCATAGCTAACTCATCTAATTGTCTTCAATATCTAACATATGTACTTTTCGGCTTGTGTGGATTGTATGGAAACAGCAGGAGTTGATTTGTCTGCAGGAAGAAAAATCCCTCGTCCTCACCTCGTCACCGTCATGCCATCAGGAACACGGATGCCGCCACAACCAGTGCTCGACTTGCCAAGCTCCACGCAAAACCTGCGTTGGCAGCCGAACTCTCCAACAAATAAATTGCTTCGCCTCCCTCCGCCTCCTCGTCGTGTCGGGAATGCTGATACTGTTCAAATTTCGCAGAGCTCTCCTCGGAACTTTCCGACTTCTTCTCCACGTCGGTCCCAATATCAGCCGATGGACTGCTGGTAAACGCAGGAGTGCCCAAATCACCACCGCCGGTCGTGGCTCCCGCGGTTCCTGTTGGGGTGCCCGCAACGGTACCCGCTGGGGTGCCCGCCACGGTACCCACTGTGGTGACTGCTGCAGTACCCGCCTCGGTGGGCGCCACGGTTCCCACCGCCGGAACACCCTGCGCTAGGCACCTTGTAGCAGTGAAAGGAGTCAAATAGTTTCTCCAGTAGGTACAGGTGGAGTACCCCGCTGGTCGGCAAGCCCAAAATGAGTTCTCATGTGTAGTTTGAATGGATGGGTCCCCTCCGGGACCACTATACCCATTCCAACGACAGAAGTCTTGACAGCAACCATCATTGTTCAAAGAATACCATCCTCTATAGGCATCGGGCATCCCATCATCAATAGTCGACGGGTTTGCAGGAAGACAAGACCCATCAGCGGGTGGTGGCAAAGCCCAGCAGTCTGGTACTTCTTCGTCGCCTGTTATTGATTCCGGGGGTCCAATGCCCGGCACTGGTTCTGGAGGTCCATTGCCTGGTGTTTCGTCCGGGGGTCCATTGCCATTGCTGGCAGCGGGTGGCATTGTGACAGCCGGGACGGGTGGTTGAGTAGCAGGAACAGTCGGAGCCGTGGCATCTGGTGCCGGCCAAATAGTGTCGAATTTGTAATTGATCAATCCGGATTCAAAAGTCTCTCGAATGGTTTTTTCCACTGCCATTCGGACCACGTATGCCTCCTCCTCGTTAATGCCATCACCTTGACGGGGGAGGCAAGTGGTAGTATCTGGGTGAATACCAGTCATGGATGCCCCGATGGTGGCAGCGCAAGCGTAGGCACCAATACGAGAAGGGTGACGACCTGTGTTGCAGAACACAAACAAACAAACAAACAAACAAACAAACGAAGAAAACAGTGTGAGGTACAAAAAGCGCAAAATCACACAAGGTTCGTCGTTTCGTGTTCCGATAACACACCATCATTGACGTAGAGTCTGGCAAAGAGGCAGACTTCCGGATCTTGTGGATCGAGTCCAGCATCCACACAATCATTGTGAATGGTAGCAAATGTCAATCCACAGGGTGCCATGTACCTTGGGACGTGGTTTGTGGATGTGGTTTGGACCATTTGCCGGTATCCCTCAAAGAGCGCATCGTTGTGGGCCAAAAACGAGGGATAATTCACTTGACTATCAATATGTCCACCCCTACCGCCCCATGTCATGATGAACATGACATCCTGTACGGGTCGTAGCCAAAAGAAGAAACTCAAATCATTGGCCGCTCGAATGGAATCCTGGAGGTATGCTGGAATGGACGGGTAAATGCTCTGTTCTTGCAAGAGGACCCAGGGATAAATTTCGTCGGGATTGTCGAAAAAGGGAGCATTGGGATCATCGCGGAGATAGGCAATGTGATTCTGTAGGGTAGCACCGCCGGGAGTGTAGGCGGGAGTATGGACCGTCAGAACGGGAGGATCTAATCGTTGGGTTTCGAGGGTATAGAAACATCGGGCCATTCCCACCATTCCCTGATTCTTGGTGTAGCTATTTCCAAAGAACCAAAGAGTGTGGGGTCGTACGCCCGTTGCAAGCACGGGTAGCAGGAGTAATAATATCAGTTTGGAAATCATTATTGTCATTGTCATGGTCAAATCTTCTTCCTCAGAAGTGCTTGTCTTGTCTTGTCTTTCTGGAGATTCAGATACCCTTGCTTCAACTTAATCAATTGGTAGCTCTGGGGTATGTTTGTTTCTTTTGGTTTTGTGATAAGGTGGGTATAGTAGTAGATTGATGGGTAGATAGATAATGGATGGGAATAAGATAATCTCGGAACGTTTGCAATGGTGCTTGCCCAAGATTGGAGGTGGGCACGCTCCTCTTTACTGCTCGCAGTTTTTCAAAAGCAATGGGACTGATGACTCGGGCCTGTCTTCTTCTTCAAGGGACGTTTGGCTTCGTCGCCAAGTTGCTTGCCGATGCGCTTTTCTCGATTGCCGAGAGATGAAAAATTTGATTGATTATTTGTGAGCACGGTTTCTCCCAATTCTGTGAGGGTCTCCTTGTCACACGACCAATGCCCTCATCAAGAGGTGAAGTGTTATTGCTCGGTTATGTGATCAGTTGGAGCGCGATCCACGGGCCCATCTCTGGCATCCCATCATTCCCGAATGGCTCGCTCAAGAATTTGGCAAGACTGTGCAAGGGGTTGTACTCACTGGTTGTGACTTTCAGATGCTAATGCCAATAAACTAAGTCTTTGTGGACACGAGTGCCAATCGAGCAAGGGGAGGTGCTCGTCGACGGTTGTTCCCACCGGTACCTATGCAGCACATGTAATCAACAAAAGGAGTGGCCTTATTACTGGTACATGTACTAGTAGCACACGCCACCGGTACCGGTAGCACTGCGAGCTGCCCAGATCTGCCGTAGATTGGACCGCAGACAACATGGTCACCCGTACTAAATGTAGCTAGCTAACTAGTAGCTAGTGTATTGTTTTCCTTTTTGAGCTGCCGGGGGTGGTTGAGGAGCTGCTCAATCCACTCTTCCCGTTCTCTCAGTTAATTAATCCATTGGAAGTGAAAGTTCTGCGCAGTGTTGCTGCTGTCCTAGCTAGCTAGCTAGTTCATTGATTGGGGAGGATCAGATGCTACGGTATACATTCGGCATGGCATTGATGTAGTTCTTTCCGTACTGCACGGAGTGTGCCTCTGGGTTACTCCGCATTTTGTCTGTTTGGGAAAGTGTTTTGGCCATTAAGTGATCCTTATGTAAATGTCTACACAGTGCACTACGCTAAAAGCTAGTGTAAAGATCTTTCGAGTGTTTTGAGTTTGAGAGAATGAAAGTTATGAGAGAGATTAGAAAGCTATGAAAACTAATCAACGAGAGAGATCATCATCAAAGGATCGTAGATCTGGCTTCCCGCGGGAGACTATAAAGTGTGAGAACGATAGGTTGTGGTAGTAATCCTACGTCTCTCCACGATCCTAAAAACGCGAAACGCGTGGAAGGTTTGTCTAGCTGGATCTAGTAGCGTGGAAGTACTCTACTCCACGCTAGATAAATATCAGAGCGAGTTGTTCATCATCAAACCTAATAGACTACGCGGGGTCATTGAAAACTCCTGGTCTCAATACTATTCAGACGAGAGTCAGGTCATGATGTCGAACTCAAACCTAATCTAGGATCGATGTCGCGAATAAGCTAAGACCGTTATTGCATTCGCCCACTGACAAGGTTCACAGAAGGCGCATAGCAGACAGATCAAGGACAAGGAGACATATGATTTAAAGTGCGCGGCTACTCTCATGGGATTTGATTTAACATGTGCGATCGCACTATGGCAATCCTTACAAGGGGATCAGGCCTTTTATGGGTGTAAATACCTTGTTCCAAGTATGTGTAGAATGTGCCGCCTAGTTGGCGGTAGTATTTGGTGCCGTACAGTGCCTTGTTTTGACTCGGTCTATAGTTAAGGACCTTTGTTCTTTGGCTGCCGTACATTTCTGTGCTGATACTGTTGGAATCTAACACGTATCGTTACATCTGTATTGATGAGGGACACCGCGTTGCGTTTTCCCTATCGTAGATGTTTTGTTTGGATATAGTCTGTTGTCGACGTTCTTAGATGTACTTCGCAGTTTGCTTCGAAACCGATCGTTGTAATCGCGTCACGATTGAACACGAGCTGTGGCGGGCTTGCACGCAAGGTGGTATAATCGTGGCATTCATTGCAAAGCGACCGCGTGAGTACCCATCCCAGGATACATTCACTGAGGTCGTCTTGCCATCGTCCTCGCAACATGCGATCAAGTTAGTCTATGTGTTGATGACCGCTCTATCCATCAGAGTTGGCTTGAGGTACGCTGGTGGATTACTTGCGCGAAGTCATATTCATCCGGAGTGCTTTCGACTCGCGCGG